GGGCTCTATTGACGTAATTTTTGGATGGTGTGGTCAGGTGAGGGTTAGGATTGACACATGAAAAAATTGTTATGCTACGCCCACTAGAAGTATGTTAGGTACGAAACTACATGAGACCCTATTCATTGGGGTGTCTAGTGCAAGCGAAGCTAGCTGAAGGGGTGAAAGCTAATGACCTCATTATGTCATTAGCTTGCAATGGAAATAAAATGTTTTAAAAAGTTACGTGAAGAATAAAATTCGAAAGTGGAGAAAATTTCCCCCCGCATATTTATAGCTGTATAAACGCTTCGGGTCTGGTATAGTTTAGTACTACAAGTACTTCCAGTGGGCGTAGCATAACGAATTTCGCATATGTCATTCCTAACCCCCACCTGACTATGCCATCCAAAAATTACATCACTACGACGTCATCATCACGTCATACAGTACGGCACACTATCCAAATTCCAAGAATTTCCCTCCATTCGGCTCAATAAAACAAACACTCCATGTGTCTCACAAACGAGGGGCGTCTGGCACCACACCAGATGCTTCATATTGCGCCATGCTTGTCTCAATAATAATCTGAATTAATCGCAGCTGTCACATGACCAAACTTGCCGTTTTTTGCTAAAAACTCTCGCATGCCACGGTAAAATTTTTTTTCCTTCGGTGAATCGGATTATTTTTTCACAAGGAATTCAATGATGACGTTATTATATTGCGCTTTTTTGTAGTATTTTGCGCAACTTCATTATACTGTATTATTACCGATATTGAGGGACATCAATGTGCAGATGTCTCCCAAAAGAGGGGTGTCTGATCATCAGTAAAATAGGTTTCTCTGAAACGAGACAATGTCACCCGATCTATACAGTGTGCCGTACTGTCATAGGGCTTGTCAAAGTATAATGACCTAATCTTTCGTTGACGTAGTCAGGTAGGGGTTAGGATGGACATATGCAAAAATAGTTGAGTCAGGCCAATTAGAAGTGCATGTGGTACTAAACTATACCAGACCCAACGCTTTTTGTTGTAGGTGCATTGCTGAAATCTTTTAGAAATAAAACTTAAAAAAAAATAGAAATTATTTTCAAAACTGAACTCCAATTCAATGCTATTCATATATTTGAAATTACATGAATTATAATCTGCCCCAGTCTGCCAGTATCGGGCACGAGAACAATCCAGAAATGATTGATTTATAATAAAAACAAATTTTCAGAAAAATTAAAATTACTAAATCAGTAAATTGAGTAGCCAATAAACCACTGTATGTACCAATGTACTGTATTTAAAAGTAGGAAAACAATAATAATTAAGTTTCAAAAAAAGTATGAAAAAAAGAAATAAACAAACCTTTCGTCCATATGCCTCCAGTTGTCCGATCTTCGAAGTGCAGGCTCAACATCATCTCGAGATCCGCGGAAGTTTTAACATGGAGAGTTCGCGTGGAAAAATCACCTTGCAAGGCGCTGTCGCTCAACAAGAAGCAAAAAACTCGAATTATCCAATTCGTATTTTTCGAATATACTCAATTCGAACACGAATATAATCTATTTTTGATATAGCTTGTAGCAATTAGCTGTAATCACGTAAAATCAGCCGAGCAGAAATTGACAACACGCTCAAAATATTCCCACGAGGTCAGAAAATGGCGCGTGAATTGCAATGACGTCATTTGATGCAAATTTGGGGTATTTTTGCGTTTTTATTGAATTAAAAAATATTATTTCTGCACGAAATGATTTTAAATTTTTGACTTAATAAATATCAAGCCAATTTTAGGTCAAAAACGCGATATCTGCGATCTTGCAAAGATGTAAAAATATTGCCGGTCCACGTGGTTAATGACACGCTTGAAAGGTTCGCATGAGATCAGGTAACACGGAACCACAAAAATAAAAAATATTATACTGCATTCATGAGCTCTAATTTTATGTAAAAACCAAAATAAATATTTAAATTATTGTGCAATATAAATTGCAAAACTTTGAATCAAATTAGCAATTTAAAATGGACGACGGACCAACAATGCCGTATTTCTAGAACACGAATGTTGCAAGGTATTCTAATTAATATTTCATGAAACCATAATAATCGTATTATTTATGAATACTTTTATCATCAGCTCTCCTCTCCTCTCAGTTTCGAATATTCTAGTTTAAAAATATATTTTCACTATTTGGCACTATTGAGCAAAACACGTGTTAGCGGAGGTGTGTAATAGGCGGGGTTTCCCGCGGATTTTCCAACGCTGTACCTGTTCAGCATATCGCCAAAGCATATACTGTATGACCCTATCAATGGCGTTTTAAAGTTTGTTTACTGCAACTAATGGAAATACGAGACGAGTTTCCGTAGTGTAGTGGTTATCACGTTCGCCTAACACACACACAAAAAAATTAATAACACGCGAAAGGTCCCAGGTTCGTGCCCGGGCGGAAACAAACCCATCTAATTGAGTTGGTCATGATTCTTTCGTATCGGCAACCATCTCATTCCAAATGGAACCCCATGCATAACTGAAATACGAGACTAAATGTCTTTTGCAAAACTGATATATGCTTTTCGTAGAACCGTTAATAACATTTATGGTTTCCATGTTACAGTGTGAATTAGGATAGAATTTTGGAGAGAAAATGGAGAATTCTGGAGTGCAAGCAAAATCTTTAAAGAAGTTTAAAACATGAGAAAAATCACGTGCCTTCCCACCAGCACGCACACAAAAACACCAACTCAATTAAATTAGGCTTGGGCTAGAATTAAACAAACAATATACGCGATAGGATTAAACTTTCGGGCAGTTGTCCGGTAACCAGTCTATGTTGAGTTATTAATAGTTAACCAGTTAATCTTTTCAGATGCATGAACTTTGGCGGATAGGCTGGAATACATAACCCATGGTGCTGCTGCCATACTGACACAATTTCCACTAGAACATACTTAAGATATATTTATTCTATATACGTCGATGCACTCTACATTCCAAGCGTTCAATTAGCCGGCAAAATGAAACAAGTAAACTACCCTTGCTATATACACAAGCCCTCTCGATATAGTAGTCGTCGCCCGGCTAGCTCAGTCGGTAGAGCGTTGGACTCTTAATCCAACGGTCGTGGGTTCGAGCCCCACGTTGGGCGCAGTTTTAGCCCTATTTATCTGCCCGGTCTAATGACAAGTCGACTTTGCGTGATCTTACATATGTGCAATGGTTTGATTATTGAGTGCGGAAGGAATGCTGGACGCCTCCCCGCCGTAGAGTGCTTCACATAACAGCTGTCAGCTGGTCCGTTGTGGCTTCCTCCACTATCAAGTCCATGCTGCTGAAAACAAATAACGGGCTTAACAAATTAGAGGCGGTTTTTCGCCATATGATTTAGCCTTCTTATCTCTTTTTCTCTACCACTCCACAATCTTATTATCGGACAAGAAACGAACGATAGCGAATTAGTCGGCTGACATAACTATTGCGGCTTGTATAGATAGGCCTACTTGGGATCAACTGAAGAATCTCCCCCAGGCTACCCAATTGAAGAATCTTCACCCCAAGTTAGACCAACTGTAGTATCTCCACCCCAACTAAGACCATCTAACCCTAACCAAATAATTAGTCCAGGTCAAATAAAGGATCAGCTGGTATTGTCGGCTTAGGTGGGTTGGGGGAGAGGGATATTCTTCAATTGGGAAACGGGATCAACTGAAGAATCTCCACCCCAACTAAAGAATTTTCTGTAATGTCCGGACTTCAGTAATTTTGAAGTTTCGTAAACGAACCTTTTGTGAAAATATTTAAGTAGTTCTGGTCTAAGACAACGGTATTTATGCAGTTCCCATCAGTAAGTGTGACAGCTTCGACAAAAGGCACGAGTAAGCTTCGTATTACGTCATTATATAAAAAATATTGCGGCGCTCCAGTAGTATATTCACTTGACTAACACGGTGTTAGGGTAACACAGACAGTCCCGAACTCGTAATAGGACTGAAATAGAAAAAATCGGAATAAAATGATGGCCTAACCCTAACCTGGCACACATACTACGGAAGTACGAAAATTGCCTCCCTAAAAAAAATTGAGACTATCTATGACTTGCTCGAAAAAACCTCGACTTGCTGTTAAAGGAACCGAAAGAACTGCTCACCTCTGCCTAATGGTGAAAAAATTGTCCAGTATTTTTCAAATATTTATTATTCGCGTATATTTTCAATTATTCGGTTAATAAAATCGACACTTAAAAATTATAATTGAAACAAAAAAGCACTGAAGACTTTGAAACATTTCGAGACAATCGCCAGGTACAGAAAGATTTATTGAAATTAGAAAGTAGTTGCCAGATTACACAAGAAAATGATGGAGCCAGGTTTGCATGCACGGACTTGGTTGGCGGCAGTCCAGAGGCGTATTGTCAAAATTTCTTCCAATTACAGCGAAATTACAGTAGTTTTTACAGTGCGAGTCCGTCATAAATACTTCGTGACAACTACAGTAATCAAACCCCACCCCCAAAAAAATACGGAGATGGGGCTTCGATCAGTGGCGTATCTAGGGTATGGCAGCCATAAATCGTACCGGGGGTGCAAAATGGGTAAAACTTTTCAATCAAATAATTTCATATCGAAATTAGTAGGAACTTGTATTTTTACTCAAATAATAACGTACAAATATCCCAATTCGGCGCTCCGGAGAATTCGTACCAAGATGACGCACAACCTGACCAACCCCAACCTGGTACGCATACTATGTTCAGGTTGTGCGCCATCTTGCTACGAATACTTCGGGAGAACCCTCAATTCAACAACAGTCGTTATAAAATGTCAGTCAACGATCAAGGGGTGCAATTTTTCAACTTTACCATCTGCGCCATTTTACGTAGATACGGCACTAGTTTCGATATATACAAGACAGTTGGACCGAAGACTGCCATTTTTATTAATAATTAAGTAGCATTTTTAAGCTCCATGATGCCGGGATTTCGTTAATGTAAATTGAAAGTAAACAAAATCACTAATTTGGGAAATGTTTATCAGTCGTTCTCAAACGGTGCGGCACGCACCACCACGTAGGGGTGTAGACAATTATCAGGGGGGCGTAAAGCCAATTAAAATATAAAGCATTTTTAGATTTGATCTTGCCTGCCTTATTTTGGTAAATTACATTTCTTCATTTCGGATATTTACGTTCTATACACGCATTTGCAACGTATATTTTGAATAAAACATATTTCCGCCTTAATATCGGTTATTTATAACTTTTTTTTAGATAATTAGTTTTTTTGAGGTGGGGCGCAAGACTAATTCTAGAAAAGGGGGGAGGGGGGGGGCTTAAAAGTTTTGAGAACCACTGAGTATAAAGTTGAATTCATTCCTTTTTCTACAGCTTCGATGACATGTTGGAAACCACCGATCCATCATAGTCGTCTGACAAGAGTTTCTTTATCTTTTTCCTGTAAGGAATGAAGCGTTTTACGTGGATGAAACAAGAAAATTCAACAACAACAAAATAATCCAGATACACTTCGTGCCAATAAAATACTCACTTCATTTTATTGCTTTGCCAGCAGGAGAATATAAACATGAACAACAGAACGGTCGTCAAGCAGATGAAGGTTATCAACAAGGCACCTGCTACGTCATTCGACATGTCGACGCCTGGATAAAAATATAAGGTTTTCTGTTGTGAGAGCTGAATAAATCGGAGTCTAATCTATCATTAGTGAATGCAAGTAGTTGGGGTTTCTATTAGCTCGATCAGTCCGAATTCTAATATCTGCGGGCCGTGTTCAATTGCTAACTGGAGACCTGACTGTGTTGGCAATGCAAGCAAGGGCTTAACCAGGTTTTCAGATATGTAAGGTTTGGCACCCCTGCTTTTGGAATGTTTTGTGTCATACACGGCAATTTTTCGTTGCTTGAAACGCATTTTAGACCTTCGAGGCTGGACCACTCTATTAGCAGTGCGCTTCTCAAGGTGCTCCCGTCATATTTGTACCAAGAAGGCGCACAACCTGAACATAGTATGTGTACTAGCTTAGAATTATCAGGTTGAGCGCCATCTTGGCACACATACAACAGGAGCACCCTTCTTAGTGTACTTTTCAACTTGCTCTTCCGCCTACTGACATAACCTTTGAACCGTGATTCAAATTTTTGAGGCGATAAAGACTTCTTTCGTACGAAGTCAACATTGGGTATAATTGAAAGCCACCATTGATGTGTGAGAACATACCTGCGTCAGACCAAACTCCTGCTTCGCAGATTTTATCTCCACCAGTATCCGGATTGCTTGGACTATGCGGATCTTCGGTACCCGGTTCGCTTGGATCTTGTGAGCACGAAAGACCTGCGGGAAAATGAGGTAAATAGGATGAATCGGGCTTATTAGTAGTTGGCTCCGGACAAATATTTTGGATATAAGTTCCTAAATCGAGAGTCCTTGAAATCTGGGTACAGAGTCGAGTCAAACATTGAGTCAACTTTACAGTGTTGGGTGGGAGACCCTAAATCGAGAGACAAATAGAGTCATGAGTCAAGTCGAGTCAGAGTTCGCCGGCTCCTATGTCGAGTCAATCAGTGGGATTATACCTTATAGTGTTGGATCCAAAATCGCGAGTCAGAATCATCGAAGTCCGAGCCGAGTCGAGTCGATCACTGAGTTAGGTCTCACTGTATAGGATAAATCCCGAAATCGCGAGTCACAAATCAAGTCGAGTCTAGACTCATCATCCGAGTCCGGGTCCTAAGTCGAGTCAATCAGTGAGGTAAATCTTACAGTATTGGGTAGAGGTCTTTAAATCGCGAGTCATGAAACATCTCCAGTCGAGTGAATAATTAATTAAATTACACTGGCGCTTATTTTAGTACAGGTTACAGGATCCGTAGTAGAGTCAATCTAAGTTAAGTCTCACAAGCGATTAGGTGAGTACGCAAGTCCAGCAGTGTTTTGCTCCGGTTGAAAGTTAAAAAAAAACGATCTAAATTCGATTAAACTTTGATATTTAAAGGGCTTTATATTACAACTTATACAAAGCCTTTACTTATATTACAACTTTGATATTTATACAAGACTTTAGGAAAGCTATTGCCAATGTACAAAATCATGGTGGAAAGAATCCAAATAACATTTTAAATACTTTGGCTATATCGTATTGCGAATAAATAAACATGCACTAGGATGCGGTTATTTATTTAATTTATGATATATTAAATTAGTAATTAGAATAGTTATGACGTCATATTATACCCATTGTTAAATAATAATGTTCCCAAAATTCCCAGTTCCTGGGCGTTTCCAAGTCGTTGTCATTAGTTACGCCGTCATTGCCGTCGTTTAGGACAACGGTATTCCTACAAATTCCATCACCGGAAGAGGAGTAAGGTGTAAACGGATCTGACGTCATATCACTGGCGAAGGTCCTGTGAACATTCGAATGAGTTTATTAAAAGATCATCGAATTATTGGTGACAGATGTGCGATGGGGCTGATAGCGTAGCTATATGAGATCTTATTTATGAGGTTTACCATATGGGAACTCGTTTTCCCCATGGTGAGGAAAGCCGATATGTCGAACTACGGCCTATTGTTGATTACCGGTCCATGTCGGGTATGGGATTAGTTAGTCAGATATTTGATTTGCATATGCATGGACTTGATGGTGAACGAAGCGACGATAATGAATTGAGCAGATAATGCTGAACCGGGACAATTTCTGTTTTCCAAAAATATGTTGCTTTTGAGGTCTTAATGGATACAGAGCCATGTTTAGAGTGAACGACGAGAACACGCTTAAAAATACTTCAACAAACCCGGATTTAGCGAACTCCGACCACATCGTCATCATTTCATTTGAGAGCGTCTCGTCAGCGGAACTTGAGAAACCGAACAAGTAGGGAAGCTCTTCGCCGTTAGCTGCTCCCTGGGCAATAAAAAATTCACATTTGAATTACGTTGCAGCATTGTCATATTTCGTTTACCATATAAAATATTCTGACTGGCTATGCTCTATTGATTGTTAGATTATAATGAAGGCGACTTTTCTCTGAGCAAACTTATCACATAAAATGTTTCAAAATTTCAGGACAACCTGCGAATCCGCGAACTGCAGGGACTTCGCAACGATATGAAAAGAGTTTGATTGACATCCAATGATTGATTTCAATCAAAAAGCCAGCCTTTGTTTGAGCGTTGCGGACAAATACCCATTGTTGTCAGAAAAGGCAATTAGAATTTTATTCCCTCATGCATCAAACCTATAGATGTGTGAGGCAGCAACTGTTTTCAGGAACTGAAATTTTGAACTAAAATGATTGATTAGTTGCAGAGAAAAGCAATTATTCAACTTACCATTCGGCTACCACCTCCGCTTACCCTGAAGGAATATTTATATATTGATCTGGCAGGCTGCGTCATTGCAATCTAAAAAATAATTTGTGTAATTATTTTTGATACGTTTGAATACAAAGACTCATTCCCTCACGTCTTGTAACTGCTCGTTTTTGTCTGGGAGTCGAGGTTTGAGCGCTCCAGAAGTGTGTGTACCACTATGAAGGTAACTAATTTTGTTCGCCTACTTTAAATCTAGTTGTGTAAATGGACTGAAACCTATGGGCAGGGGGTATATTCGCTTGGCTAACACAGACAGTCCCCGAACTCGTAATGGAACTAAACAAGGAAAATAACGTAGTGTACACAGACTACGGGAGTACAGACGTTTGTTGTGTGTTTTTCTGATTTCGAGATGCCAAACTGAGGTCGTATTTTTATATTCTCCGCACTCGGAGTTTCATATTTTTATTGGTGGTGATCGGAGTCATTAGGGCTTGGCATTTCCTAAAACCAGATGATCAAAGAATCGTATCGAATTTTTTTTTTCTGAGTCGAATTTCGAATACTTGGTTGTTAAATAATTGTACGTGACTTTCTATTGTAACGATTCCTTCAGACACACAAATTACTAAAATCATGAATTCCCTCAGACAGACTTTTCGCTGAGTTGTCACACACAATAAGAAACATGTTTCATGAATACCTCACTATAAAGGAACAAGAGAGTAGTGCTCAAATATATGGACACGTAGCGCCACATAGTTTTGATGACGTCATAGCAAAAAAAGTAATAGCCTTCTGGAGAAAAATTCTATCTTTAATTAACCACCGAAAATTTCAAAGCAATTGGTAAAGTAATCAAAGAGAAAGGCGATTTCTTCAGAACGTGTCAGAGAACAACACGAGAATATCGGTCAGAGACCGAAGACTTATCGATCAAAAGTTAGGGGATCCCCAAAACAGCGCTCTTACTCCATAGTGACACCTTGTGTCCCATTACTAATTAATTATTAACTCGCTAATTATACTACATAATTTGCCCAAAATCAATAGGATTTTGGGCCGAGATATGATGAATGCACCTGCAAAATTTGGAGCAGATTCAATCTCGCTTTCGTGAGATATCGCGTACATCTAACAGACAAACAGACAAATACCTATCAACATACTTACCGATTAAAATCGATAAGTAATAACAACAAAACGATCGCTATGTCCACTACGTGTCCAAAAAGCCATATGTAAGTATTGACTTTACCTGAACATAGCATGTGAACCAGGTTGGGGTTGTTCAGGCTGTGCGTCATTTAAAACTAATATGGCGGCGATTCAAAATTTTCATTTGAAGCGATTCGAATAATTTACAATTCAATTTGATTCGAATGTTCAATTCGAAATGTTTTTGTTGCAAAAAAGTAAACTTTCTCGGAGTTTAAGTCAAAAATGTTCAACGCGGATGCGGGAGCCGAACTCGTTTTTTAATTGATTCGAAGTTGGAGAAATGATATAAAACAAAATCAATTGTATTCCATCATTGACATTTATGAATCACAATTAAAAATTCATACACAAGGGAATATCTGCCAAGTATTGGAGATTCGATGCGAAAAAAAATATTCGATTTGATTCTGAAGTCATCTGATATAAGAAATGCCATTCCCAGCCACGAGCCTTAAAAGGTCAGGAACCACTGTTATAGAACAACGTTGGGGTCAAAGGTCAAATACCATTGACACAGCACTGCTTTGTGCACAACAGTTTTACCACAAATACCTCTTGAGCCCAAGTCTCGTATAGTTGGTCGCTGTAGATCACCGTGCTCAATGCATTCTGTAACCGAGGTAACGAAGCGTTGAAATCTCCATAGAAACCGCCGTAGAATAGCTTGAACATCTGAAAAGGATGAAATATGTTGAATGATCAAAATACAATTGTTGAATATTAGTGACTGATTGTATGGAGCGTTATTTGGGAAAGGCGTGATTATGAGTCGCATATAGTAGTATTGGCGTTTGAGAGCGCGCGCGAGAGAGAAACATTTATTCTTTCATCAACCAAAATACAGTCATCTATAAAATGGCAACAGCAATTGAAATTGTTTTGGTATGGGCAAGAGGGAGCGATACGACTTTTCGTTCACCTAGGTCAACTCCCACAAAGTATGAAAAACATAAAAAGGGACGTTAGCACTCCTTTATAGCAGCGTTTCCCAGTCGAAACGGAATTATTTTATCAGGGAAGAATTTTATTGTTTTATACACGCCAAGGTATAACCTACTTTCATTCTTTTTCCAACGTCACTTTCATCCCAATCATTAAATTCTGACGTACGAGATGTGACGTCACGTACAACGTCATAGTACCACGTTTCACTGTCCACGTCCACGGCTGATGACGCAATTTGTGAGCCATCCAAGTTGTTGGAACCGACCACCATATCAATATCTGTGTTAAAAGATAAGAAATTGGAATGTAAACTTGGAGATAAAAGATAAACAATTGCATTTGATACGAACTGCGATTCCTACTTTTGTAGTTGAATCTGATGAATGGTCGAATATGTTTCCACAGAGTGAAGTAAGTTCTGCGGTCTCTGCCATAAAATAGCTAAAAAAATAGCTCAAGGAATTTGTTGAGATTGGGATTAAATTTAGTTTTGGTGCGAGGTTTTCCCTTTTTGTTTCTGTAACTCTGTAAATATTGTTCATAAAATGTAACCTTTTAGATCACACTTATGGCCCGTCCGTCTAGGTCGGTAAAATATTTGGCGGCCTATGGTTCAGAACCTTTGACCCGTACCCCTGGTATAGTACCAGCCTACTCATGCAAGGAGTCCAGCAATCCTCTCGCACATAATTATCCTTCTACGAAATTTGAACTTGTGACCTCATGCCGGGTAAAAGCTATGAAATGGCAAGTTTTTTTCTAGATCCCAGCATGCCAAACCATGCGTTTCCAACTACTGGCAGCTTGCTGCAAAAAGACTTGTTCAGGGCGATAATGTGAAAATATCAATATTTATTGACTTACAGCGGTCCTGGTTGACGGTCTCGCTCTTCATCGCCTCTCGTGGTTGAACGGGTATTAGGTTGCTGATTACCGGTTGCCAGACTCCCTGGAAAATATGAGGATGTTAGGAGTCGCAGAACTTAGTATCCGAATCCGACTGATACTCCGGTGATTTTTATAAATCTAATTCTGGCTCCGACTACGGAGTGACAAACAATTTTGACTTTTATGGAAGAAAAAATCGAGACACGAATCCTAAAATCCGACGCTGGCCACTTTTTTTAAATGTAGAAATAGCATATTTCTGTATCAAACATATCATTTTTTGTGGTACTCCCGTAGTATGTGAACCAAGATGGCGGACACCGGAACGTAGTATGTGTACCAGGTTAGGATTAGGCCATAATTCCAGGTACAATAACTACGTTAGTCACTTGGCTAGTTCCCGAACTCGTAATGGAGATAAAATGAGAAAATTGGAATAAAATTATAACCTAACCCTAACCTTACACATACTACATTCCGGTGTCCGCCATCTTGGTTCACATACTTCGGAAGTATTTTTGTCGTAGCTTAGGCCCTCAAGACGTTTGAAAACCAATAGACCCGATAGCTGATACAGTCAAACTTGACAATTAGATTTGCTGAGTGCGTCCCTAAATCTACCAGAAATTGTGTTACACATAAAACCCATATATGATTGAATATTTGGAAAGCTGTGTTCATAGCAGCAGACGCACCTCTCATTAGATAAATAAATGTAAATGGTATGACAATATGACATTTTGTTGACATTGCCTGTATTCCTTAGGCCTACATGTTTACAAACTTTAAAATGCATAAAGTACACATTAACGATAACAAAATTGAATTTTATTTGAGAGCATCAATTTTTTTTCGCGTAAGCGCGCCTCGAGTATTTTCTCTCGATAATTTGGCGCTGTACAAAGAAAAATTTGGCAAACGCTGCCATATTATAGAAATACTACTCAAAGCGCAAATAATAAGAAACGGCAACTTACAATTTCTTCTGAGGCTGCTAAAATCTCCTCTGCAGTTGCGTCGTTACGTAGGTAACTCATTACGTCATTCATTGCGTAAATACCGAGAGTTGCCAGAAATGCTGGAACAAAATCATAAGGATAGGATTTCATTTTCATATTAGCCCGGGGGAGTGCCGATATGAAGACTTAGTCATATGACGGCCTCTCGTCCGTTTACAAGTCCATGTCGGGCATGGGATTAGTTAGTTATTTGTTTCTGATACATGGACTTCATGTTGGAGGAAGCCGCAATCGACTAGCGGTTACGTGAATCATCCTGTAGCGGCGAGAAGGATAGGATAGGATTTACATATTTATCCCGGGGGAGAGGAAAGCCAATATGGCGAACCACGGCCTCTCGTCCGGTTACCATTCCAAGTCGGGTATGGAATTAGTTATATTGTTTGTTTTCGGAAACATGGACTTGGTGGTGGAGGAAGCCGTAACCAACCAACGGTTACGTGAACTACCCAACGACGGCGAGGAGTCCAGCAATTCTCTCGCACGTAATCATCCCTGCATGGGATTCGAACCTGAGTTTTGAATCTTTATTCGGACCTCCTGAAGTATGCGTACCAAGATGGCGCACAACCTGAACTGAGGTTGTGTACCAAGTTAGGGTTCAGGCTATGCGACATCTTGGTGCGCATACTTCAGGAGAACCCTCTTCTATTCAATACATATCGTCGTAGTTTTCTTTAGCTGTTGAACTGACCCACACGGCATCATTATATGTCACCTCTATGACCCCTTTCTAGACATTTATCTGGCATGGCGGAGATGGGATTGGAAACTGAGACTTTAATTCTCTTTTAGTACATACCGTCGTAGTTCTCCTTAGCTGATAATCTATCCCAGACCGCATCATTATATGTTGCGCTCTGAACAACCGCCCTGGAGAAGAGAGATCGACTGCTTTCTATGATCGTGTGCAGATGAACGGACGACCCTCCTGAACCGCTGCCGAAGATCGTGATCCGCTCCGGGTCTCCATCAAAAAACTAGAAAAATATACGACAATGAGAGATATGGGGGTGACGTCATAGTTCAAGTTGATACAGTATATCACCCAGCTTTTTAGTTCAGGGGAGGGGAAGGTTTACAAATTTAGAGGGTGGTAGATATTTTGGTATTAGTGATAAAACTATTAAAACTTACAAGAGAGCAATGCTCAAGTATATGGACACGTTAATCAGAGCAATGCAGTCCTTACCTTTTACGCTACCGGTACCCTCAAAAAATTTCCGCCGGAAAGCCAGTGTTCCCATGGATAAAATAATACAGCGAAAATTTGGACGAAATATCAAATTTCATAGAATTCATACAAAATTTAGAAATAAAAAAGAGTAATAGCTTTCTGGAGAAAAATTTCATCTTCAACCACTGAAAATTTTAAAGCAATTGGTCCAGTAATCGAAGAGAAAGGTGACTTTTTGAAAACGTGTCAAAGAACAAGAACAAGCATAAGAAGAACCAAAATACCGAAACGATCGTTATGTCCACTACGTGTCCAATAACAAGAACAACCCCATAATATGGAAAGGATCGTTATGTCCACTAACGTGTCCAATAAAAACGTGTTATGTATTTGATCAATCATCTGCACCGGTATCTAACCCAGTTTACGAAGATTCAAATACAATTTTGCCTTCACGTCATCTCTCACCATAATATTTTCGTTGATCCATTTCAGCGCCATCTGCTGGTCCATGAGTCCAAAATTACTTGGCAGTGAGTCACTTCCATTTGATAAAAATCCTAGCGCCCCCAGACGGTAGTTCACAGTAACTACGATGACGTCATGCTCTGACGCAAGCACCGATCCGCTGTATGCCATTCCTAAAAAAAGAAGAAAGCAGTGTCAAAATTTATGCGTCTGAAACGAACAACTGGCTAACTAATCCCACACCCGCCATGTACTGCAAATCGAACTATTGTAACTTACAAAGTATGTGAACCAAGATGGCGGACACCGGAACGTGGTATGTGTATCAGATTAGGGTTAGGTCATATTTTTATTCTAATTTTCCTTATTTTATTTCTATTACGAGTTCAGGGACTAGCCAAGTGACTCCCGTAGTAGTTGTACCTGAAATTATGGTTTAACCCTAACCTGGTACATACACTACGTTCCGGTGTCCGCCATCTTGGTTTACATACTTCGGGAGTAACAAAACTATGAATAAAAACAATTTACTCAAAGCTATAGTCGTCATTTCAACAGATGCAAGTGGGCCGTATATGCCCGCCTCTGATTTGGAACGTTTTATGCAATTTCCTTTCCCCCTGGATAAATATGAAAATTCTGCCCTATTCTAGAATTAGGTCCCACTTTACCTGACCCGCTGACGAAATCGCCTCCGTGGAAGAAGACCATGACAGCTTTGGTTTCTGACGTCACATTGGGTTGGGACGTCACATTGGGTTGAGACGTCACATTGGATTGTGGCGTCACATTATCTTGTGACGTTGACATTGTCGTGGACGTCATATCTGTACCAGCCGGCTGATAAATATTAAGGTAAAGGCAATCTTCTTCGCTCGTCACAATACCGGAGAAAGCTGAAATATAGAAACGTTGGCCTCCATGGTGTTTGTGCTAACACGATCTTGGAATGTCGTGATAATTATAAAATATAAGGCGTGGAGTGCTAAGCGATAGGAATACGCTCGCCACCGCAACTGTGATTACTCTGCGTGGGTTTGCAGGTTCCATCCCATGTGAATATAGTTAGTTATGTGCGGAAAGATTGCTGGACTTCTCGCCGCCGTAAGGTGGTTTGCTTGAAATTTGAACAAATTTCTTGAGCTATTTTTTAGCTAAAACATCCAAATTTGTTTTTAGTTTGGCTGTGGCATCATCAGACGGGCCAGACTGAATACCGAACGGTACGGCCCACGGGCAGTAGTTTGTCATGCCAGATATAAACAAATGAGCAAAATATTAAGTAATCCTCTTACCCGTGTCTGTGGTTTGAGCCCCAACAAGAGACGTACTTAGCTCAAGGTCATTCTGCAGGCAAGCTGAGCCGAACTCAAACGCGTCCAACGTTCGATTCCACGGCCTGACTGGAACCGGGCCCCGAAATCTGTTGTCTCCGGTGGGTGGTTCAGCGTAGGGGATTCCCAAATATTCAGTAATGTCGCCTCTGTTTACAAATCCTGACCCCTGGGGGAAAAAAATTAGATATGATATCCGAGTTGACAGGTATGAGATTTATAATCGGTCGATAACAAAATAATTTATTACCTGGCCACGTATAGGTCCTGACGTAGTTTCGATGACGTTATCTTGAGCTGATGATGTATGCAATGTAAGAAAAATAATAAACGGAACAACAGATAACATTATACACGTTTATTTGTAAAAAGGCACTAAAAATAGAAAAAAATAATTTTTAATAAAAAAGTAATGCAAGTATTAAAAGCGAATCCAGGGGTGGGCAGTTACTCTCCTACGTGGGCCTGTTACACATGATATAATTGGCTACTGGACCGGAGGCTTAAAACTCAATCCGGAAAACTTTGAATAAAACAGTTTATTTATAACAGCTGAGCTAAAAATGGGGTCATTATTGCGCGACTTTCATCGATATTTTCAACGGAAATTTATATCCAATATAGTCTTACTACCAGCAGACACAAGTGGTCCTAATGAAGTACTTAGGTGGCCGGATCCGAGCCGTAATTTCTCCTCGAATAACTAGTGTATTCGTTAATTGATACTGATGGGATTTGAGTCGGGGTTGGTCTATTTGTTGGGTTACCGTTTGTTTCTAGCAAGACGGTCGGAGCAACGGCCATTTGCGCAGAGTCGGGCCCAGGTGAGTGCCTTAGGGGCAGAGCAGAACATTACAAGGGACAGCAGGTCTATCTGTAGAGTTTGCTTTAATTCACATGTTTGGTCTTATACATGCGAGTTTGTTGTTTGGTTTGATGGTTCAATTAATATTACAAGCATTTCACTCTTACTTGACCTCTAATTTATCCATTCTCGTGTATAACAACGTCTACATTTCTATCAGAAGACTCAACTACGCTTCTTTTTGAATTACAGTGAAATAGCACTGAAGGATGCAGAATTTTCAAATTTATGCTGAATAGGAGATAAGCCAGGGGCTCCCGAGGTATGCGAACCAAGATGGCGGACATCGGAATGTAATATGTGTACTAGGTTAGGCCATAATTTTAGGTATAAATACTACGGGAGGCTCTTGGCTAGTCTTCGAACTGATAATAGGACTAAAATAAGGAAAATTGGAAAAAAATTATCGCCTAACCTGTTACCCATGTTACGTTCCGTTGTCCGCCATCTTGGTTCGCATACTTCGGGAGCACCGATAAGCCTATAATACGACGCCGTCATATAGCGCAGTTGCTCCCAACCTTTGTTCAAAGCGCCACAAATTAAAAACAAAATAAATTTGGGAAACATCTCGCGACCAAAAGATTTGCAAATAAACTCGTGTAGCGCTTTTATGGCCTCAAAATTAAATTACTATCATAAAACCATTTGTATATGACATTTATTTCTCAAAAATTACCGCAAAATGGAAAAGCTGTACTTGAGTGCAAACAGCAAGACGCTGCCAAGTTTTTACGCAGTTATACTTCCCATATATGAAATTACTAGTAAGCAGCACTTGAAATATCCAATAACATTTACCAGAAAATGAAATCCTTAACATTTAAGTTTTTGTTGAAAAAAGAAGCGACCCAAAAAGAAATTCAGGCGACCCAGTTTCGGTTTGCAACTAGGGGGTGGCCATTTTGAATCGAATATTCGAGTCGAATCGAATGGTAAATTATTCGAATCGGTTCACACGGAAATTTCAACCGCCGCCATCTTGTTTTTTGCTCATCCGCAAGTCGAGATGAATCTCTAATTTTTTTTTTCATGTCAAATCTTTGTAATGCAACTCTGACATATGACTTTTCATCCGAGTGAGTTATTTATGAAACATGTTTCTCACTGCGTGGGAACTCTCAGCGAACTGTGCGAGTGATAGATAATACGTGTTTTCACTTATTTATGTGACTGAAGGACTCATTACAATAAAACAGTCAATACACTACATATCTTCCAAGTATTCGAGATTTGATTCGAAAAAATTCACATTTCCGAAAACTGCTATATAGCGCACCACGATTCATCGTCCGCTTTCCATTTCTGGCAACCAGTACGCAACTAGTCTAAGCTAAAGTAACTGAATGAAAAACCGCGCCCTGTTCTTGTACAAGCTGACGTCGAACGCTTTTACATGGGTTTCTACTTACGCACTCACACTGTTAAAAACTTGCAGAAAAGTAACAAAAATATGAAATACATTCGGGCGCATACCTAGTGCAGGGGTTCATAGTTCCTGGTTTCTTTTTTAAAGACTCGCAAGTTTTTCGATCGTCCTGGGAGCCGAGTGTCCACTTTGAAAAACCCCGCACTAGTGATATCCAGGCCGGCAATTCTGAACCGGACAGACTCCTGCCAGCCCAAATTGGGGGGGCTGGGCGGGGGGGGGGTTTATATAATGACGTAATATCGTAATGTGACGCCCACCGTTAGCTTTTGCTCCGAACAAAGCCAGATAAAAAACGCCACTGATATCTAAAAAATTCATAAAAAAATCGCTTTACAAACGTCCTTGTTCCCCCAGACACACTCTAAATGTACCGTGTGCCCCTTCCCGCCTGGCTACTAGCTGCGTTGGAATTCTGGTATTGGGAATTTCCTGGCTATCAACGCAATAATGATTCGGTGTGAGATTATAATGATACTAAAGCAAAAATAGGAACTTTTTGAAATTGAAAATGTGAAACCGTTGTATAAAAAATTCAAAATAATTTTTTGTAAATTTATAAATTTTTAAACAGTCATTTATCAGTTGCACGCGACCATAATGGAATTACAGATAATTCGTGATTTATCTTCGATGTATGCATGTACCATGCTTGGTAATTTGTTAAAAGTAGAAGAAACTGCGACTACATATAAGGTCGATAAACTGGGGCGGACGCCCCCGAAACACATGTTTTACATCAGTGAGAAATTTAGAATTGTTTACTTTGGTGTACTAAAACACGGAAACATCGACCGAACGTACGTAGGAGAAACATGTTTTTAAAGATGGGTTTAGACACGGCCATATTTGATGGCTTAAAAAAAGGTTTTCATTTGAATAAATTTGCGCCTAGAATAGTTTCGACCAACAAAATGTGTTGTGGGGGTATGTGACTTAATTTAAATGTTACGTAATTCGATGACGTCATTTGGTGTCTATTAGCAATAGCTATTTGTAATTGTACGCTAGTTCATATGAAGTCTGGGTGAAATGGTTGCCATGGGATTAAAACCTTAGATTTTGAACTTGATGGAAAAAACCATCGATTTGCGCTTTAGACTAGAGTATAATCGACTAATTGCCCATATTATTAAATTATATAGAATACGCGCAAATACTAAACGACATGTAGTGCTCCCATATCAAAAGAATTGAATTACTAATGGAAAACAAGAATTTCTACATAACATTTATTTCATTATTTCAGCAATATTATTTGTCCGCCATCAGCGATTTTTCGAAATTGAAGCGTGGCTTTACTTAATTAATCAGATACTTCTGAGTTTATACGCCGTGATACTTTCCAAGTATGCAATTACTATTAAGCAACACTCCAATATCAATTACAAAATAGACAGCTTGATTTATTGAAAAAATTATCTTTTAGATTTTTTTTGACAAATATCAATCCTAGAGAATTTTCAGACGATCCAGCCCTGAGTCGCGACCCATAGTTTGGTCAACACTGGGATATGACCTAATTCAATTATTACGTCAGTACTTTTTAAGCTGGATTCGATCTAACCCCTGGGGTTCGTATGAACTGTTCCATGGGTTCGACAAAGTGTATCATGAAACGTTTTTATTAACCAAGTCCAAATAACTGGCTGACTAATCCCATAATCGACATGGACTGGTAACCGGACGAGAGGCCGTGGTTCGCAATATGATTAAACCGTCTTATCGGCTTTCCTTTCCCCTGGGGTAATATGTAAATCCTACCCAATTTAAATTCTATCATCGCAACGTAGATATACAAACTTCCACATTTAAACAACTAATAAAATGGCTTAGCTGTGTGTATCTTCGAGCAGATACTAGTTTTAGTGGATCTGCCAATGACTCTTCTATCCTAAATTTTAGTACACTTCATTGAAAACTCATATCGACACAGATGTCGTACGCAAGGGTGTACTTGCCATTTGCTTTGTTACGAATATTTTGTGCGTATTGTTTTTTTTCCTTTGTTTTCAGTTTTACATTTGCCAAATTTGCATTCTTTCTAAGTTTTTCTTTATTTTTTCTTGTTATCCTCCCATTTTCTCTCTTCAGTGCATTCTCTCGTGATAGTTATATATTTATTTTGTTAAATAATCTGAACAGTAGCCTCAATTATGTATACTGCCGCAACTACTGGTATTCAGTAGTCGTGTCTCATTTAGTTACTTTTTTATACCAACCTGTATCAGCTAGGTGTCGCTGCTTGAAGACCTCTATAGCAGGGGTTCTCAAACTTTTGGTGTTGCGGAGCCCTTGAAAAGGTTAACTATTATTCACGGAGCCCCAAAATAAATGTTAAAATTGTTACTTTCGGATTAATATTCATGAGCAAGTTGAAAGTACTTTACTCAATTTAAATGCTGAACCTTTTTTGAAAGGGTTAATACAAGTCATAAAAAAATCTAAATTTCAAACATAAATTATATATACTAAAGCTGTAAATTTGACACTTGACAAACATGGTCGAATCTTTTCCCTTTTGACATGTTTGGAAGACTTAAAAGGCCGCTAATAATGTGCGCGATTGCATTTTGTTACAATCGCCGATTTTTCCTCAGCATGACGTGTTTTTAAACCTTTAAACATCTTCACGCCGGTGTTTATTCTCCCTGATTCAAATTTCCCTCTGCATATACATGTATTGTTACACAATGACGACGTTAATGGCTTTTGTGTTCTCGTGGGGAATTATGAGTTCAATGTGAAAAACATGTTACCATATTATAGTCATCGGCGACGAAATGCTAAAAATAATAATTAATAAAGAGATAAATCTGCAACTCAAATTTCTTGATTAAAAAGCGGCATTCTGAAATATTAAAACTAAAACTTAAAATGGAAGATCACAAGTTTGGTTTCAGCAGACTCACCTAGGATTGAAAACGCTTTTATAGACATTGCAAATCACAGAATTTGGTGTTATGTTAGGTTTTCATTGTAGTAACTGCGAAATCGAAACACAAGTCAATTGTGCGCGCGATGTAGGCCTACCTTTTTTTCCCATTTTGAAACTACCGACGGAGCCGCACGCAATCAATTGTGCGCGCGATCCGCGATGTACCTTTTTTCATTCTGAAACTACCGACGGAGCCGAATGCAATAAAATAAATTTCAATTGTTCGTATTTTGCCCAGACATTGTGTTTTTTTAAAGGGCGATATCTTGCTTAAAAATAATCTCAAGTGCGTAAGAATCAAGTTTGACAAATCCCAATATCGCAAAAATACGACTCCAATTTATTGATAGTTGGCAGTTTATCACATATTTTATGTTATTTCAGAATAATATTCTTCCATTTTAGTAATCCTAATAGTAATCTCGAATCAAACGTGAGTAACGATGAGCACAATTACATTATAACGACGAGACACGTCAAATGCTCGCATTGGTCATGGATTGAATATTTCACACAACAGAAATCTCGTTATACGTTTTTTTTAATAGCGAAGAATGTTGCGCGGTAATTTCCGATTCCAATTTTGAACCACCTTCCTCTTAAGAATCCTGGCTGCGCTCCTGCTTATAAATAATGTCATTTTTTAATTCAGCCTCTTTGCCATATTTCGAGGCCATATTGTTGTCAGATTTTATCAAAGCTGTTATTGCTTCTTTAAACAGTTACAAAATTAGTCAGTATTTTGAAAAGTAATCGAATAGCTCGCGGAGCCCCTGGGTTCCTCTCGCGGAGCCCTGGGGCTCCGTACGGAGCACTTTGAGAACCTATGCTCTATAGGTCCCTCGAGACTCCAGTCACACAATTAACATGATCAGTATATTTCGTTTGTTGTAACAGTTTTCTATATGCTTGTTTTTTGTGTTGACAAATAAAAGATTGATTGATTGATTGAACGATTTGAATTGGCTTGCTATCAATAATCCTTTCACCTGATGAACTAAACGAGTTAGATGAAAATACGCGGTATATGCCTTGTATAACGTCGACAACAAAGGAAGTCTGTAGAGCTATTATTTTAAGATATTGTTAGATAACAGTGGATATTTTATTTGGCTTTGTTCGGAGCATAGTATTTACTTCATTATAAAACAAAAATGGTGATCCCAAAGTATGCGAACCAAGATGGCGGACATCGGAACGTAACATGGGTAACAGGTTAGGGTTAGGCGATAATTTTTTTCCAATTTTCCCTATTTTAGTCCTATTTCAGTTCGAAGACTAGCCAAGAGCCTCCCGTAGTATTTATACCTAAAATTATGGCCTAACCCTAACCTAGTACACATATTACATTCCGATGTCCGCCATCTTGGTTCGCATACTTCGGGAGCCCCAAAAAAATTATCATCCCCCCAACATTTTGGGCTGGCTACGCATGGGCACGAATTATCTTAGGTTTTTATGACCATTCCCGCGTTTTATACTTGACCATTTCCGCGTTTTATAGTATGTGGTATCATCACTCAGTGGTGTTGTGCATTCATCAGAATTCTTAATTTTTTTTTATTAATATATTCATATGCAGTGTGTTTCATGTTGTTTTGTGTCTCTATTTATAGATGTTGTTTTGTCTAACAAACTCCTTTGTACAAACAGTTTTGTACACTCCACCCATATCCCTGTTACCGCATCCACCATCCCTCCTTGCACAACTGCCTGTATAAAGGACCATATTGTACATATTTGATTTACCCTATTATAATTTATATATATCAAAAGGGGTGTATGCCGCACATTCGTGTTTTAGGCCAATATGGTCTTGTGCATACATCCCGTCTTCAGTATTTATAATTACTTACTCTTTTATATTGCTTTTACGAGACGAACATACATACATACATGGCAAACCTTGGGGCTTTGAGCTTTTATTTGCGTGAGCAACACCTTATTCGTAATCTAGTGTTAAAACTAAAGTTAGTTTAACGGGCAAGTAGAAGTTAGGAAGTAAGTGAACATATCGGAATGCAACATGATTGAACTTCACCAAGTGATAAAGTTGTGACAAATAATATTTCATTGCAGAACTTTACGTATAACTATCATCATCGCTTGTTTTGGACAACCTTGCACTGAGTCATATCGTATCTCTATTTCTGTAATAATGGAAAAACGCTTTTACCGAAAGAAATAAAAGCGACAAAGCGGCTTAATCATATGGCGAACCACGGCTTCTCGTCCGTTTACCAGTTCATGTCGGTATTGGATTAGTTATCCAGTTATTTGTTTTTGGAAGTATGGACTTGAAAGTGGAGGAAGCCGTAACCGTCCAGCGGTTACGTGACCCTTCCCACGACAGGTAGTCCAGCAATATTCTTGTACATAATTATTCTCGCAGTTTGATAGTTGAGGAACGAATGACTTGAGCTACCAGCGCCTTGAGGCATCATATTATCTGAATGCTGAATAGCGTAGGAGCTCACGGTAGTCTCGCAAGGGTTGAGAACCACTGGTGTGAGTATGAAATTTGTGTAACCGGCGAGAATTTTTTGACTCCTTGCACATATCGGAAACGTCTGCAAAACACATGCTGGACGCTTCAAAATTCGTTTGCAACGCTTATTGATCTGTAAGTTTACCGGAAATATAGAAAATAAAATGTCTGCGCAAGTTGAAAGGCAGTGGACTGATGAGCAATTACATGGTGATGACGTCAGTAAAAAAGAATTGATATCTTTTCTTCAAACTCACTCAACATCAGAGTTTTTAGCTGAGCATAAACTTCTGGGGAGTTTGAAAAATGTCACCAAAACTTCGAAAAGAGATGCCTTAGTGATTGCTTACAATGCTTTGTTTGAAACTTGTGCTTTTGGAACTGGTGCAGGTGAAATTTTATTGTTTATAACTAAAGTCAACTGATAAATAATAGCTAATGGCTGAATGGAGACTCCGAGACTGGGGTTTCGTGTAGTTTCGTACCGTAAAAGCGCCTAACTTCGGACAAAATTACTATATTTTCGTCAATAACTCGGCCATTTATTGTCCAAACGGTACCAAAATTGCTTGGTAAAACATTCGTGCGGTAATTTACATTCCCTGCAAATTTCGGTTCAATTGGACTATTTTTACTATTGAAATAATCGATATTTCTTGCCATCAGACCGTTATCCTTCACTGCCCTAACTTCGGACAGTCATTTTCTTCACTGCGTAACCGCGACGCACAGAGAGAAAGAGGCTTCCGATGCGGATGACGTAATCACGTCGTTGTGTGAAGATAAGACGCTCGATCGTCGTCGTAACGTAACATTGACGTCACGACGAAAATGCATTATTTGAAACTTCCGTCATCCTATGTTTACATCTTTCGTTCGTTATTTTCGATACTTCAGATGAGTATAATAACACGTTAGTCATTTTAATCAGGAAATGCATACGTAAATATATCTGATGCAAACCGTTTCAATCCACAATGAAGTATTTTAACGGGCTTCTATCGAAGTCTTTGAAGTATTAATATTCTCAACCGATAGCTTTTTTTTATTCTGCGCGGTTATCTTTATAAATGATAATTTATATCAAACACACGGTAAATCCGATTGTAAAGTTTAATTTAAAATTCAACTTAATCTTGTAAACATGTAGGTCCCGTTTATTTGTTGGAGATTAAATTTATTTTTAATTTCGAGTGAATAAAATTCACCCAGGCCGTATTCAATACCTGTCATTTCGACTACTAATCATAAAATAATGGTTAAGTCAGTGCACTGTACCATATGGACGTTGGAATTATCATAGTTTTATATATTCGATTTTTAACGTCATCGATTAAGTGTGACATGTATTTTCATTAATGTAATTTTGGCATATATTCATACATGACCGAACAAAATATTACATTGGAACGCCGTCTTTATCTTAACGGAAATTGTCATGTTGGCTCCGTTGTGTCTGGCGTCAAAATTCATTTCCGCGACGCAGTGTGACGTCGTGTCGGAAGTGAGCGAAAAATAATCTACGTTAGGTTGACGTAAGTTTTGACGCTGCGTGAAATCTTAATATTCTTACGGAATTTATAATTCAGAATTTTAGGTTTTATTTAAATCTCGTACGACATCTTGCGATCACTCAAATAAATTATATACATTGTTGTCGCCCTCTACCGAATGATGGTATTTTGACGATGATAGCTTCAGTAGGAGCGACGCTCTGCGCCGTTGAATGCCGGGCAGTCAATTTTCGGCAAAATTCCCGTTTTTTTACCAAAAAAATAATTATGCAACATTAAAAAAGATGGGAATAGATGTAGATATAACAGCGCAACCTATAATAATTAAAATTAGCAATATACGGCGCGTTTTAGCCAAGATATGGCCGTTCAAAAATTTTGTCCGAAGTTAGGAACTGTCCGAAGTTAGGCGCTTTTACGGTACCTCTTACTAACGTAGCCTACTTCTAGTAGGCGAAGCATAACAATTTTTTGGCATGTCAATCCTAACCCTCTTCTGACTACGCCATCCAAAAATTACGTCACTTTGACGTCACTATCACGTCATAGAGTTTGCCAAATACACGTACGCGGCGCCGACGATAAAGAACTGACTAACGTCAGCGATCTCTTTCCTTTCGGGATTGCTGCGACGAGGAAAAGAGAGAAATATCTGTTCAATTTTGGGTTCTCGTCTGCGCGTCTTGGATGACCAGTCTGGATTTCATGGCCTTTTTGAACGAGAAATCGGGCGTGCAATCCGAAATTCCCGCGTGCAAATAAGAAATCCTGGCGTGCAATTATAGCTCACGACGTGCAAAACAACTGCACTCGCGTGCAACTGACTTTGACATCAGATACCTCTCAATACATCCGCGTAAAATTACCGGTATCGGATAAAAAATACGTTGAATCAGAGAAAAAATAGACGTTTGACCTTTGACCCCAAACATTATTTCTACAGTTTGTCGCTAATTTTGAGAGTGTTTGTGCGACTTTGGATACCGGTACTGTTCAGTACATCCGCGTAAAATTATTGGATAAAAAACACGTTGAACCAGAGCAAAATGGACATACTTTGTCATTAATTTTGGTAGTGTTTTTACGTAGAATTAATGGATAAAAAATACGTCAAATTAGAGCAAAATGGACGTTTGACCTTTGACTCCAAACATTATTTTCATACTTTGTCACTAATTTTGGGAGTGTTTGAGCAACTTTAGATACCGGTACTGTTCAGTACATTCATGTAAAATTATTGTATGAAAAATACGCTGAATCAGAGCCGTACTTGGCCATTGGTGCGGAGGCGATCTTTTCGTCCATAACTATTCTCACGGGATTCCTATTTCCTATCATTCAACACGATATGGACCTTTCCCGAGCATCGACTTCCTTGTTTACTTCGTGACATTGGCCAATCAGCAAGATGCAAAAAAGGACGTAACAATGAGAGGAATTTTTCGCGGGTCAAAGGTTGGGGAAAGGTCCATGGTCTTTTTGCTTCGCAATATTTCGATCAGACCAAATCTTGCAAGCTGGTATTTGTCGACAATTGTGGAGGTATAATATTTTGGCATCTTTATATTACTGGATTATTGATTTTAAAACCATTTAAACCGATTTACATTGGTGAGCAATTGCAAATTTTCGGCGTGCAAAATTGATTTCGCTCGCGTGCATTTTTGCGGAGCGCTAGCGCCCTCGGGCGTGCACCTGCCATGGAATCCAGTCTGGTTGGATGACAGTTCGTATAGTTTGGAGGGCTCTATTACATCACTGTGACGTCGTAGTGATGTAAATTTTGGATGGCATAATCAGATGAGGGTTAGGATTGACTCATGAAAAAATTGTTATGCTACGCCCACTAGAAGTACGATAGGTACGAAACTACATGAGACCCCTCGAGACTGTTGGGCTGGTCTGATAGAAATATGATGCTCAGTTGCACTGCCGGAAACATTCTGGTTGGTGAGAGTAGAGAGGGACTGGACCATTGCGACATTTTGTGTTCGAAACATACTTGCCATATCACAGTAACACCTGAACACTGCTTCTACCATCCAGCCATCAGGTACATACAATTACGGCTTCCTCCACTATCAAGTCCATGCTTCCGTAAACAAGTAACTGATTCCCTACCCGACATGAAATGGTAATCGGACGAGAGGCCGTGCTTTGCTATATGGTTAAGCTGTCTTATCGGCTCTTCTCTCCCGCGGGATTAATATATAAATCCAATCCTATCCTACATGAATATGAAATGATTAAATGTCCGCCCACCACTGATAAGGAAAGGCTTTGGTTCGCCAATAAACTAAATTGTCAAATTGGCATTCCTCGCTTTCTTGGGATAATTGTGAAAAATTGTACAGGTATTGACACTATTACGAGAGCCCATGAATCATACATGGTGAAAAGAGATAAAAGGTCATGGTTTACCTCGTTATTTAGCCATCTCATTATCGTTAGAAATAAATGTCTATTTTGAATTTACAGGGGACAAGCCTGTCGCTGATTTGACTAAAAAGGTCGAGACATTGTCCACTAGTGAATCGAAGGCAAAAAAAACTACAGAAGATGACACTGGCCCACCCAAGTTCAAGAAAACCAATGTCTTGAAAAAGGGGGACAAAACAAATTTCCCCAAACCAGGGGACAAAGTGAAATGCTATTATGTAGGTAAACTAGAAGATGGGACTGTATTCGACAGTCTTACACAGGGAACTAAAAAGAAGAAAAATCAGCCTTTACAATTTAAAGTCGGCAAGAGTGAGGTGATCATTGGTTGGGACCAGGCTGTCATGGCGATGTCGGTTGGAGAGAAGTGTGAGGTCACAATTGAGCCTCAATATGCTTATGGGAAAGCTGGAAAGCCAGAAGCGAAGATTCCTTCCAATGCTACGCTGTATTTTGAGATCGAACTTTTATCCATTGACTGATAAGAGTCGCTGCAGTTTTGACAATATATTACATTTTTAAAGTCCATACATCTGAAATGAATAAGCGGTAACTGTTCCTATTCCTGGCAACATGACAAGAGGCCGTGGTTCGAGATGGGATTGAGTTATCCTTATGAGCTCCTCTCATCTGGGATAAATATAAGAATCCTATCTCTATTTTAAGCCCATTATATAACATTCCTTAAAGGAAAACTGGCAACTGTAATGCCCCTTTTTTCCAATTTTTTTTAATGCGAATGCTTTTTCCAACCCAATGCTTTATATCAGTGGTTTCCAGAGTTAATTGACTGGAGGCCAAAATTAGAAGTGGAAGGATATTGGCAGGCCAGGAGAGGGGAGCGCCCGCAACAGTCCGTTTGTTTGCTGCTGTGTAAAGAAGATTTCACCTAAGAAAATTCCTTTATAGAGTATTTTCTGATAATCGAACAAGGGACAGTTGTTTGCCACGTTACCTGCTTTCTAATTCACTGGGTTCAATAAAAAGCATTCCATTGGACTGTTAGTGAAAAATTGGAATCTGGATTGCTTTATGCTTGCAGAATGTTATATTTTCCAAAGATCAGAATTGTTCAAGTTTGCTATTGCCTAACCAATTATTATTATTTTGGCATGGGGTGCGTATTTCTGACATTTTGTATAAAATGAATTTTGGTTCCAGAACAAGTCGTCATAAACCCTGATATTTCAACTTTGATGTTAATTAACAAAGGTGTCTTTGCTAATAACCAGTTTTGAAATTTATGTCTCTCTATATTCCAAAATGGGTGCTCCCGAAGTATGCGAACCAAGATGGCGGACATCGGAACGTAACATGGGTAACAGGTTAGGGTTAGGCGATAATTTTTTTCCAATTTTCCTTATTTCAGTCCTATTATCAGTTCGAAGACTAGCCAAAAGCCTCCCGTAGTATTTATACCTAAAATTATGGCCTAACCCTAACCTAGTACACATATTACATTCCAATGTCCGCCATCTTGGTTCGCATACTTCGGGAGCCCCCCAAAATGCTATTGTTTGATTTCGTTTTTACATTCTGTATGCACAGTGTGTATTTTTAGTTAGATGGAAAATAAAGTATTAATTTTAAAATAAGTTTTTGTTTTAAAATATTCGACCAGCTTTTAATAGAAATAGTGACAATCACTTTTAGTGTATTCTTTTTCAAAACTCTGGAGCTGTGATAACTGACAAACTATTCGAATTATAGAAACAAGATTATGCTCTGGGTAATTGTCCATTGTGTGTACATTGCATATGATTGAACAAAATATGGAAGTAAATAAGGAAATTTATTCTGGGGTCATGGGGTCGTTGCATTGTTTTATTTCTGATTTGTTCATTGTGTTACTGCCTGAAAGATTTAAACAAGTTCATGCTATTGTATGTATTGTCTTATTACACTGGGATGACCAAAACTGAATAATCTACTTATCTTAGTCATTCTGTCACCAGATATCAATTATATTCTATATTGATAGACATTGAATAATGATATATTTCAAAGGTTTCTAAAGTAATATTTTTAAACATGGAATATCGGACTTATTCTGAATTGGGTCGTGTTGTCAATTTATATTTGATGAGTTGAATTTGGAAATGCAGGAAAATTATCTACGCTCCAGAAGTGTGTGTACCAATATAGTGGTAACTAATTTTGTTCGCCTACTCAACATCGATTTGTGTGAAGGGACTGAAACCTATGGGCAGGGGTATATTCACTTGGCTAACACAGACAGTCCCCGAACTCGTAATAGAACTAAAATAAGTAAGATCGGAATAAAATTATGGCCTAACCCTGACCTGGTACACACTACGGGAGTACCGAATTAACAGTTTTTTTATTTTTTTCAGAAATTAAACGCTTTTCTGGTCATACCGTGAGACTCAATTTTTCAAATTAAAATATTATTCCTAAATTCGAAATCTGATATCATTCATTTGGAATTGATTTGAATCATTTTGGACATTCCTGGTCATATTATTTAACAATGTCGATGTTAGTTTGGTGATTTTTTAGAGGTGTTTTTAACTTTTAATTGGATCAGGAAATCTAAAATAAATCGGATACAGTGATAACTATTACTTTAAATTCTCGATTTTATAATCCAAAATATTATCATTATTTCATTTCGTCATTATATAGTGATTGTCATTATATTTGCCATTTAAGTTTTTTAACCTGATATTAGATACATTCTATATTCTAAAATATAATTTTGGAATGTATCCCTCTAATTTTTCTGTTGTGCACGACTCAAGTATATGATGAACATGTGCTAATTAAAAATATATCCACAATTTTAAAATATAAGTTTTCATAATTTCTATCAACTCATAATGATTTGTGCAAATTTCTCCGTCCAAAATAACCAAGCTAGAATATATTCAGATTCAGATGTTTAATTTTGTAGTGCAAAAAAAATATTGTGCATTTGAACAAAAAATAAAAATTAGATACATACTTTGAAATGAAAAGTACAATATTTAAAATGCATTAGACGAGAGGGCACATAAGAGATTTATATTTAAATTTACTTAGTATATGTGTTTGGGAAATCAATAAATGGGAAACATGTCCTAATTAAAAGAATATCATTGATACTACTTTATTCAATTTCTATCAATTTATAAAGCTTTGTGCAAGATTTTCTGCCAACATAACTAAAGCTAGAATACATTCAATGTTTGCATTTAAATTTTTTTTGTGTTTGGTAAAAATCAACATGTCCTAATTAAGAATATGAATGGTACATTATTCAATTTCTATCGATTTATAATGCTTTGTGCGGATTTATTTGATGAACTAGACAAAAAGAATAAGACATGGTATTCATAAAGCTCTGTTACAATTTCATTTTTGTTATGTTGCTTTATTTTATCAGTGTTTATTAAGTATTTTTACTTCATTTAATACATCTGTGAGGTAACAAACTATATATAGTTTCGATAAATTCTATTTGCAGTTTTAAAAATTTAAGTCTTCATGAATGCCCTGTATATTCAGTATTTTGAATAGTATGTTATTCAGTCTTGGTCGTCCCTACTGCTTTAAATTTAATTTTTCGTGTTGGTTAGCTTATTTAGGATAGAGTAGGTTTAAACTTTGACCTTTGGTTGGTTGAATTTGTTCATTCGTTCAGCAATGGGAAGTGGGGAGTCTACACCAATGGTGGAACAGAAGCCAACAGCTGCAGGTAACTTTTTTTTAAAGTGATGTCCATTCAAGCCTTTTGCTCTGAACAAGGCTTCAAACAAGAGGCTACTGATATTTATCAAGGTGTAAGGAGATAGTGTATGGGATTACGTATTCATCTCGGGGGAGAGGAAAGGCGATAAGACGGCTTAATCATATGGCGAACCACGGTCTCTCGTCCGGTTACCAGTCCATGTTGGGTATAGGATTAGTTAAGTCAGTTACTTGTTTTCGAAAGCATGGACTGGGCTTAGTGCTGGAAGAAGCTGTAGAAGACAAGCGGTTACCTGGACCCCTCTGCCTTGGAGTCCAGCAATTCTCTCGCACATAACTATCCCCGCATAGGATTAAAACCTGCGAACCCACGCAGAGTATTCGAAGGTGTGATTCCAATTCCTAACGCTTAGCACGATGCGGCACTACCCATTTTATTAAATCCTAGGCGAGGTGGAGGAGAGTATAGCGATCCTCTCACAAATAATTCCAGTTCAAACCTTTGCAAGATACCTGAGCTAGCCATCAAGCCCGACTATTATTCATTATTATTCTCTTATTTAGCCACTGGGCCTCCATCAGAATGTCCAATGCACAACAAGACAACTGACCAACAATATCCCAGTGAATGTCCGATGAGTGGAGGTCAGAGTTCAGAGATTGACCCTACAAATATGGTAAAGTTTCTGATCTTTTTTTACTTTGTAACATGGCATGGACTCGTGTTTTACTGAATTCTCGTTGAAAAATTTTTTTTTCGTTGTGGCTAATCAACCAATCAATTCAAAATTTCGATAACTTAAAGATGAAAGGGGCAGCCCCCTTCCAGAAGAATTTTAGCACTCATGCCCCCACTCCTTCCCTGTTGTTGTCACGGTAATATGTACAGTGTTATATTATTGGTCGATTCCGAATCCCATTAGGGTCAAGCAATGGAACTAAGATAAACAGGTTTTTCTTGCACTGTGCTAAAATATGATGTTTTCTGATCAAAATTTTGATTCAAATCCATGCATGGAGAGATAGGTATAAATAAATATTTTTTGTTGATAAGTGAAAATATTCATAAATTCCTTTTCCTCGCAGATGCCGCCCCCTAATCAACAGCCGTCACCAGATCAGCCTTTTCCTCTGTCAACAGACAGAATTGTGTCATCAATTCCTAAAGGAGAAGCAAAGGAAGGTATGTATAGCGGCTTTTTTTTGGAGGGGGGGGTGAAAACTTAAAACCGATGACTATAGCTATAAAACTAACAAACAAGATATCAGCAGTTGTATTTGTATCTAGAGGGCGCTCTTCGCAGTGAAAAAGGTATAAAATGAGCAGCCAGATGGCTCTAGTTTCAGATTCCACGCTAAACATCTCAGAAAAATAAATCAAGTAGGCAAATCAAAACGAGGAAATCCTGTTTTTTGCTGCCGAGATATCGATACCCCCATAGTGTGTTGTTTACCAGGTTAGGGTTAGGCCATAATTTTATTTTGATTTTCCCATTTGAGTTCTATTACGACTACGATTTCGAATTTGTCTGTGTTAGCCGAGTGAATATCCCCCTGTCCATAGGTTTCAGTCCCTTTACACAACTTGAAGTAAAGTAGGCGAACAACATTAGTTACCTCCATATTGGTACACACACTTCTGGAGCGCCATTAAAAGCGATAGATCGTTTATGCAGCGCCTTGATTTGAGTGAACACCTTAAAGACAGCTTGATGTTTTCACAGGTGAAAGATGGGTTTACCCCTCGGAACAAATGTTTTGGAACGCGATGTTACGCAAAGGCTGGCGTTGGAAGGATGATGACCCTCAGGAAGGAGATATGACCAATATCATTTCGATACATAACGCTAATAATGAACAAGCCTGGATGGAAGTCTTGAAATGGGAGGCCTTCCATGCCAAGTAGGTGACGGAGTTTTATAAAATTTTCATTTTCATCTCGAGGGAGAGAAAATTACCAGTCCATGTTGTTCATGCAAATTGTTAATTAAACAGTCATTTGTTTAGGATCCATGCGCTCCACTTTTCTCAACCAGTGTGATATTTTTTCGTTCTTGGGGAATAATTTTGTTTTGTATTTGCTGTATTACTACTAAACATTCTTTAGTTGGATAATATTACCATATTACTTATTTATGTATATTGTAAACTACTCAAACTTTACAAAAGAGGAGTTTTGCTTAGCCTTTGCTGTAGTACAAATACAGATATTCTCGCTTATTATTACATCTAAAATACTAATGTGTGCACACAATATAAACTACTTAAATGTACAAAAACGGAAATGCAACTTGTGCATAAAACTAGCTGAAGATCCATTAAAGATTGAACGAGAATAGACTTATCGATGGAAAGTTAGGGGATCCCCCAAAACAGCGTTCTTACTCCATAGTGACACCTTGTGTCCCATCACTAATTAATTATTAACTCGCTGATTATATGACATAATTCATCCAAAATCAATAGGCTTCTGGTACGACATATGATGAATGCACATGCAAAATCTGGAGCAGATTCAATCTCGCTTTCGTGAGATATCGCGTGCATCTAACAGACAGACAAACAGACAAATACCTATCAACATACTTACCGATTGAAATCGATAAGTATTAAATAAAGTAGTTTTTATACGTGGAGAGGTAGAAAGAATAGTTCTGAAATAGGCGAAGGGTGGAATTTAACTAAAAATGTTTGTTAATACTTCCGTAACCGATTTCCTTAGATGTTTTTTTTTTTTCTTTTACAGAGAATGCCCCTGTGGCCCAAAATTATTAAAATTTGGGGGAAAAGCGAACGAATTTTCTCCGAGAGCAAGAATAAGGAGTTGGATGGGGTAAGTGCTGGAACAGAGGTTTTCAAATTTGGAACTTGGCCCCCCGGGTCTAGTATAGTACCACAAAGACTTTTGAGACAAAAAAATTTTACAATGTTATTTCTAACGCCCACCTGACTATGTCTTCCAAAAAATGACATCACTACGACATCACAATCACGTCATAGAGGTTGCCAAAGTACGATCACCAGAAATAGCTTCTGCGCCAACGATCTTTCTCATATCAGGATCATTGCGACGAAGAACGAGAGGAATTGCGACCATCTGTATATTTTGTAGGGTCTTATTACGCCAACTGTGACGTTGACGATGTAATTTTTTGGTGACATAGTCAAATGGGGGTTGGGAATGACCCTAAAAATTCTTGAGCCAGGCCAACTAAAAGTGCATGTGGGGCTAAACTATACCAGACTCGGCCCCTCTAGGCGGCCATGAGCAAATACCTTGTTAGGTGTCTCATTAGACCTTATTCATTAAAAACCCATCCTCCGCGCTAAAAGAAAAGTGATCTGAACAAAACAATTTTAACATTAGCTCTTATGGGGAATGTGATCACCAGAGCAGAAATTTGCATTTTTTGTAATTTTCTAGATATCTTTCATTGTATACGTGAGCAGATTTGAGGATAGAATATTTTCCACATTTTTTTTGATACTTTTAGCATGATGGGTTTTTAATGACTAAGGCCTATTCAAAGCCTATTGGGTTATGACATTTCTCTCATCCTGTCTCAAACATGCTTTGTGTTATTTCATATTTAACTGATTGAAGTATTTACCAGTAGTTGTATTAAGATCTTTCAAATAGTTAGACTTACATACATTACGTTAAATGTGTTATGCTTCAATTGCAAACATTGGATTTATACAAAGACACTCAATTTGATAATCTGTAAATAATCTGCTCATACAGCAAAGTCCCTATCTGAGATTTGTCCAATTTTTTTTGACTGTAATCTCCTCTAATATTTGACTTTTCATTAATAAAATTCGATACATGAAGTAACTTTATTATGACTTCGGTTACGTGAGGTACTCCCATAGTGTGTGTACCAGGTTGGGGTTAGCCCATAATTTTATTCTGAATTTCTTTATTTAGTTCTATTACGAGTTCGGGGACTGTCTGTGTTAGCCAAGTGAATATACCCCTTGTCCATGGGTTTCAGTCCATTTACACAACTTGATGTAATGTAGGCGAACAAAATTAGTTACCTCCATATTGGTACACATACTTCTGGAGCGCTCGAATTAAAGCCTCATAACAAATTCTGAACTTTTCTTTTCAGCTACGAACTTCCGTTTGATCGTCACGACTGGGTGATTGACAGATGCGGAAAGAAAGTTCGCTACATCATTGATTATTACGATGGAGGGGCTGTTAACCCGGAAACGTTTCAATTCACAATTTTGGTGAGTTATATAAACAAAGCTAAAGCTGTAAATAGCTAGCCCCCAGGGTGGTCCAAACCCAGGACTGGCGGCCACATGTGGCCCTTCGATTCATTATCTGTGGCCCGCGTCACATTCGGAGAAGAATCAAAAATCGCATTTCGTGTTGTTTTGTCATAAAATTGAACAAAAAATCTTTTGACATATTGTTGCATCATTAATTTCACTGAATTGACTAGTGTTATGGCTTGCTGAAGCAACTAAACGAGCGAAGTTCTTGGCACTATTGTGGCTCGCAAACAATGCAAAAGTAATTTTGTGGCCCGCGGAGCTGCCAATCTTGGACCGCCCTGAGCTAGCCAATGAGCCACTATTGTTGGTTGAAGACTAGGAGTAGAATCTTTTTGGTCCGACATTATCTACTCGATTTATTACACCTCAGGGAAATGGGGTTCAAAAGCGAGATTCTTATTGTCAAATGCCTTTAACCCAGGCCTGCGCAATGTATGACCTGTGGGCAGCATGTGGCCCGTAAAAACTTTTTATGCGTCCTACAAAAAGATTTAAAAAAAATTTTATTATCCAAAAATTGAGTACCGGTAATTGTTTTTCTATGTTGTAACCCTCTCGTTCATTTGTGTCGTGCAGGTTTCTAACCACCAAACGACAGAGTCTTTTGCATATTCGCTAAACGCTGAATATTAAATATGAAAGTGTCAGTATCTGACTCAGATGACCATAAATGGTCGTATCGTTACCTCACAGTCATACCGAAAACTTTTGTTTCGCTTATTTTGTTATTATTATATATTATATTATGTGTTTTTTGGTTGACAAAATGAAGAATTCTATCTCTCTCTGATGGAAACAGGGTGGTCCTATCCAAATGAATGTGAGTGATGTGTAATAAATCATGGCCACTTCCAGCTAACACCTGCATTGCAAGTATAGAGTATGTCAGTGGTGTTTGCAAATCCTTTATTATTAATTATCGATTTTAATCGGTAAGTATGTTGATAGGTATTTGTCTGTCTGTATGTCTGTTAGATGCACGCGATATCTCACGAAAGCGAGATTGAATCTGCTCCAGATTTTGCATGTGCATTCATCTTATCTCAGACCAGAAGCCTATTGATTTTGGGCGAATTATGTCGTATAATTAGCGAGTTATCAATCAATTATTGATGAAGTGATCTAGATTTTTGTAAAGCGAGAGAATTTTGAGACCCGCCGAGTGAGTGTGTGCGATGCGCAGTGCGCAAGTTACAAGAGTGGATGAATCGAAACCGCAGTTTCTGTTTTGGGGGATCCCCTAACTCTCGATTGATAAGTCTTCGGTTTCCAACCGATATTCTCGTTTTACTCTTTGCACCATGAAGGCTGGAAACCTGTCTTGGAGCAAACTTATACGAAAAGTTATTTTTTCAGGATGTCAGACCAGCGCTGGATTCGTTCGGAGCTGTTTGGGATCGTTCTAAAGCTTGGTACATGAGGTTGACGAATTTTGGGGGAGGAGACGCAGATTCTACGATCGAAAAAAACAAGAAAGTCATCCACAATGGAATTCCGCAAGAATCTGATTCGAATACGCAACGCATGACTTCACAAATGACATCACAATCAGACATTCCGGCAGAATGCCCAATGCATACCTCTAAATCATAGTGATCTCATAATATATCTACAGTGATGTCACAATTGCTATAAAGTTTGAATACTGTGATGTAATTGACCATATTTTTTATACGCTTCCTATTTATTGACTTTGTTCGGTTAGAAAGTGGTTATGGATAAAGTAGCGAGTTATTATCGTCTTGTGGGAAGGCACACAAAGTACTTTTAGAAATGACTGACGACATCTGTTTATTTCAAGTTTCCCTCATTTCCAAATCTTAACTCTTTGACGTCGATGTGTAATTTATTAAATATGACCGATGTAAAATACAGGGTGTCCATAAAGTCCCTTTACAATTTTGTTATGAAGTCAATTCTCGCTATATATCTTAACGAGGTTTGTTGTTTTTCAATCAGTAATTATTTTACCTCATTTAATACATCTGTGAGCGCCAAAACAATATCTGGTATCGATAAATACCCTTTGCAATTTAAAATATTTTGTAATACTTTATGGACACCCTACATATTCCATATTTTACATTCAGAATCATAGATAATGACTGGGTTTTGACCATCTTCAGTTCCAAGTCTTACAGTGTAGCGTTTGTTATCTTTTAATATTGCCAAGTTTTCCTTATAAATTGTTTTGTTTGCTGTTGAATAAAATATTAACCTCCAAATGCCTTATGATTTCAAAATTTATCACTAGTATCTCCAACGGCAGCACACGAATGGAGAAATAACTGGCAACAAACCTCGTTATATAAACAATACAGTGACAAACAAAGTGTTTTGAATTCACAGACTGTATTCCGGCGCCAAAATTTCAAAATCTATTTGTAAATTTCATACAGAAGTTGTGAGAACCATGACTAACATGATATGCAATAACACGTTTTTGAGGGGGGTAGGGGATATAACTCTATGAATAGTAGAAAAAATTTTCCTTAACCGCTGGCCCGTTCGAACCCTTCCACCATCAAGTCCATGCATCTGAAACAAAAATAACTAGCTAACTAATCCCGACATGGACATGCACTTTTTTCGGTGCTCCAGAAGCAATGTTCCCTCTAATTTTTTGTAGTATGTGTGCGCAGAAATTTTGGTGTGTGCGCATTTTTTTGGAAATTACTAATATTTGTGCAAGAACCAATGGAGAAATTTTGGTGTTCTAACCAGGTAATAAGTGGGCCAACAACAAACTTTCTCAACCTGCCAACCGAGAACATTGTTACATTACATCGAAATACGTCTGTGCGCAGTAAATCTATGCGTGTGCGTAGCCTCTGAAACGGGAACACTGTCCAGAAGTATGCGCACCAAGATGTCGCACAACCGAATCCTAACCGGTACACACATACTATGTTCAGGTCGTGGGCCATGTTGATGCGCATATTTCTAGAGGTCCCTTTTTTCTCCCCTGGGATAAATATTTACATCCTATATGTGTAGAAGAGGTATTTGGTTTTAATTACCCTTCCATAGCCACAATACAAGAATATTGGCGCCATGACTTGTTACTTATCAATCTTTAGATCAGTAATTATGTTGATAGGTATTTGTTTGTTCGTCTGTCTGTTAGATGCACGCGATATCTCACGAAGGCGTGGTTGAATCTGCTCCAAATTTTGCATGTGCATTCATCATATCTCGGACCAGAAGCCTATTGATTTTGGATGAATTATGTCGTATAATTAGCGAGTTATTAATTAATTAGTGATGGGACACGCGGTGTCACTATAAAGTCATGAATCGAAACTGCAGTCTTCGGTCTCCAACCGATATTCTCGTTTTATATTTTAAGGCTTCAGAATTTGGTATTGGCCGTCCTTAATTATGATTGAAGTGGCCAATACAAAATTATCTAATATTCCGAATATTTTCTGATTTTTAAATGCAGACGAATAAATGGAAGTGCACAATGTGCATAATTTTAAAAGACTTCGGTTGGTCAAAATGATAAATTTTTTAAATGAAGATTGAAAGTTTAAAATACTGAATGTAATTAACTTTTGAATCAATTTGGATATCTGTGTTGTATATCACCTCATTCCACTCACGAAGAAGAATATTACATGACAAGCAGAGCATGTACCATTCATTGACACAGATTTTGTAGAGATAAGAATAATTTTTTCATTCACCATCTTTCAAGTACAAAATCATGATTAAATAAATTTATCAGAGAGATACGAGTCTGATTGAATTTAGTGAGTTACACCTAGAATAGGCATGTGAGTCCATTTCATTCTGTTGTATATGATTTTTGCTTTGAAGGCTCTGCCAGGTTGGGTATTATCATAGTTCTTTTGACTGTTTGTGGTTTCACTGTTTTTTTTTTCCAATTTTCCTCATTTTAGTCCTATTATCAGTTCGAAGACTAGCCAAGAGCCTCCCGTAGTATTTATACCTAAAATTATGGCCGAACCCTAACCTAGTACACATATTACATTCCGATGTCCGCCATCTTGGTTCGCATACTTCGGGAGCCCCCTCTGTATTTTGTTTGTTGTTGTTTTGTTTCTGAGAGACCAAAATAAAATTGAATTTGGAAAAATCTTTCCGGTTCTGGACTGTCAATCTAATTTATTGCACCTGGGATTCAAACCAGAACTGTCTCAGCTGCAATGTCTACATGGTTAGGTATAATGCTCTGACTGGCTTTCAACCAGGGTTTCGTCAGAACAGTCTAGGAGCCAAACCTGAGAATAGTATTGATACACCACTATGTAACCAAAACTTGTACCCAGCTTTTTACCTAGATTTCCAGGCCGCTTTTGACGGTGACCGTACATTTGAACCCACGTACATTTGAACCCATGCGTATATCCACGGGTTCAATCTATATGCGGGTGCTGAAACCCATGGGTTAGGGTTAGTATGGGTTTAACTATCCGTGAAACAAAAAAAATTCCATAGGTGCAATAGCATACAGGTGCAATTGTCATGGGTTCAAATGTAATGGAACCGCTTTTGACATGTATATTGAAAAAAAAAATCAACTCATTTTTTTTGAAATTTTCGGTGGTACAGGTGCCATTGAATGACACTACAACTGGCCAAATATGGCACCAATGTTGCATTCATAAATTGCCTTTTTGGCACACTGGAATGCTTCATTTGATTCCGCGCCACCAAATAGATTGTTTCAATAGGCCACATCAACGCACACACTATTTAAAAAGGATATTATTAAGACTTTTGTTGACGCCCACGCACCATTAATTTGAAAACTCTGATCATTGAGAAACAGTGAGAAGAGAAAACATATTTTATTTTTAGATTTATAAACAAAAAATTCAAATGAGTTTATTTATTGTGCTGCGGCCGCTGCTTCTCTCGCCTCCCGTCTTGCTCGCTCCTTGTCACGCTTCATTAGGCGCTTAGTTCTCTCATATTCTTTTCTTCGAATAATTTGGCTGAAAAATCAGAGACATAAAGCTCTTTAAAATGGCTGCTAATGAGTGTTTGGAGAATACCATTGTAAATGAAATTAAAAAAAAAGTCCCTTATTAGAAATCACATTTATACTGGTATATACTGCTAATTTTGTTGATCAGATCGAGGGACCATATGAAGTGTTATGGAAACATTTGATACAACATCTCTAATTACCCTGCATAGGTTCTAAAGTTCAAATCTCATAGGAATAATTATGTGCGAGAGGATTGCTGGACTCCTCAATGCCGTAGGGTGGTTCATGTGTGATCACAAGTTGGTTACAGCTTCCTCCACCATCAAGCCCACGCATCTGAAACACAACTGGCTAACTAATTCCATCCAGACTTGAACTGGGACAGGAGGTTCTAGTTTGCCATATGAAAAAGCCGTTTTTCCTCTCCCCCGGCATAAACATGTTAATCAGGGGTTCCCAGGCTTTTTCCAGGACGACCCCAATAACAACTTTCAAGTGTCCAGTGCAAGCCCAGGTCAATGAATATTTTTTTCATAGAACTTTAGAGCTTCTTTCACTTGACTTATGAGTTTGGTCATGTGGTGGTATGAAGTAAAGTAAGCTAAATCCAAACAGTTATGTCCCAATAAGCCCCTCATTTTCTATAGCAGCACCTACATTTTCTATAGCATAAGCATAGAGCGATGCCTATGGGCCTGTTTTACAGTAAGCCATGGTACAAGCTGCTAAATTTAAAATGGTATGTCAAATTTCAGATGTTTCGTACATCCATCCTCTTCTACCATAACCCAGCGACCCCGCCGATCCCATGACCTGTTTGCGAACCTACCTACTTATCACTCAAATACTACATTTGGGGTCGCGACCCCTGGTTTGGGCACCCCTGATGTAAATCCTATCCAATTCAATCTGACAGAGACTAGTAAGTAACAAGGGGCTGTTCTATAAATTGCAGTATATATTCCTTTAACTCACTCTTCTATCTCGCAATCATGGTAATGGTGAAGTTGATGCATGCACTTCCGATACTGCGGCATCCACTCTCTAATGCATTTCTTGTACGCCATGAAATGTTGGGCGCAGTAGTCACGGCTTTCACGAGGTATTTGTCCCAGATTCATTTCTTCTCTTGTAACTGCCATTTCTGAAATGATTGTTAAAAATAGGTGACTTGATGAGAACAGAACCTTAATATTCTAAATCTTTCCGAGTCTTGAGGTTTACTAGTAGGGATGCTCGAAATTTTTTTTTACAATAACCAAACGAGAATATTTGTTCAATTAAATCAATTAGAAGTTTTCATCATAAGAATTTGTTTTTACAGGAGTTCAGAAATGGAAAATATTTTCTCAACTTGAATGTAAATTTTACGCAGCTCTGATTGCCTCAGATATTGAAAAGCGGCAGATTCACGGCTTTCTCCACCATCTTGGGTGATGTAATACAACAAACATAACTGGCTAAACTAGAACAGCCGAGATGTCATTGTACATTGGTTGGTGCATCTTGCTAAGTGTTAGGCATGGCATCTTCTGATATTTTTGTGTGAAGGTCTATAGGTTCAAACCAAGACTACTTACTACCTTATAATGGTTAGCTATTTCCATACAGACCAGAGTTGGTAACCAGCTGAGAGGATGTGGTTCGCCGCCTAATCAATTTTCCTATACATACATACATACCCACATGATTGAGGAAACTAACCACTTTTCCTCTCGTTGAAAAATAAACACATTTTAGTAATCATGTCCCACTCACTTCTGATAGGCCTATCCTCTCTTTCCTCTCGTTAAAAAATAAACACATTTTAGTAATCATGTCCCACTCACTTCTGACAGGCCTATCCTCTGCGCCATACTCCTTGTATTTAGCAAACATTTCTGGTTTGTCGATCGGCTCATCCTCCAAATGAATGCTCTTCATTACACCTTGCCCCATGGTGGTCGTATCTGACACCTATGGGCTCAACTAACTGGAAAAACATCAAATTAAACATTTATTATTAAACAGTGTGGTATGCAGGGAGTGTTCTGATTACTTAATTAAAAAATATATTAGAAAAATCGATGGATTTTTATGTGTACAATGCTCATTTTCAAATGCAAATTCCAAGTTAAAAATTGACGGAAGGGGGGGGGGGGGGAACTCACGTTGTGTACCCGGTTAGGGTTCAGGTTGTGTGACATCTTGATGCGCATACTACGGGAGCACCCATAAAACAGGTAGGGGATACCTAAGAATTAAAAGCAATTCGAAAAATATTGAAGGTATTTATATGCTTACAATACAAATTTTAAACTAAAATTGAACGCATTGAAATATGAAATTGACTTTTTTCCGCCCCCTTTATTTATTACTTAATATGCAACATCGGACAAGGTGAATTGAAAATCCCAAGTGAAATAAATTTGTCATGTGCCCTTGAATAATTGGAAAAACTTGAATATTTTATATATTAAAAATCTATAGTTTTCGTATCTAATGCAACATGATAGACCAACAAAAACAGTGAAAGGTCAAATGGTATTCAAAGCAGTGAGATTCCTCCAGAACTTGTCTTATCTTAATGACCTTCTGGTATATATCAGGATTTGATGGTTGAGTGGCATTTCGCCATTCCCAAAATAGAAATTGATACAAGACATCCAATTATGTGGCCTCCCCTTTGGAACAAAAAAAAAGCTTTCTACATTGTGATTTTCATAGCTTCAAACACTTTAGATATATCTTATCATCATCTCTTTTATAGGCATTATTAATTCCAAATTTTGTTCAAACCAAATTCTTCTGGCATGACAGAGTTATTTCAACATCTGCACAATAAAACTGTAAGAAACAAAATACTTGAAATCATAGAATAAATCATAAAATGAAGAAATATCGTCTTTAATCATAAAATTTACTAATTCATTCCATTTATAGTACGTAAGAAAACCTTAAAAATATTTCCATTTTTATAATATTATCTTAAAGTAAAGGTTACGATTGTCCTCTTTAAACTCTGACTCAATTATACTTTATTGTCTATTTTTTAGCTAACAAAATCAAAAAAAACAAAATCAGTGGGAAGGAGATAATAACCTATTTAAACCAGCCCCTCAATCAGCATAATTTTTTCTTTGAATTTGACTCAGACTCTGCTTCAGTAATCTTCTCAGCTAAAAGAGGATCCGAGTTTTGTGAGTCAGGGTTAGTTCCATTTTCATCGCTTAACGAGATAGATAGAAAGGGGAAGATTTTAAAATAGCAAATCCACCATGAGAATATCCCAAACCCTGCCCCAAGCATTTTACTTAGAAATACATGGAAATAAAGACAGGTGGCTATTAAAGAAATACCCCAAATAAAGATTAAAACGAGGTTTAATCCATAAAAAAATGGCAATAAAATGTCCATTGCAGCTTTTGAATGTAACCCAACATAACCCTCTGATCTCTCTGGTGTTTTCCAATATTGCTTTTGTAGTTCTGAAGATATCATCAGTATCGTAAGGGTTAAAATAAAAGCATGTCCCGAAATATCAAAACCAATCCAGTAATGCTTTCCCGCCAATTTCATGCATGATCGCTCATCCGTGACATTTTCTATTATTTTACCGTCATTATTAACACAGTCTGGGTAAGTAATTCTACTTACAGCTCCAAACAGAGTGATGGTAAATAGAAACCAAAAGAGGGTAAGTATGACGCTTCGAGCAAGTGCATTGAAAAGTTTCCGCTTGTATTGTTTGTAATAATTCACTGTCCCAGTGAGTACGTATAGTGCTGAGAGGGCCAATGTCCACGCCCATCCAAACTTCACAAAATATTGGTTTAAAATATTTCTTTTGCTCGAAAAGTACGTTTCTGGAATGTCGAAAAACTCACGAAAAGCTGACAAAATAATAACTCCGACAAATAGAGCAACAGCCTCCAAATACAACCAGGGCCAACTTTTGTGTGCATTCAACATTTTATTTAATAATAGTTTTTCAGTTATCAGTTTTTCACTGAGAAGAAAAAACATTACGATTATTGCAAGTTTGCTTCACAGAGCAGGGAGTTGAAACTTAACTTAAATCTACTGTGAAAGTTTGCAAAAAGAACAAACAACATTTGCAGATAAATATTTAGGTAATGTATCAAATATTGATCAGTGTTGGCATATAAAAGATCTATTTCGACAAATGCCATTGATGTATGTTTGTTTACTGCTGTGGTTCCAAAAGCTGATTCACCAGAAAATGAGAAAAATGAGATATTCGCGGGCAGTAAAGTGGAGCGCTCACAAGGGACAGATATCGATAACAGTACGAAAAATTAAGAAACTGGTGTGATTGAATTGTTTATGAATATACAGAACTTTAACTGTGATAACGACGTAATAACTGGCTGTGTCTAGAACGCAAAAAGAAAACAAAACATAAAGTGTTATTAAACTATTTCACTCAATAACCATTGGGTTTGGAAACCACTATATAATGAAATAACATATCAAGTAGCTGTGGTCACAGATGGCATTACAATCTGAGGTTACAAGAACTGTGTCAGGATGAAAATGAACAATAAGGCACTTTCATAAATCATGCCTAGCTCAGTGGTTTAAATTCCCGACTTTACTGATACATAGTATAACCTCATAGGTTATTAATTTTTTACTAAGAAAAAGAACACTATGATTGTAGGAAGCTTGCTTCACAGAGACGGGAGAGAAAAATTTCAGTCAAAAATAACCTGGAATATTTTTTTTATATTCGGCCACATTTTTGAGGTCATAAAGCATTTTGAAATTAAACAATAATGCATTTGATCTCTCTTAAACCCTGCTAGGGTGAGTAGTTAAATTTTTCCCAATAAATAGTAGCACATTACATATAATTATCTTATTTACCAAGAAAAAAACCCGATATGATTGTAAATAACGAGTTTGCTTCACAGAGCTGAGAGTGGAATAGTAACAAAAATTATGGCAACGTTTAAGTTGCAAAGAGTTTTGCCAGAATGAAATTGAAAAAATATTGCACACTAGTGCTTACGAACCCGTCCAAGGTAAGTTGTTTAAATTTCCGATTTGCCAGATACATAGTAGCACCATACATATAATTCCCAGTACTTAGAAAACGAAACAATATGATTGTTACAAGTTGCTTTACAGAGCTGGGAGTGAAATAGTAACAAAAATTATGGAAACATTTAAAGTAGCAAAGAGTTTTGTCGGAACAAAATTTAAAATACTGCACTCTGGCTTATTCAAACCGGCCGAGGTAAGTTGTTTGAATTCCCAGATTTTTCAGATACATCGTAGCACACAACATATTATTTCATACTCCTATAAAAACCTAAATCAGACACTGAATTTCAAAGTTTTGAATAAATTTTTGGCTTCCAACCTCAACAGTGGCAAATACAAAAATTTGATTCTTATCTATAGAATTTAGTTACAAAATATTAAATCAATTATTAGGCTTCCCGCTGCTTGTCAGCAGGGAACCTATTGTATTCCTGTGTTTTATTATTATTATTATTTTTTTTTCAAATTGGTCCTACAAACTTGAAATTAAAACCTCAAATGTGCAGAAGTTCTCAGCTAGCAATAAAATGCAAATTTTATGCATGACTGACCACGCTTTCACGCTCCAGTGAGCAAAACGCGTCTTCAGTTTTTTTACGATTTCTCAAAATTGATACATGCTATTGGGTTGAAATTCATAACAATGATTAATGGACATGTTCTGGATACAATATGTCAAGGATACGCATGAGTGACCTCGGCGATACGCTCCAGTGAGCAATATAGGATTTTACATTTTCATCTTCTTCTCGAGAACGACACTACTTAGAGACTTGAAATTTACATCACATGCAGATAATAAGTCCCCCATCATAAATTGCCAATTTTATGCATGACTGACCACGCTTTCATGCTCCAGTGAGCAAAACGCGTCTTCAGTTTTTTTTACGCGGGAAGCCTGTTAAAGCTGCACGCAGCTCTAGTTTATAGTTATACTGCTTTCACACATTTTTTACTTTGAGCAAACCTCTATGATAGCAATGATTGCTAATAATTACAAAATAAAAATCTAAAATATTGAACTATTTGGATAATATGGACAACACCCAATAAAAAATGCAAAATTTTTCCCAACCCAAGGTCGATGGGGGCATTGCGGGTTGGAACCCCTCAATTCTTAATGTAAAAAAAGTATTTTCTGTATCACAAATAGCAATTCTTCGTAGCTTGAACACATTTTAGACCGTTAGGACTAAATGTCAAAATCCCTGTTTTTCGGCCCGCAAGATGCTATGGCCTAATTTGGCAATTCAAAATTTTTAAATTTCCTCTAATAAAAAACGACTATTCTTTCTTTTTATCCACCCCATTCCTGTTCTCCTTAGCCGGCGTGTGGGTGATCAGAGACTTTAGATGGCCGTAACCAGGATAAATAGGGAAAGAGCGGTTACGAATAATTCTAAATATGCAACCATCCATGACAAAATTCCGAAAGCAGCACCTAACGCTTTAGTGATAAAACCATGAGAATACAGACATGTACAAATTAGGGAAAATTCCAAAAAATGCTTAAAATTGAACAGAAAATAAATAAATAGTTTATTGTTGTTTTCGTTGTTTTATTGCCTCGCTTTTTAGCCTGTAAGGGACTTTGATCCGATAGCTAAAACACGGTGAAGTCTCTGCTGCGTGGGTCGAGATGTATTTCCAGTATTTTTGGATTTGTAGCTCCGAGCTATCACCAGTGCAGAAAGGGTTAATGTGAAAGCTTGATTTGAAATTTCAAAACTTCGCCAGCGATTGGTTCCCGCCAATTTCATACATGACTGCTTATCTGTGATGTCTAACAGTGGATTTCTGGCAGTATCGAAGCATAGCCCAGTTAGGTTGCTAATTCCGTCGAAAACAATTGTCCAAAAGTAAAAAAGTCCAGTGAGAAACAGCCATCTCAGCCCAGTAGCGACAGAACCTCGTTTCCAATGGTCGCAGGAATAAACAAAACTTGTTATAAATGCATATGGGGTTACAAGCCCCACTGTCCAAATCCAATTGTACTTGACGATGTAAATGTTGAGAAAATTCGTAGAAGCGGAATAATACGAGTCAGGAATGAAGACAAATTCTTTTAGAGCAGATAATGCCAAAACGCCAATCCATATGAATAGAACTCTAAATTGAGGTCTGATTAGATAATACTTAATTAAGAAATCCAACATTATGTCCTATAAGAGATAAAATGAAAAAATTATTCATTATTAAAATTCGCATGCACATAAATTAGGTAATCGCCATAATAAAAGGAAAAATGGAAGCTAGGTTGCGTAATAGCTTAGTGCCGGAGGAGTTGACTTAGCTATGTTGGCATAGAGCAGGGGTGTTAAACCTGGGGTTCGCGAGAAGATTTCCAGGGGTACTTGGATGGCAGTCGAGTTTCTGTGTGATGATCTTTTTCAATATCCTTTATTACTACCCTAGGAAATTGCATGTCCATTGAAACTAGATGCCAATTGAATGGTAGATTTTCCCTGATGTTGCGTTGTTGTGATTGTGGCGCAACAATGTGAAATTCAAGGTTTTGCATGCAAACTGTGAAATCTCTAAAGACAGCGTGCTGCGAGCATTTGAGAAGTGATTATGCTTATTGAAACTTGGAAAAGATTTTATAAATTCATTAGTTAGGCAGACGACAAGGGCAATAATATCAACAAGACGATTTAATTTAGTTACATAAGGTCTATAAATTGGTGTTGCAACAAATTGTTAGTCAATATAATACAACTTTGTTCGGTGTATGATTACCGGGGGTTCGCATTGATTGTTTCGTGACTTGGGGGGAACTTGACAGAAAAAAGGTTGAGAACCCCTGGGCCATAGTGGGTGAAAGATCTCGGGATTCGAATACCACCGCCACACCTAAGGGGTAATAAATTGGGTACACAATTTTGAACTAGAAGAATTTGGGTTGTTTCGTTTCAAACTATAGCAGCATATGACATATAGGTGACTATAGTACAGAACCTTGTCTGGAGTAAAAAGTAACATCATTAAAAATACATGAACTCTTGCTCTATTTCACACAATTCTGAAAATATACATTGTATATAGAAGAAATTGAAATTGGAAGACATGAGGAAATACCGGTAATCGTGCAATGATACCCTTAGGCAAGTAAATTGAGGAGACAATGCCGATTTGAAAAAATTCGAGTTCTTTCAAACTGTAGCTCTTACATATCGGCGACTGCTAGTACAAAGCTTTGGTAAGAAGCTTCGGCGCTCCTGAAGTATGTGTACCAATATGGGGATATCTAATTTTGTTCGCCTACTTCACATCAAGTTGTGTAAAGGGACTGAAACCTATGGATGGGGGGTATGTTCACTTGGCTAATAACGGAACTTGTAATGAAACTAAAATAAGGAAAATCGGAAAAAAATTATGCCCTAACCTGGTACACATACTACAGGAGTGTAAAAATACATAAACAGTTGCTCGATTTCACACAATTCTGAAAATATAAACTGTATATAAGGCAGTTAAAAGAAAAAAAAACTATTCTAGGGTGAAGGGAGACGTGAGGAAATACTGGTTACAGAGCAGTGACACCCTTGGGTAAGTAAATAATGAAATAGTCGGAAAAAAATATGTAGCCATGTCCCAAGGTAACTTGGGATGCAAGTGGAATGTAAGAAATAAATTCACGATGAAGGAAGGATTGGGAAACAATATCATTACCCTTAAAACAAATTGCCAAAGGTTCAATTACTTCTTTCATAAAAACACAGTAGTCAAATTGTTATCTCATTTTTTGGGGCTCCCGAAGTATGCGAACCAAGATGGCGGACATCAGAATGTAATATGTGTATCAGGTTAGGGTTAGGCCATAATTTTAGGTATAAATACTACGAGAGGCTCTTGGCTAGTCTTCGAACTGATAATAGGACTAAAATAAGGAAAATTGGAAAAAAAAATTATCGCCTAACCCTAACCTGTTACCCATGTTACGTTCCGATGTCCGCCATCTTGGTTCGCATACTTCGGGAGCACCCATATTTTTTTACTAAAAATGGCAATAATACTATCACCTATTGCATCTTCCCATCCAACTTCGATGAAATGCTAAAATTGCGCCAGCTCAACACTTTAGCCTGCAATTTGTATGGCAAGTATTGTTAACATGTCCCTATCAACCATATGACTAAGCGAGATGCGAGCATTGCATGTCCAGCTTTCCCGCAGATTAGTCAAAAGGAGGGGGGATACAAAAGAAACTATTTAAACTGTGAGCACTCGAATTATCATCGAAAAATTGTTAAATTATTCTTTTGGGGCTGATTACCCCCAGTTTGTGACCCCTGGTATAGTTGAAAGAAATGTAGTTTGTCCCACACGAACTCAATTAATAGAAAATATAGCTATACACTACTATACAGGGTGTCAATAAAGTCCATTTACAATTTCAATTTTGTTATGAAGTCAGTTCCCAATATATCTTAACCAAGTTTGTTGTTTTTTAAAAAGTAATTGTTCAAGTATTTTCACTTCATTTAATATATCTATGAGTAGGGATGGGCAATGTAGAATAATTTACTATTCTAGAATAGTTAAATCGAATCCAGAATACCGAATCCTATTCTATTTTCATACTTATTCAAATAGAGGGAATTTTCCTGATTGCTGGATTTAGATGTCAAAAAATTATAAATGTATTACTATAAATGTATTATTTATTTGGAAATGTCCTTAACATTAGATTTGATACTAAACAGGCATTTCCCAGGACTATGAAATCTAAGAATATTACAATATTTTTGCTTTCAATTATTCTAAATCTATGTAATCTCTAAATACTTATATGCTAAATTACACTTCAAACATTTTAATAGCAAGCGGTTAAATACAAAAATAGATATGAAACGTCATTAAATCATTATTAATGTTATAGAGTGTGAGTGTACTAAAGCACACCCGCTGAGAATTAATTAGATGCAGGACCAGCGTGTGGCCACTGCAACCTATGCGACCGGTGTAAAATATTAAATTTAACTACTATCAATTAAAATCAACTTATTATTCTGTGCGATCAAGACGTGCAAAAAAACAAGGTTCCCGTAAACGCGATTTCGCAGTTAGTTATTAGTTAACATCATCTAAAGACGAATTCAATTTCTATTATTATCGTTACATATCATTATCTACCCAGACTTGGCCCTACTCAAACTCAATACGTAACTATTTTCGCCAGATGTGGCATCTTTTTTTTAAGTTTATCGGCCAATAAAATTACTACAGACTCTCGATCAAACGTGCGTCTATCTTGAACGATAGAAACGGACCGAAAGATATGTAATCTTTTGGGAGTGAAATTTAAATGCGACAGATCGTCGTGTTATGCGATATAACTTTGTATTTCGAAAACTGGTGTAATAAAAGTAATAAAATTATTCCAAAATAATATTTGATTTAAATTAATCGCAAGTAATGTCATAACATTTTACGCCTGGCTTTTGATTTACATGCATCATTTTCTGGGGAAAACTCGCCGGTCGCGGAAAATCATTTACAGTAATGTAAAATGAAGCAAGGCACGCCTGTAAACAATTGAAGATTGTTGCAATCAGATTATCGGAATATCGCCAGTAAGTCGGCACAAATAATTATTATTATTAAACCCTCGCTAGATAGCAAAGCAGGAAAACGCAAAAAAATGGTGCAATAACGAGTCTTCGTCGTAAGGTGTACTTCACGACTCCTTGTCCAGAATACGCCGATTGAGATTACTGTGTTTGATGTTTACCGATTTTACGGGTTCTTTCCGAGCAGACGCAAGTCTAGTTAAACGAGAGAGATTTCCACGCGAGAAAGAACGCTCGTCTTTAATTGATAAATTAGAAATCCGAAATACAAAAATTGACGCCCGGCGAAAACGCAAAAATGGTGCAATAACGAGTCTTCGCCATGAGATGTACTTCGCCGACTTCCTGTCCAGAATACGCCGATTGAGATTCGTCAAAAAGTTACATGCAACTCGGAAAATGTAATCTACCTGATAAGCTGCAAAAAGTGTGGCATGCAATACATAGGAGAAACGGGAAGACATTTAAAATACCGAATAACTGAGCATATTAGAAGTATAAAAACCCAAAACAAAAATCTGGTTGTTGGCGCCCATTTCAGTCAACCGGGACATTCGCTTAAACATTTGAGTGTCATTGGCATTGAAAAACTATTTCATGACCACATTTATCGAAAGAACAAGGAATCCCATTACATTCATCTTTTCGGGACACACGAGCCACAAGGGATGAATATTAAGGAAGTTTAGATATTTTCATTCATTGTTTAAATCAATTCTTGTACCTAATATATTTTTTTCTCAGAATTGGATCATGCATGGCCAGATATGCTAATAACAGACAAAATATCACTATATTACATTTGACACACAGACAACTTTTCTGGTCTGCATTATACAATACTGAGAAAAAAAACACCATTGTGTAATTTGGACTTCAATTGCTAAATATAAAACAAAGAGAGAGATCTCATCAATGACACTTATTTCGGCCACCCGCTGTTATTTAATCAAGAAATTCACAGATTTTATTGATTATTTAACATGCGTGACTCCTATAATTCTACTATGATTGTTTAAATATGCATGTAACTGCTTTTCGTGTTGTAGTTGAATTATGTATGTCTGAAGAAGTCTGACCTTGGTCAGACGAAACGCTACAGAAATATATTTGTGTTAGTGTGCAGCAAGACTCTTGAATCACTTGAGATTACAGTGTTTGAAGTTTACCGATTTTACGGGTTCTTTCCGAGCAGATGCAAGTCTAGTTAAACGAGAGAGATTTCCACGCGAGAAAACTGCTCGTCTTTAATTGATATTCAGAAACCCGAAATGCAAAAATCGACGCATGGCGCCGGAGAGGCGGAAACCGAATCCTGTTATCGGATCCTGTTGGATTCGAATACTTTGGGATTCGAATCCTCCGGATTCGGTATTCTATATTGCCCATCCCTAGTTATGAGCGCCAAAACAATATATGTTATTGATTAATTCCCTTTGCAATTTAAAAAAATTTAAAGACTTTATGGACACCCTATATATATCATAGCACACTCTGTAAAAATAACACTATCGGTGTTTCGATAAACATGATGAAAATATGAACTTCAAACTCAAACAAATTAATCAATCAAAATTCACAATTGTTTTAAGAAAGTTCAAAACAGAATAAAATTCTGACATCTTAGAAAAATCAAAAAAGTAAATCATGATTTAGTCTATTTTTAGCTAATACAACGATTGGCAGCAACTGTGAATATATTTTACTATAAGAATATTCTGACCAGTCACACTTCAATGACTTATAATCACACCAGAGTAGGACCATGTATACTTCAGTACAAAATGACTCCAAGAAAAAGGACAGCAATGGTAGTTTCCAGTTACTATTAGATTATTCCGACCAGTTACACTTCAATGATTTACAGTGGTCATTTAAACTTTTTATTCACAGCCACTCCGTAGAATGGTAGAATCAAAGTAGGGTCTGGCATTTTTCAGTGCAATTACGGTAAATATTGGACTGAAAGTGTTGCAATGGCAAGCGTCAGTTATTATTAGATTTTTCCATCGAGTCACACTTCAGTAATTTATACTGGCATACAATTTGATCTCACACAAAAAGGCAGCACTGGCACTAGGAAATGATTCGAAATAGCTCACTTTAACGATTTACAGTGGTCATTCAGCCCCACCGTTCCCAATGTTTGTATCAACATCTGTTTCAGAAGAATCAGAATCAATTTGTATCGTTTTTGAAACATCGGATTCATCACTTTCGGAATCGTCACTTTCATCGTCGAGTTTTCCGTTGTCTTCATTCTGTTGTGACCGCTCACTCATATCATTTTGTAGTTTGGAATATTTGTCGATTACCGTCTTCATATTATCTTTCGCCAGAGTCCGATTTTCTGTTAATTTTTTCCCCAAAATTTCGTCTGAAAGCGCAGGATCTGGGTTATTTTTATTATCATCAATGGATGAGCACCCAAATTCAAAAACAAAATCTTTTTCGCGACGTTTTTGTAATCTTTCCCCAACTTCCTTGAAAACTTCTTTTGCATTAATTTCAATATGACATTCCGTAAGGCACAAATTATTTTTTATATTCGCTTGTTCCACAAGATGATAAATATCTCCATAATCTGGGAATTCGTTCCCTCTTCTAGGGTTATTTATATATCGTGCAACTTTTTGATTTATTTCTACAAATCTTGAAGATTGTACTTTGATTTTTTTTTCAATGACTCTCCCAGTTTGTACAGGGGCCTTGTTTATTTCACATAACTGTGTATAGATTTGCATAAACCGTTTTTTAAGTTTTGATTCGACAATATAACTTGTGTCGCTTTTTTCAAGGTCATCCAAGGACAACTCAGTGTTTTGTAATCGTATAATTTCATTTGAAATTCTTTTCAACAAGTTTTCAAGGTTTTTTATCTTATTTTTACGTTTCCGTCTTAAATGAGAAGTCCGATCATCCTCTGTGGAGCTCGTACCTGCTTCCGTATTATTAGAAGGTTCTTTTGATTTAACATCAACACCGCTACTAGAGGAAGACACAGTGCTTTTTATCTCACACCTCAATCCATCATCTGATACCACTTTTTCTGATAAATCTTTACAAATAGATTCAATATTTACTCTTCGTTTTTTTGACGCAAGATCGTTTTTATTAAATCCTTTTTCAGATGGTTTTCTTTTAGGAAATTCTTTTTTGATTTCACTCCCCGCTTTATTACTTTTATCGAGCATCGAGACAACGTCATGGACAAGAACAAAAACGTCTTTTGAACCGTTATTCAATTTTAAAATATATCGTTGAAGTAATTTCCGAAATTCCCTTGAATTCCTATAATCCATTGATGATTCTTCATATTTTTTATTCAAAAATAAAATTATTTTTCGTCCTTCCTCTTTCTCGCCAACAACTTTATTGCACAGATCAACAAATTGTAAGAAAAATTCTTCATGATTGTTTAATTTTTCTGCAGGTTTATCTTTGCCGTTTTTTATGATTTCCGCAGCAGGTTTTTTAACATCTTCATTATTTTTTGTTAGTGGTTTATCATCTTCATCAGAGCTGTCTATCACAATAATTTGACTCATCTCTGAGCCAATTAATTATCTTTAAAATTTTTATTAGAACTATAAAAATTATCACAATTGATTAAATATCGAAATATATAATATAAAACATAGATCAATAGATTTTATTTTAATATTCGCGATCGACCTGTCTGGAGGACAATGGTTGACAAGAAAATTGCTAATCTTTTTCGTATGCTGTTACCGGTATTGCAGTATTGTAGCATTTGGAAAATATCGTTTCGTTTATGTTTAACTATGGCCCTCAGGTCTGGTATAGTTTAGTACCACATGCACTTCTAGTTGGCCTGGCTCAACAATTTCTGCATATGCCAATCCTAACCCCCACCTGACTACGTCACCGAAAAATTACGTCAGTTCGACGTCACATTGGCTTAATAAGGCCCGCCAACGGATGCGGATGATTCGTTTTGATACGCCAACTGCAGAACTGGAAGTCTGGAAGTACGGTACTTGTGGTACTAAACTATACTAGACCCTGGCCCTCTATGGGGGACAGAGAGTTTGTATTGTCAAATTTTCAATAAATAATAACAAATAATTCTAAGCAAAAGTATAAAATAATGGACAATACTTACGGACTCGCACGCTTTTCGGTGCAAAATAACAGAAACCGGCCAAGCGCAGCTGATGATTCCGATTATAATATTTCGGCAGATTAGGATTCCAAATATAACTTCAAAATTACTATTTGAAAATTAAAAATATAATTTAATCTTGGTAAATTCTGATAGGATTGATTTCATAATTTATTAAAAATTTTAAATAGCATTTTAAATCTGCGTTGCAATTAATTAGTTTCAAATTTCTTCGCAACCTTTTTATGGATTTAAGAAATCTATAAAAATTCTGGCAACACTGAATGCATCGACTTTGGTCGGTTCCGAGATAGAGGTTGTCGTTTGGTTGTTGTTTGTTGATTTTGCATTTCTTTACGTTGAGTTTCGTGGAATACTGGGGAAGCCATGTTGCAACAAGGTCTACGAAAATCATTGGGGACATTTTCCCGTCAAATGTCAACTTTACGTTCCATGAACAAAAAACCATTGCTAGCGAATGCGACGCAAAACACTGGCCGTAGAACGATGGCTGGACACGGACCTGACATTTCCGTTGCTGAAGGAATCGCCTATATTGTCGTAGGAGGGGGTGGGATTGCTGCCTGGGGAGTTTACAAAACTATTCAAATGAGAGAGAGAATTGAAACCTTCGAGACTGGGAAAGTAGTTCAATTCCAAAGCCCTTCAGATGAAGAGTTCTTCAAATATCGTGAAATATTCGCAGAACGATACGGACCTGAAGAGGAAGAATGATTTTAAGACTTGAGTTAGACTTTATTTATTGTGTGTCTTTATAGCGTTATATAGTTCTACCAACTGGAAATTTCTTAACCTAAAAAATTGCATCATTTACTGACTTAATGTGTCTTTATACCGGTATCATTTTACAAATTGGTACCTGGATAGATTGGTTGGGGCATTATGCTAAGCATTAGGAAATGATCTGTACATGCACAAATCCAATAACTAACTTACTAATCCCAAACTCAACATGCATCATCAAGTCCATGCTTCCGAAAACATATAACTGGCTAACTAATCCCATACCCGACCTTGACTGGTAACAGGACGAGAGGCCGTGGTTCGCCATATGATTAAGCCGTCTTATCGGATTTCCCTCTCCCCCGGGATAAATATGTAAATCCGATCCACTGGGAACTGGGTGAGAGCTTGTAACCCATCTCATCGGATTTCTTTCCCCGAGATGAAAATAAAAAATCTACCCCTATTACCTCCATGGAATGCTAACCTGATATAAGAACTATAGTAATTCATGTGATTAATCTGTCACCTTGTCAATCTTACAGGATAAATATGAAAATATTATTATAAATCAGTAATTTGGAAAAGGTCTACCTTTTGGTATTCCAGTATCGATCGAACTTCATATCCTAAAGTGAAAACGATGAAGTGACCCTTTTTTCCTTGCCCATATGGTTTCGAATCTCACACAATTATTCTAATGATTATGCCCAATGATTTAAGCAGGAGATTGCCGTTGCAGAGTTTCCTTTTATGTCACAAACCTAAATGACTGATATCATTGTTAGGTTTTGAAAACTAAATCAAAGTCAGTTTCCAGAGTTTACGTTTTGTCTCTACTGGGTGGGTAAACATTTCGATAGTCAAGTCTATGCTTCTGAAAACAAATAACTGACAAACTAATCTCATACACGACATAGACTGGAAACCGAATGAGAGAGCGTGGTTTGCCATAGTATTAAGCCGTCTTACCGACTTCCCTCAACCCATATATATATATATGTAAATCCCATCTTCTCTTAGTTAATCAACTTTCTCGAACATGTGATCATGGTTGCATAAAGAATGATTCTAACTTGTAATGTGCAGTGGCTATCAATATATTAGCGTGTCAGCGGCGATTGCAACAGTTCCCACAAGGACATGTTTGCAGATGAGTTTATCCCGAGCTCTTTCATTAATAAAACAATCATCTCAACTAAAACCTTTCCAAAAGTCGCAAGCTGGGGTCCTTGTTCTCAAATCCAATTTTCAGCTTGTTTGACGAGTACAAAAGATTCTAGTCCTGCAGGGACGCTGTAGCATTCTACTTTTATCAATACGTCATTGCTCATGTTCCTTAATTGTTCACTTTTAATGAGGCTCTAGGCAAGCAATTACCAGTACTTATAGAGCAGGGGGGGGGGGGCAAATTACAGTCCGCCGAAGTGTTTCATCATTCTGCCACTTTTGTCTGTGGAAATTAAGACTACAGATAAACAGACTATGGATATAAATTTCTGTTGAAAATAACGTCATCATGACTCCAATTGTTATATTGTGCTTCATATTATTGTATGTACATCAGCCTGGCTGTTGGACTAGCTTTAGATAAAACTGTTTTCTATTCATACTTTTGAGCCTCTGGCCCACTCAGAAAAGTAATTGCCCACCCATGTTATAGACACTTTGAAGGAGGTCACTGATAAGCAAAGAGTTCTTCTTTGAAGTAACGAAATCTTCAAGATTTAGCATTGACTAGCTGAGCCTTTTTCCCCAAATATACTAGACCATTTTCATGGACAAAACAACTATATTAAGAAGCAGGACATATAGATTTCAGCAATAATAGGTGCGCAACACAGTTGATAGATTGATCAGGCAAAATTAGGCTTCAAAAGCAAATAATTAGGCAGTTGCCAGAAATACAGAAGTCATACAGACTTTGAATTAGGACCGAGTCCAGAAGTGGGAAGGTACAATTCTGAATTTCCCGGGATTTGGAGTTTAAGATCTCCAATAGTGACACAGAGAAGTAAATACTTTCTGCTAAGCGTAACAGTCTAATAAAAAACGCTTGAATATGCCAAAGTTTTAGTTCATTCGTGAAAAATCTGTTTTGAGGAAATGAAAAAAATGTATATACTTGATGTTTAAACTCCTGTATTATCATTGAAACACTTTGGGGTGAATATTGCTTCAAACTTGGCTTAGAACATATTTTTAAGTTAAATTTTTCTGGAAGCCCTCATTATAAAGTCAAATCATGTTTTTCTTCGATAAGATACAGATTATATATATGAATATAGTAATGGCCGCACAACTGCAGAATATGAATTTACTTAAAGTTAAATACTGCATTAAAAAACTTCAAAATGATTCTCTTTTGCAACATAATTTCAATGTATAAAATGGTTTATAACATAGGCACAACTGGTATGAAGCAAGAATACAAGTTCTGCTCATGTTTCGAATGTTTATACCGACAGTTCTCAACCACGGCCCGCGGCCAATAACACTATAAATACCGCTGGTAAACAGGGATGCCACAAGTGCCGAAAGCCTCCGGAGGGAGGTCACGAGCAATAAAAGATTGGGATACTGGTCTACACAAACGAAACTACATTAGGACCATGGATGGAAAATACACAATTACTTGCTTCATACTTTTCATATTTACTGCAAATATAAAAAAATTATTCAAAAATCAATTTGCTCTTTTAGAGTTGGGCACTTAGCAATTGGCAATGGTATAGAAATAGCACAAGTTATAATACAACAATTATATGAAATATAGGAGACAATTTTTGATTCTAGGAAACCTAAAAAATACAGAACCATGGTCACGTGGAACATATTCTAGACCTGGAGAAAGGGATTGCTAGTGGGAGCGTCCTAGATTACAGAAACTTTAAGGGAGTGCTCAGTGTGTGTACCAGGTTAGGGTTAGGCCTTATTCTTTTTTTTTCCTTATTCTATTTCGAGTTCGGGGACTCTGTGTTAGCCAAGAGAACATACCACCCCTGCCCATAGTTTTCAGTCCCTTCAAACAATTTGATGTAAAGTAGGCAAACAAAATTAGTTACCTCCATATTAGTACACCACCCTTTTGGAGCGCTCTTTTGGGTTTAATCATACACAATTTTTCCCTCTTTCCATGAAAGTATTTAAGAAATTTATGGGATCGTTTTTTGGGCACCCTGTTTATTAATTCCCATGAGAAACTTAAAAGTCGTACACAAAAACAGTAACGACTTTGCTACAAATCATACAACAACTTTTACTGCATGAGAATGAAAAAATCTCAGTATACGATTTGAATAGAATAGTGTAATGTAAAATATGGAAACATAGGAAGTTTTTGGTCCGTCAATGAGTTCTGATATTTTTTGCAAGGTTTTTAATAAACTCAGAGTCATTAGTTTTATAAACTTTGATATTTTTGAGATAATTGTTTCAACCAGAGCTCAAAATGGGGCATGAACTACACTACACCACAGCTACTACACTACAAATGCGAGCAGTTACATAACTAGAAAATTCCGAAGTATATGAAATGGGAGTTTTTTTGGCGATAATTTAATACAACACCTACTTTATCAATTTATTTGATTAACTTAAAGAGTAATAATGTTTTGAACAACAAACTTGGGATCCTTTTGCTAACACAGCGAACATGATAGCCGCTACACTACAAATACAAGCAACAAACAACTCATTAGAAAATTCCAAAGAAAATAAAAACTGAGATTTTTTGGCAACAATTTAACGCAGCACCTTATTCGATTAACTTGAATGAATAATGTTTCTGAACAACAAACTTAAGACCTTTTGCTTACAGGAGAACATGACAACCTCTAAGAGAGCAAAAGATGAAAAGTCAACGAAAACGTCACATATTGGAAACTGTAATGTAGTAACGCTTTTCGAAATAGCACCAGTTTTATAATTTTCAGCAAAACATTGCAAATAAATAAAATAATATCACAAATTTTTGATCATCAAATTTTATGAATTATCAATTTTTCTGCAATCACACATTGCTTTCAAACAAGGAAATTACAACAGACAGAGAATTTGCTTGAGTTTTTGAAGCAAACTGTTTGGTAGTTCGTGGTCCACAAGATGGTGACAAAGAACTTTTTAGCTGTGGGTAAGTGTTCACAAAGGAGCAAAACATAAACAAACACAAAACAGAGAAAAATACTAATTGCTACATAAATTTTCCGCAATTACGAATTAAAAATGTTGCAGACAAGGAATTACAACAAACAGAATAATTTGCCTGAATTCTTAAAGCAAATGAATTTGTAGTTTGTGGTCCAAAAGATGGCAGCAAAAAACTTTTAAGCTGTGGCGTAAGTGGTCACGAAAAAGCAAAAACAGAAAAGATACAATTGCCACATAAAATTGTCTATTTTTTCAATCACATATAAAAAAAATTGCTTACAGACACACAAAATTATAACAAAATAGAAGACTTTCACTTAAATATGGTCCAAATTTGAATAACTCTAGGATTCCTTGCAGATTGGGCCAAATTCCACTAGAGGGCTAAGAATATTTTTATTAGGGGGGGAAGACGTAGCAGTTAAAATTGTTGAAACACTCTCAGTCATATTCTCAATATTTCCAAATATTTTCTCCACCCAAAAGCATCTTTCTCAGCTTAAAAGCGGATTGAACTAAAATTTTCTTGTTTGGGGGGAGGGGGGGGGGGGGGGGTTCCTAATAAAATTTGGCGAAAATTAAAATATCATTGCAAATGCGTCAAATTCATGATCAAACATCCTTAGGCTTTATTGAACTCCAATTATTCTTTTCGCCCCTCTGGTTCCGCAGGTTGAGGAATCGGGTCTTTAGTTCCCGTTCGAACTTCATCAACACGAGATTCTAATATACCTGTAACAGTGTTATTGCAGATTAAAAGGGAGGAGAGGAAAGCTTATCAGCAGGCATAATGGACCATTGCAAGGCTTCCCAAACCTGACCCTAGATCAGGGGTGGCCAATTATTTTTTTGAGTGGGCCGGTTACAGATGGTAGTCTTCGTTACTGGGCCGGAGGCTCGAATCAAAAAACTATAAATAAAAACAACTTAGCTAGGCTAATGTTTATATATAATAATAAGAAGCGCAATGCAAGGGTCATTATGACGCTAGTTTCATCGACATATTTTCAACGTAAATTTATATCCATAAAAAACCATTACACCTGAGTGTAATATCAGTTGCACGTTCTATGAATTTTTAGTTAACAAAATCAGGATCTACTCACGAGCCGTAGTTTTTACTCCGTTTAATTCATTGTTGATCTTCGTGACCTGCTTTGTCAACTCTTCCAACTTATCTTCGGTCACTGCTGCCTCGTTCATGATCTCAATCACTCGGTACGTAAGCTTCTCTACAGATTCAACCTGGGGAGAGATTTTATCATGGTCAAATCGGTACTCCCGTAGTACGTGTACCAGGTTATGGTTAGGTCATATTTTAATTCCAATTTTCCTTATTTTAGTTTTATTACGAGTTCGAGACTGTCTGTGTTAGCCAAGTGAATATACCCCTTGCCCATAAGATTCAGTCCATTTACACAACTTGATGTGAACTAGTCGAACAGAATCAGTTACCTCCATATTGGTACACTTCTGGAGCGCCGTTAAACTAGAGTCAGGAAAATACAGATTTTATTTTTTTTAAGCATTGCATTTTAGTATCAGAGGATACAAATAAATGGTCACTATCTAACGCTATTCAACTATTTTTAAAAGGACAATAGATGTTTCCCATAGCATCGATTTCTCACCGTAAGTTTATTTTTGAAGTTCATTTCTGTAACAATGGCCAATAAGCAAAAGGCAACAATGACGTGACAATTGCAATTTTATCAGACACCATTTCACTTTGGGTGTGATAAAATCCTCTTGAATATTTTTTTCGAACAACAATGCCAAATGTATACCAGCTGATGAGGAATTTTATCATTTTTGGAGAATTTTATCATTTTTGGGGAGAAATTTCATTTTGTATTTGTTAATTTTCTTTAGTTCCTTATTATTACTTATTTAGGAACACCTTAAATATCAATACTCACTTCATCCGCATCTGCCTGTTGTTTTGACTTCTGATATTTAACGACTCCAGCCAATGTTTTGTTTAATTTTGTGACAGTTTGACTGATGCCAGATATTTCTGAAAGAAAAAAAGAAAATTTATTGGAATTAGCATTTCAATCGACATTTACTCATGCATAGTACACAGCAGCTTCCAGCGGCCTCATTAGTCTACTTCTGAGTATGTTGGCAACGGGAATACAGGATACAAAAGACAGACTACAACATAGCAAAACATTAAAAAAACAAAAAAAAATTTGGAAAAACTAAAATCAAGAACATACTTGTGTCTAATGTGGCAACAGAGTTAATCAGGCTTTCATTCTCAGTTGCCTGAGCTGGTTCTTTGATTTGAACCTGAAATATTAAAGGAAAATGTATATCAAAAATATTGATTTTAATGGTATCATGAGGCCAGCTAGAAACAATGTCTTATCGAATCTGCACTGCCTTGAATCTGAAGGACAATATATATAAATAGAAAAATAGAAGACCCATCCAAACATTCCTCTCACAGAGGAGATACCTAAAAACCAACAGTATCAAATATTTCATTGAATACAACAAATTGACAATATGCAATAGAAAGCCAGAAATATTCAGATTCTCCCTAATAAATAGTATCTGCGCTACTGCCTCGACTTTGAAGGATGATACATATATATAAGACTCATGGCCCATTCAGAAATTCTCACATAGATGAGATATCCCAGAACCCACAGTGTTAAATGTTACATTTAATCTAACAAATTGACAGTATCTAATAGAGCAGGGCTACTCAACTGGCGGACCGCGGTCCGAATCCAGACCTTTCGAGTATTGGATTTGGACCGCACCTAATTATTTATTTTGGATCATTAGCCCCACTTTTTGAATTTCCCATTATAAAATGACTTTCATAGTTTTGAATATATACGAAAAGAACTATAATACCATAATGAACAATTTTAATTTGCTACTAATCATTAGTCGGTCGAGGAAGTGCTCGTTTAAGGATGCCGGAATATCATTTCTGGAAAGATACCGGACCCAAATAATTTTGAAGTTTTGTTTGCGGACCCTCGATAAAAATAGTTGAGTAGCCCTGTAATAGAGAACCAGAAATATTCATATTCAAATTAAATAGCAACTCCTTATATATCATCAGATATCAATAGCTCATTGTACAGAGCCTTGCCCAGGGTAAAAAAGCGTCACCGCTCCGACCAATCAACATAGGTATATTGATTTCTGATACACTCCAGTGTTCTTGCAGTCGGTGCATTCATTAACACAAAGCAGAGAGAATAGATTGAGCTATTTAAGCCATCTGTGACGGTTGTTATTAGCAACACCATAAATTTCAAGACCCCAGTCCAATATAAATAGTTTTACAAGCAATTTAATCTCTCCCTTCCCGCCCCCAGTTTTTATACTACAATCTTACTCACCTTAACTTCATTGAATTGCTTCGTCAAATCCTCGACAGTTTGTTGACATTTTTTACTGATTTGATCAGTTGATTGCTGAAGCCATTGCGCTGAGTTTTCCGATGTTTCCTGGAGGTGTAAATAATATGTTAAAGAGGGAATTAAAATAACTTTATTCCTGGCAGGTCTGTAGAGAACTTCAGTTTGAGAAAAACTTTAACTTTAATTCCTGAAATTAGGAAATTTTAAATCGTTTCCAGCTCTAACTCAGAGAAAACCAAATTTAGATAGAAAATGATCAATGAAATCAATTTTTCAGCGCCAACTCCTGGTTGGCAATAATATTGACTCTAGCTCCTGACACCATGACGGATGAAATTTTAACTTCGGCATATGCAAGCACTCGTCAAGTAATTGTCTGTTCAGAATGCTTAATGCCTTTCAAGTTCAGTCGGAAAGTTTGACTTAGATATTTATCATCATTAGAAGAAGTCTGCAATTCTGCCCCCAACTCAAGAGAATTAAATTTCTAATTTCTACGAGTTTGAAAAACTTTTCTATAAAGTTTTCTGGGTCAAATTTTCCATGTTTAAGAAAAACGCCACCTTATTAAGAAGTCGAGACTGACTTACCGACACTTGTCTTGACAGCTTTGCAATCTCAGCAGTAGTTCTGGTGTCAAGTTCTTTAAGCTACAATAAATAATACACGTTAGTAGAGTAGGATGCAGATTTGGCGTTGGGGGCTAATTTGTAGAAGCATATATTTCGACAAAAACAGACAAAACGTTACAGAAATACATTAGTGCGTTGTAATTGTTAGTGTGCAGTCTTGAATTGAAGAGTATAGACATGTTTATTCCTGCTACAGCATCTTTGCAGTATACGCATACAGATCCACTAACACAAAAAGGAAGAATTGGGAGTTAGTCTCTGGTAACCCAACTCATTATCATTAAATCATTATTTGTCTGTGAATTGTATTGTCTTACGAAGCTTTTGCTTTTGGAAAAACGATAATGTGTTAAAACAAATAGTTGCCATAATTTGAGATTCTATGTCCATTAACTCACCTATGGGGTAATTAAATTAAGTTAGCTATGCCGGACTGATAGTGGTACCACCTCATTTAGCAGTGCCTGCAAACACAGTGTGATTATGTAAAAAGCTTCATAACAATCATACTGTTCTTGTGTAGAATTTCAAGTACTCCCGAAATATGTGAACTAAGATGGCAGCGTTTATAGCGTTTCTACAGCGCCAACTCACCGTTGCTTCTATTGTTGTTGTTTCGCCCTCTTGTGTGCTCACTGGACCTTGACTCTCCAATTTCTCTAAATTTTCTCGAATATTAACGACTGTGGTTTTGATTGATTCAATAGCAGAACCCATCGCTAATTTATCTGCCGTCAGGTCGATGACTTCTTTCTGGATTGAGTTTGTCTGAAAAATGAAGAGAATTTTTAATTTCGGGCAGAAAAAACAAAATGAAAGAATTTTTCATGATTATCCTTGAGGGTAGTAAAACTGAATTGATTAGGGCCAATAGTTCTCAACATTTTCTTTTTCGTGGCCCATTTCAATACACAAAAATTGTGTGGCCATTGACGATTTTATGCGAAAGAAAACCTACAAGAAAATAACATAGCCTTTCCGCAAAAATGGGCAATTTTACTTTAATAGTTAGAATGAACACTACAACCCTACAGCGAAAACAATATCCTAATTCATTGCTACTACAATCAAAGTTCTACTAATTCAACAACTCTAGCAATTCTTAACAGGTACAAAGCCCAACTCAAAAAGTTTCTGTTGGGACGGTTGGGACCGGTGGTTTAGGCATATTGTGACCCATGTCCATTTACTGGTCCATGGAAGAATAGTTATTCAGTTATTTGTTTCAGATGCATGAACTTAATGCCTAACCGATCAGTAATTACGTGAACCACCCTACAATAGTGATGAGTCCAGCAGTCCTTTTTCATTCAATAGTCCTTTACAGGTGTTGAACCTGCAAAACACATCATAACCGGAACCGGAAGAACCAAATCCGTGAACATGCTGATGTGCCGACCATCAGACAAGCCGTGGGTTCGTCAGCGCACAGCCCTCAGTCCGATCAGTTCTCTTATCTGTTTCCCTCAATCCAGATAAATATGAATATCCTATCGCATTTCTCAGTGAGTCGTTTATGATGGAAAATTACAAACCAATAAAAACTTACTTGTTCGAAGTAATCTCGTAATCTCTTATCAAGCCTTATCGCCTCGTCTGATAGATAAGCAATATTAGTGTTCGATACTTTGATAAGATCATCCAGTTTCTTTAGTTCTGCACTTTCACTTTGAGTTGATTTCTGATAAAAAAAGAAATCAAAACAAGTCAAATTCATGCGCCTAAAACGAATGATTGGTTGATTTTTCCAAACCAAGAAACAGACATATAGCCTGTATTGATAAAAAGTTTCTGAACCCGAGTCGCTGGTCATCAAAGCCAGAAGTCTGGTCAATCAGTGAATTATGTCTCAATGAGTTGGATGAAAGTCCCAAAACTTACAGAGTTCAGAAGTTTTGAACCATGAGTCAATGACTCAGGCTTTTTGTGTACTTGAAATTGATTGAGGGCCTAATATAAAATGTCTGACATCCCACGATTGGCCCAAAGTTTTATGACCACTGCTTTAGTCAGACTTGATTCGAGTCAATGAGCTGCCCCAACACTTCTAGTAACGATGGGAAGCCACGATTCAACCGATCATTAGCAAGTATAATCCACTGTAAACTGCCTGTTTAAAGTGTAGGGTGTGGGCATAGAAGCCACTGGTGATTGTTTCTATAAAGCAATGGTTCTCAAACTCTGAGTCAATTGCGGGCCCACATAATGATTTAATAATCTCTACCCCTTAAGTGAAAAAGTTTACCACTTTATATGTTTTTACCTTTTTGCGTTCAAGATACCGCTAATTGTTATGTCATTATCCCAGTTCAAGCACATGTATATTCTTAACAATCCAATTATACGTAACAATATTAGGATTCCATACGGCCGCCCGCAAATATCTTTCCACTCTGCCAATCCTTTCTATTGAGTCTTGTCTAGAGTGAAGGTATGAATACACCACAATATATACACCCACTTACCATAGATTTAAGAGCTTCCATCTCAACCTCCAAACTTTCAATCTTGCTAGAAGAATCTTCAACCTGAGATGCCAGATCTGCAAACCCAGTTTGTGAATTCTTGATTTGAAGTGTAAGATGATCAACAGTAGAACCCCTTGAGGCTTCCTGCATGAAAGACAATTTTATGTTTAATTTGAACCCTGCTGCTGTTTTGTTTGAAAGTAAATTGCACATTATCTGATTTTGAAGTGCCTGAATGTTAACTCACAGTCTATATTTATTTGTTTTGAGTTTGTTTTCGCTGGGTGAACGCGTTTAATATTTTTTAAACTAATTTTTAGGTTTTGTTCTCTCCCAAATGTTCATTTACGCAAATTAATCGAACTAAATCTATTGCATCTTCAACTGTGTATGATTTACCAGATTTCATGAAAATTGTATATACGGTACCTCTGTAATCGAACATAATTTGTTCCGAATTGGCACCGCAGCATTTTGGACTCGATTTTTTTGGTCGACCGACTTATTGTTAAAGTATCAACTAAGCTGTGGTATCACTGTATATATACTATTCCATGTTATGAATACTAGGAGTTATTTCGAATAGCAAATCACTCAATTTCAGACCTGTTTTGTTCAAATACTTACGTCAGTATTCTAAGATAATTTATCGGGAACCACTGAAGAGACTATGAAGAATTATATTAACCTAGACTTACTTTATTATTCAAATTTGTTATTTCTTCCTGTAACTGCTCCATGGTTTCCAGTTTTAACATGATCACTTTGATTTGACCTTTGAACTCCCCAACAGCTGAAGATTCTGATCGTAATTGATTGAGTTCTTTTAGTAGAGCACGATTTGTCAAAGTCATCTGAGAATAAGAAAGCAATGATCAAATATAAAAGTATTAAAGTCAGATGTCATATCAAGTGTTCCCATGGAATAAATTGAAACGCCAAAATTTTTGGTAGAATATTTGGTCTCTTATAACTTTGAGGAATTAAAAAAGGGAAATATTAGCCTTTTAGTGGTTCCAACCATCTTTTGATACATGTCTAAAACTGATGCCAAAAGCAAGAGAGTACTGCTCAAATATATGGCCAAGGAGGTTATATTACATAAAGTATTCACATGAATTCTAATTTTGCAAAAGTTTGGGTTAAATAACAGGTCCTATAGTGTTCTTTAGATAAATTTGAAAAAATAAATAGCCTTCTACTTCCATTTAAAAGCTTTGAAAATTTAAGATCGATTGGTCCATTAGTTGCAAAGAAAATATGTATAAGCAGATGGTATTATCTGGAAGAAACAGAATCTTCCCGGTTCGACATTGGCTATTCAATTTATTACACCCTGAGTGAGGTGGACTGTATAGGTAGAAATCTGAGATATTTATTAACGAATGACGCCAACATGGTTGAGTCAAACAATTTCATACGATTTTTTGAAAGACTCAATTTTTGACTAATTTTTTTTCACCCAGACAGCACTGTGGCGCATCGTGCTTAGTGATAGGAATAGAATCGCCACCGTGTGGATCCCATGCAGGAATGATTATGTGCGAGAGGATCGCTGGACTCCTCACTGCGGTAGGGTGGTTCACGTAACCGCTGGTAGGTTACGGCTTCCTCCACCATCAAGTCCATGCTTCCGAAAACAAATAACTAGCTAACTAATCCCAAACCCGACATGCACATGGTAACCGAACAAGAGGCCGTAGTTCGCCATATTGTTAAGCCGTGTTATAGGCTTTTCCCTCCGCCGAAATAAATATGTAAATCCTATCCTTTCTCACCTCATTATAAACAAAGAAAGATGCTCCTCCACTGGCAGCAATTATGAAGAAAAGTACGACAAACCAATTCAAGCATGTCATTCCGCCAGAAGATTGCTGTTGTTGAGGTTTTGATGTCGTCTGAAAGTTATTAAGATGAAATTTTAGACTTTTTTCAGTTACCCAGCCACGTTTGGAAATAACAAATTATTAATCATTCAGTTGTGAATGATTTGAAATTTGTATTTTCATCCTTCCCTAACTGTATAATGCGGGTCATATTTTAGTGGGGGGGGGGGGGCTGGGGGGGGGTTGAGGGGGGTGAAGGAAGAAATTCCCAAAATGATAAATGATACAATAGCACCCCAGAGGCATTGTAATAATATTAGACTGAATGATGGAAAGCCCCCATAACTTTGAAACAAGAGATTTGAGTACATGGGCAATCTCACCTTTTGGGATAGAATATAAGTGGCAAAATGAAAATGATCGAATAGTCTCTGATAGAGCTTCAAGCTCATGATGCTTCGACTCAATAAAAGTAAGGAAGCTTGTTTATATGATGATATGAAAGGCCAAAGGCCATAAAAAGTGTTCCTATGAACTAAAGTAAAACGACTCAATTTTGGGTGGGATAAGGGGTCATGTATGACTCAATAAAAGGCAATTTATCACCACAACAATAAAATCCTGCAAAACATTTTCTATTTCAGATCTTTTTACCTTTGGAGCAGCTTTTACATCTCCTTCCCCATTTTCATTCTTTTTTCTTTGTCGAACTCCATCTTTATTTGCAGACTTTGCCATTCTTTTGCTTTCAAATTATCCTACTACTACTATCATATATTACAAACTTTCTGAAAAAAAACAGAAAAATGAAATTTTTGAGTTAGTGAGGTTGGGAATGTATCATGCCTTTCAGACATTATCACAATACTGAAATAAGGAATGGAATTTTTATTTATTTTTTATATGAGTTCCCCTCTGTACAGTACAGACATTACTGGGTTAGCTGTCATACAGCCATGGGCTCGATTGTGTGGTGCATTGTAGCATTGTGCTAAGCGTTAGGAATACGCCCGCCATCTCACCTCTGAATACCCTGTACGAGATAGCGCTGGGGATGGGAAAGGATTTAAATATTTATTCCGGGGGGGGGAAGGAAAGCCGATAGCACGGCTTAATCATATGGCGAACAACGGCCTCTCGTCCGGTTGCCAGTCCAAGTCGGGTATGGGATTAGTTAACCAGTTATTTGTTTTCGGAAGCATGGACTTGATGGTGGAGAAAGCCGTAACCGACCAGCGGTTACGTGAACCACACTACGGCGGCGAGGAGTCCAGCAATCCTCTCAAACATGATCATTCCCGCATGGGATTCGAACCTGCGATCCCACGAAGGGTAATCAGATGCAGTGGCGAGCGTATTCCTAACACTGTAACACTTAGCACGATGTGCCACACCGCCCAGTCAAAGGGTGGGCAACATACGACGCGGCCGTCCAACCACACTTTGTAATGTGGTCCAACGCATCATTCCTGAAAGTTTCGATCGCTCTACTCTCACCACACTGTCAGACTGTCTGTGGGAGCTGGTGAAATAAACAATTGCCTTAGTGAACAAACAATTGCGTTAGCACACTTGTTAAACAATATAAGGTCAAATAAGTAAGCGTTGTAAACATTCCCTACTACTGTTATCAGTTATATTTAGATTCTATATAAATAAATTTTAGAAATGAGATTTTATATTAAGTTTTATTAACCACGGAATATCCCAAGAAACATAAGTTGACAGAGAGTGTCGAGCCTTTGACAAAGATTGGATACCAAGGTATTTTTTTGTAATAATCCGGCCCACCGAGGACTTCATTTTCCTGACTGGCTAACTTATCCTATATCCAACACCAATCTCATATGGACAGGTAACCGGACAGGAGGCAGTGATTCGCCATATGCCGTTACCGGTATCGTATATTACTTTCCTCTTACCCGGAAAAATATCATACCGGTAATGCTGTAATGTCTGAATGTCGTTTGGCTCACTTCCAGTTGCATTATAACTTGGTACGAATTTTTTTTATCTTTTTAATATCCATGACGCTTATTTCAATAATATCAAACCAACAAAATAAATAAAAAAAATTATGAAAATCACTAAAAATACACAAAACTTACCAAAACACCTCTTCAAACGCCACGTCGCAATAAGAAGTTTCGGAAACGCCGCAAATTTCAGATCGCTGAAGTGTGACCTTCCCTGCAAAAAGATAATAACTGTCTTGTTTTCCTGGTTTATATCCGTAACATTCACCAATCAGCAAGAGTTTTGATTTACTTTAGGTAAAATTGAGGGAGTTGCTACGAAACTTTTTTCACGCCGATATTCGAGCAAGGTGATCAATAGTTTGATTTACAACCATATAGCGCTTCGTACGTACAGTATGCATAAATGGATGAAATTTCGGGTAGAATATGAGTGAACATTGGCACATTTGCATTCTTTTCGCTACCTTATATTATATTAGTTATTTATTATTTTTCACTTGTTTTATAGTGATAGCCGAATAATCATCAAATCACCAAAATTTTTCCAACATTAAAGTGTATGTGCCGTGGCGCCATTAATCTAGTAATATTTTGTGTTTTTCTAATGTGTTTTTTTGGACACGTCACTGGACGTAAGGATAAGGATAAGATTTACATATTTATCCCGGGGGAGAGGGAAGCCGATAAGACGGCTTATCCATATGGCGAACCACCGCCTCTCGTCCGGTTACCATTCCAAGTCGGGTATGGGATTAGTTATATTGTTAGTTTTCGGAAGCATGGACTTGGTGGTGGAGGAAGCCGTAACCGACAAGCGGTAACGTGAACCACCCAACGACGGCGAGGAGTCAAGCAATCATCTCGCGCATAACCATCCCTGCATGGGATTCGAACCTGCGAACCCACGCAGAGTAATTAGAGGTGCCGCCGCGCCATAACGATCGTTTCAATATTATGTTGTTGTTCTTGTTTTTCTTCTCCTCCGTCATGAAAAAAATCGCTTTTCTCTCCGAATACTGGACCAATTGCTTTGAAATTTTTAGGGGTGAAAGATTGATTTTCGCCAGAAAGCTATTTATTACTTTCACTAATTACAAAAACTTCTGTGGACTCAAAGAGATTCTTTTTATGTGTCAGAATAAAAAATAGCAGCACCTTGTTATATTTGAATATAGTTCTCTTGTTTTCTGTTAATTTTGAATGATAAAATATTTTTTTTTTGTGTGTTTTCTTTTTTCAAAATTCAGGTCGTAGCTATCGATGACGCGACAGGTCATAACTCATCCGCTACCCCTCATTTATTGCTATGAATCACGAGTACAATTTTTAATCTCGTAGGCCGCGAGTCGAGGCCATTTATCTTTCAGTTTCGTAGCGCATATGAGGTAACTACCTGAAAAAGATTTTAAAATGTTCTTTAGAAATTTAGTAACAAATATTGCCTTGTTCCCACTTCCAAAAGTTGCACGTTTTACAGGAAAAATACGCTTTTACTACAATAAATATGTGTTACCATCTGTCCTATTTTCTCTGCTTTTCCGGTATCATGGACCAATTAACGCAGACTTCTGCATGACGTAACAACGAATTAGTCAGCTGTAGGTGGATCCCCAGTGGTCGGATGAATATCAGATGTACTACTGCTCGCTATTGCGTTGAGTAGCCTTTCTATAGTTTTTTTTTTCAGTTAATATTAGTTCAGTTATTCTAAGGAGGTGTTGAAAAGTATAAGTAAGATATTAAACACTTGTATATCCTTGCCATAAATAGCAATTTTAGTTGAGCACTAGCTCATAAGACGTTGTTAAATAGGTACGGTGCGGTAACTCCAAGGAAGGCTAGACCTAGAATAATACCGTATGTCACAAACAACGATATTTTCTGGCTTGCTAAATCTAAATTCATAGAGTCGACAAGAACCTGGGAAGCAATGATAAGTTATGTCGGAGTGGAAAGAAAGTATAGCATTGGAAACGATTGAGAGGTGAGAAATCAAGTTGTAGACAGACAGTTGATGTTTTAAAATATAGTTCATACTCATACTGTCATAGAGCATTTCAGACTGTGATATATCAAAATTTAGTGTAGATATAGTCTAGTACTGGTATGCAAACACTGCTGGATATATGCTCATTGAGTACATCAGATAAAATGCATTATGTATCCAAGGTATTAGTTAGTATTTAGTGGTATTATTACACTCATGCTGTTCCAAATATGATTTTCTTCCTCATTTTAGATACTGTACGACAAAAGAAAACGGCAATGTTTCACTAATCCGACCTAACGCAGGCTCTAATCCCTGTTGCTGTCAGTGTTATAAAATGGATTAAACAAGAAGTCTTGAAGCGTAAAGGTAGGCCTATATGAGAATCATAATAGTTGCAAACAGCTTAGCTGGGCTATTCATATTGAAATACTTTAGCACCTTTCTGCAATTGGAACTGCCCATCAAACTCATGTTGGAGACTTCATTGAGGTTTTCAATTCATTTCTTTCTCAACTATGAAGATCTTTTGAGGTTAACGAGGTATTATTAAATAAAGCTGAGGAATTTGTTTGTTCACTGTATGAAGAGGATATGAAGAATGTGAATGATACCAGGGCACGTCTATTTGACACTGGCATACATAAGGATTATACTCTCTCCACCCAACAATGATTCACTGAAGAAGCATGTGGCCCTCAAATCAGTTCTTGAGTTGGCAAACTGCAAGTGTAAGAAAAATAGTCAAATTAATTTATGCAAGTGTGCCAAAATCAACTTAAATTGCACAGATTTTTGTTTTTGTATTGACTGCAAAAATCACAGTACGAATATAGAGGAAAATTCGATTTTTGAGATAGTGGATTTCGAAAACAATTCAGAAGAAAGTGAATTAGATATTGCAGTTGATTTAATAAGTATCATTTATTTGTTTTGTTTTTTGGACATTAGTTAGTGTCGTAGTCCTGTTCCAAGAAATAATATTGCCTTTGTTCCAATACATAACCACATAAACTAAAAAAAGACTAATTGTAATATTTCTGTTCACTATGTTATGTACATATTGTACATTCATTTAATTTTTTTGACTTTTCCGGTAAATTTCTAAGTGAGAAATAACTGATTTATTTGTGTTTACGTGCTCACGATGTTAATTTGTGACTTCATTGCTTAAAAATAAATACGTTTGATAGCTTCTATAAAATGGATGTAGCTTTTTATGCTGTTCTTGTTGTAAACTGCTTGTGGTTATTACAAAAAATTTATTCGTTAATGTGAATCAGCGTTGTTGGTGTCGCTGCTTTCGCGGTCACACGCGACTCCTGTCACACAATTAAAGTATTTTTTGTTGTTGGTTACATGTATGCCATATTTTTCGTAATCTACCTAATAAATTATGATTGACTGAGGAAGTTCGATTTTGGTCAGGCAAAACATTACAGGAATACATTTGTGTTAGTGTGCTGTCTTGTAGGGCTCTCGATCTGCATAGTTCTTATGTATGTGTTGTAAACTTATGGTTATTGAATTTCCGGGAACCTCTTATATTCAATTTTGCATCAGGATTGTGGAACAAGCTGTAATGCGTTCAGTATGTTCATTTTCACACAAAACTGAAGAATTTATTTAGTTGCCAGATGTGCGCTACGAAACTCATTTTCTGGGCGTTTTCAAGGCCTCGTCTCACGGCCCATATCCGTGGTAAGGATCTACAAGTGTTTAATAACTTACTGATACATTTTTCAACAACGTCTTAGCATAACTCAACTAATAATAACTAAACAGTGCTATGGAAAGGCTGCCTAACTCAACGCAAGGCCGAGCAGTAATAACTAATATTCATCCGCTCGCTAACAGCTGATTCGATTCAATTGTTACGTCATGCAGAAGTCATTGTTCATTGCCGAAAATGTAGAGAATATTCCGTAAAACTTTTGGAAGTGGGAACAAGGCAATATTTGTTACTAAATTTTTAAGTAACATCATCAACATTAAATCATTTTCAGGTAGCTACCTGATGTGCGCTACGAAACTCACTTTCTGGGCGTTTTCAGGGCCTCGGCTCGCGGCCTATCGCGTTTCCTCGAAAAAGACCTAACCTGAATTTTAAAATTGATTTTAATACAAGCCCCCCACTTAAAATAGACTTTGTCGACAACGCCAAATGTTTTGACCTAGTCGATAGCAAGAAATCTCTCCTACACTTTTTGAATGATTATTACGGTAGCCTATTTATAAGTTAATGGATATTGGTTTTCATATTTTTTATATTTAATAATCTCTGACTCTAATTTTTGTAAGAAAATCAAATAAGACCCCTTTTTATTTTTGGCTCTTTTTACGCTTTTGAATCCTTTCGTACATCGATTCTTGCATGATGAAAATAATTATTTCACTTCAAATCTGTGGAAAGGATTATTGTGGAGTCAAAGGTCATGGAAATTCATTTTAAAATTGAAATAAATAAGTAAATTATTTTGAGTTTCTAATCATAAAACTAGATAGCGATGGCAGACCGCCGACTTATCGATCTGCAGTTTCGATTCCTTCGCTCTGACTCAATAGCGACACCGCGTGTCCCATCACTAATTAATCGATAACTCACTAAATAAACGACATAATTCATCAGTGAGATATCGTGTAACATACAAAAGTGTCTAACAGACAGACAGACAGACAGACAAATATCTATTAACATACTTATCGATCGAAATCGTTGTGTAATAAATTTTTCTCTTTTTTTTAAAATAGGAATGTAAGATATTTCCATTGATTACAATGTACATAGCAGTCAACTTTGTATTTGGACTGGTACAATACGATATCTACGGTCATATGCAGTTACCACCCAATACAACACATGAATAAATACATAAATTGACACAGGTTCTTTTTTTGAACTCTCGGTTTCTGAAGAGCTATTACGATGATTATTGAGTTCAAATAAACTTGCCCAAGCAGATATAAAAAGTGATTTTTTAACGATCTTACTCGACGGCAAAGATATCTTTTATTTTCATTATTAAAAACAAAATTACAAAGTATAAAAGTATGAGTTTTTGAAATATGCAAAATATAAAAAAAAGATATTCATCCACTTATAATTAATGATTTTTTCTCTAAAAAAAATTTGCGCCATCGACCAGGTCCTTTTTTAATGGAAGGGCTTATATTAAAATCATTTTTCAGATTTAGGCTAGATCCTAATTTTGGGTAAACACGGTATTAATTATTGTTAGAATTTTTGTCATTTTTTTTATCCTACAAATTTATTTTTTGCAAAAAAAAAAGATTTTTTATTACTTAATTCACACTGCACGTATTTCATGCGTGACCATATTCACTGGTTCATTTTTGACTGTTTTGCAAGCTCTGTGAATTTTTGAGGGAGTTTTTTCGTTTTCTTTTGGACTATTTTTTGGATTACTCCAATTCCGGATACAACAACATTTGATCGAGTTTTTTTTAGGAAAGATTCCTACAGGTTTGTAACACTTGTGTGATACCGGTACTGGGAGATGGTTTTGTGGTATGACTGTAATGACAAAATAAATTGGTCGCCAGGGCAAACTGATAAGATAATTTATTTGAAAAAATCCTGTTACAATACACAAATGGGTGCAGTCCGCAGAGGCAAACAGACTTGAGCACAGGAGCAGGGCAGACTGCTGGGCTGACAGAAGGACAGCAATTCAGAAAAATTTGTAATAATGAATAGCCTACTTAGAACAATGTTTAAAAATAAGACTTGAAATTACATGAATTATAAGGCAGCCATGGCTATGTATGACCTCAATAAATAAAATTTAGGTTTCAGGCCTGTCAACCTGGACTATGTTAGTTATTAGTTGATAGCTGTTTGTCTCAAAAACGAGGAAGTCTGACCTTTTGCAATGGCAGACCGGCAGATGCACTGGAATGTGCCATGCTTGTCTCGATAACAATTTGAATCAATTGAGACGTGTGTCGTCCTTCTCATGGCAAAAATGATTTTTCATATAGCTATTATTATAGCTATTACTGTGTCAATTATTTCTTAGTAATCTTTCATCATGCAAAAGATATAAATTCAGAAATTTTCATTCAGGGACTGGTGATGGAAAAATCATCGGTTTGTAAGAAAGAAACTCAGGTCTCTCATCGTCCGAAATTAAATCTTGTTCTTGATGATGGAAGTGTGAAGAAAAAAGTTCTGCATGCGTTCCAGAATGGATCTGATTATGATGGTATGGGAGAGTTTTATTTATTTCAGTAGGCGATTTGGCATTTTAGCTAGAGCTTGACATTTCGAATATTCTAATCCAGGGGATCTCAACCTGGGGTTCGCGAACCCCCAGGGGTTCACGAGATGATTTCCAGGGATACTTGGACGGCAGTCGAGTTTTTTTTGTGTGTTGCTGTTTTTTAATAGCGATTATGATTACCAGAGGAAAATGCGTGTCGATTGAAACTAGATGCCAATTGGAACGTAGATTTTCTCTGGTGTTGCGTTGTTGTGATTGTGACGCAACAATGTGAAAGCCACGGCTTTGCAGGCAAATTGGGAAATCTCAAAAGACAGCATGCTGCGAGCATTGGAGGAAGTGATTATGCTTATTAAAACTTGAGAGAAATTTCAAGAATTCATTAGTTAGGCAGACGACAAGGGCAATAATATCAACACGAAGATTTAATTTAGTTACATCTGGTCAATAAATTGTTGTTTCAACAAATCGTTAGTCAATATATCACAACTTTGTTCGATGTCTGATTACCGGGGGTTCGCGTTGATTGTTTCATGACTCGGGGGGGTACTTGACAGAAAAAAGGTTTAGAATCGAATCAAATAGTAAATTATTCAAATTGATTTAGGTGCAAATTCTGAATTGTCGTCATTTTACTTTTTATTCGAACGTCAAAAGTCGGGGTGACTTGAAGCCATATTTTTATAATGCAATTCTGACACATGACTCTTTTTTCCTAGTGAGTTATTGATAAAATTGTCTCTTATTGTGCGTGAACGTTCAGCGAATCGTCGTGAATTCTATGTTTTATATAATTTATGTGCATGGAGGATCGATCCATCACAATAAAAAGTCACATACGATTGAATATCTGGACCTCCAGAAGTATGTGCACCAAGATGGCGCACAACCTGAACATAGTATGTGTACCATGTTAGGGTTCAGGTTGTGCGCCATCTTGGTGCACTTACTTCGGGAGCGCCGAATATCTTTCAAGTATTTGAGATTCGATTGAAAGAAAATATTCAATTTGTTTCTGAAATCATGAGGTAATACAAAATGCCCAGCCCTAGTCGAAGATTACACATCTTTCAAATCTCATCACTCCAACTCACCCAGGGTATAACAAATCGGGTAGACAATGCCGATTCTTCCAGACTATAATAGCTTTTTAAATATTATTCATTTAGATGGTCATACAGGGCCTTGTCGAAGCAAGGTATAAGAGTCGTATAATGAAAAATTGAAAACAATGATATAACTGGCAAATTCGGCACCACCTACTTAGATTGAGATTATCAAGAATTTTCATATAAATCCCATTGGGATAGGATTGGATTATTAATTGGCTTAATAAACTCATATCAATCCATGTCTCTTGCCTGGTTACCATTCCAAGTTGGGTATGGGTTCAGTTATCCAGTTATTTATTTTAGACGCATTGACTGGCGGAAGCCCCAGCTGTCCACCTTGTGACGATGAATCCAGCAATCTTCTCGCCCATATATACCCTCCAAAGGGCCTGATCTGTAAACAGAGGCTCAGTATATACCTGGTATTATACCTGGAAATCCATGCCTACATTACCATATACTTATGCTTATTCTGCAGATTCAACAATATCCATTTCTGGTTACCCGTTCACCCACGGAGTTATCAAGAATTTTGTGACAGATGGAACGAGCAAAGCAACAAAAAGTAGGTTTTTGTTGACATTTCCACTCATTGGAGGAGTTTTTTGTACACTATATTTGAGATTTGTTTCAATATTGTCTGTGTATAGCAGGGGTTCCCAAACCAGGGGTCGCGACCCCAAATTGGGTCGGAGTGATAAGTAGGTGGGGTCGCAAACAGGTCATGGGGTCGGTGGGGTCGCTGAGGTATGGTGGAAGATGAATGTACAAAACATCTAAGATTTGATAAATTATGGTAAATACAGCAGTTTGCACCATGGCTTACTGTAAAACAGACCCATAGGCATTGCTTTATGCTTATGCTGTAGAAAGTGTAGGTGCTTATTGCGACATCACCGTTTGGTTTTAGCTTATTTTACTTAATATCACCAAATGACCAAACTCAAAAGTCAAATATATATGTTGACCTGGGGTCGCACTGGACACTCGAAAGTTGTCTTTGGGGTCGTCCTAAAAAAAGCTTGGGAACCCCAGGTGTATAGTCTCAGTAGCTCTGGCACTTTATCGGTCTCCAGTAACTTTGCTCAGGGACCAATTTTTTTTCTCTATGAGTGGGTGGGTGTGTGGGCTTGCAAATACTAATTTCACTATGTTAAATGACAATCCACTGAAAAACAAGGTGGCCCACTAATTACTTGTGTGTCAATGGTTCCCAATCCTTGCTCTAGGTAAGTGATTCCTGACTTTTTCCTCAAGCGACCCGCATTTTTCAAAAATTAAATTTGTAAAATCTCGCAACCCAAGGATATGCTCTAATACTAGGTTGTATGTAATGCTCAATTCTGATATGGTCATAGAATTAACTGTCTGACTGATAACAGCAGATGCCAAGTTTTTTCGCTGTCAACAATTACTATTGAGCAACACCTCAATACCGAATATAAAAATAATTACCGATAATTAGAAAATAAAATCTGTAACTTTTAGTATTTTGTTGAAAAACAAGCGACCCAAGAAAATTTTCTGGCAACCCAATTTTGAGTTGCGACCCATAGGTTGGGAAACACGGCTCTAGGTCAACAAATTAAATGGCTGCTATGTTAAGAGCAAGATATCCTTCTATTCATTTCTATTCATTCCAGATCCACAAACTACAGATTCCAAATTTCTCCAGTCACTGAAATCTGAGTTACTGAATCTGGAATTCAATGAAAAATCAAACGACTTGTTCAAGTTTGTTCAGAGCAATGAGCTGATGCTGGACAATGAAGGTTGGTAGAATTACTTGACACAAGGTTTTGATAAAATATCATTGGTGTGAAAAAAATGCTTTCCTCTGCAACCAGTGGGCAAATTGAGATTAGTTTTGAGCATATTTGGTGTTAAATTTTGCTTCATTAATGAAGAAACTCAATCATAAGTTAACTCCAGACCTAAATTTTAAGTTTTTTAATTTTTAAAATCAACAAAGAACAATAGTTAGGGGTTCCCAAATGTTTTTTCAAGTGATCGAAAACTTCAAGTGATCGCGACCCAAGGATATACTCTTAAAGCCTACTAAACGGCATGTAATGCTTTTATGGCCGCAAAATTATATGTCTACTACAAAACAGTCATTTTTAAATAATATTTATTTCAACAGAAATTAATTCAGAGTTGCCCTAGTTAGAAAGTGACTTGTGGGTTCACTTTCAAGCAAAACAGAGGCTGCCAAATATAAAATAAGCAAGAAAATTGACTCAAAAATATTTTTGTCGGAAAGTCAGGCAAGCCAGGAAAACTTTCAGGCGACACGGTTTTGGGTTGTGACCCATAGGTTGGGAAAATTAGTTCAGGTTCTTAATGCACCTTTTCAAAATTAATTCAATTTGACAAACTTTTGCAGACCCAGCAGATTCTTCAATATTCCAGCCACGTAAAAATGTCAATCAGCTATGTTCACTCTTCCGTGACTCTATGTTGCCATGGATACGTGAAATCACTGGAGTGGAACTAAATGACACCATAGATATGTTTTGTGCTCAATATAAAAAAACAGGTTGGAGTTTTATTTGTATTATGATAGTTTTTTTACAAGGACTCACTGCTTCTTAAGCAGCTACTAAATTTAGGAAGGATTGTGGCGCGGCGGTGTGGCTCAACGGGCTAAGCGTTAGGAATACGCTCGCCACCGCACCTCAATTACTCTGCGTGGGTTCGCAGGTTCGAATCCCATCCAGGGATGGTTATGTGCGAGAGGATTGCTGGACTCCTCGCCGTCGTTGGGTGGTTCACGTAACCGCTGGTCGGTTACGGTTTCCTCCACCATCAAGTCCATGCTTCCGAAAACAAACAATACAGTAAAACTAATCCCATACCCGACTTGGACTGGTAACCGAACGAGAGGCCGTGGTTCGCCATATGGATAAGCCGTCATATCGACTTTCCTCTCCCCCGGGATAAATATGTAAATCCTAAATCCTAAATTGTATTTCTTTCGGTTTGGAATTGCCTTCCTGATTAAACCCTGAAAGTTTCTGGCACCAGTACGAACTCTTGGACTACGGTAATGAATGGGGCCTAATTATAAGAAGATTGCATTTGCAGTAAGTGGGCAATACTGGACCGAAAAGATTTCTATATTCATAGTCAATATCAGTGGCTGTGATGCAGTGTTAACTCTAAGGAAATTATGAGTGCGAAAGTGCTTCGCAATTGAAAAAAAAAGTGTGAAAGTGCTTTTGTCGATTTTAGCAAATTAGGTTCCCTAGTTCTGCTTAAATTCTTTTCAAACAGCGTAGATACTCGAAAAAGCGCTTCTTCAGTTAACCCTTACCGTGCCAAAATAATTAAATGCACTTGGCCTTGCAAGCAGAATCAAGCTAACAATGAAATATGAGTATACTCATGAAAAAAATGATGCACAAAATTGCGAATTAAAGAAATGCCTTTCTGTTACCGAGTTTCGTTAAACCCTTGTTTAAAACAAACGAGTTCATCAGTAACAAAGGACACCTGCTAAGCACGCCTGTCGTGAACGAAACTAGCGGAATCCGTGTGCTTGTATAATAATCATATTATAAACAAGAATTTTGCCGTTAATGCGAAAGCTTTATCTCAAATGTCTGCACCACATAGGTTAGAATTCCAGCAAATATCATTATGTAATGCAAAATTGGGTTACAAAAGTACTAGTAGGCAACTTATTTGTCAACTTCATACTCGCACGAAAATAATTGTCAACTTTGACAATTGTCTGCGGATTCCAGTTTGGGAAACCCTGTTCTAGCACAGCAATCTGGGGACCGCACCCCAATCATGGGCTGCCGAGCTTTTTTTTTCAATAAAATTCAATTATGGCAGTCATGCACAAAAAAGTTCTAAAAATGAGACATGTCACATGACATATCAATTTTTTGCTAAATGGTTTTTATTCTCATATCAAACAATCATTCATTACTTATCGATTTTAATCGGTAAGTATGTTGATAGGTATTTGTCTGTCTGTTAGACACTCGCGATATCTCACGAAAGCGAAATTGAATCTGCTTCAGATTTTGCATGTGCATTCATCTTATCTCGGACCATAAGCCTATTGATTTTGGGCGAATTATGTTGTATAATTAGCGAGTTATTAATTAATTAGTGATGGGACACAAGGTGTCACTATGGAGTAAGAGCGCTGTTTTGGGGGATCCCCCAACTTTCGATCGATAAGTCTTGGTCTCTGACTGATATTCTCGGTATTACATTTATTTCAATTAAACAAATTAAATCCTCCTTAATAACGAGTTTATTATGTGATTGAATTTAATATTTCCAACAAAATTGTTGGGTATTTTGGAAATCTTTTCCATTGCACAATTTGGGCTTCACTTAAAAACTTTGCTGACCACTGGTTAGTCTGCCGTAGTATGTGTACCAGGTTAGGGTTAGACAATAATTTTATTCCAATTTTTCTTATTTTAGTTGTATTACGAGTTCGGGACTACCTGTGCTAGCCAAATAGATATACTCCCTGCCCATAAGCTTCCATCTTTTTACATTAGGTAAAGTTGGCGAACAAAATTAGTTACCTCCATATTGTTACACACACATCTGGAGTGCGACTTAACTGTGTTGGCAATACAGGTTCAAATCCAATGTGCCCTGCCCCACCCGAGTATTGCCATACCAGGAGAATTTGATCCCGAAAACATTGCAGCTCATTATATATCAGTGGCTAATTTACAGAGGCTTGTTTCGACTTAAAAGCTTACAAATACGTCGAATGAAAAATGATTTTGGTACTTCCTAAATGGGGTATCTTCTGATATATCAATGAGTATTTATCGCAGTTGACATCTGTTTACAAATAAATTATAACATAACAAAACAATCATATCAAAACAATCACCCTCACTACAATGACAAGGCTACTTGTTTGAAGACTTTCTCATAAAACCTTGTTTTTACAGATGTTCTTCTCTGTCACGATGATGAACTTGAAGACAGAAGAATCGCTTATATATTTTATTTAACTGATGATTGGTCTGAAAAAGACGGGGGAACACTTGATTTATTCAGCGTGGACGGTAAATGAAATTAATTCTACGCATGTATAAATCATATTCGAATTTAAATTCTGTAAACAGCAATGTTCGTATCTGAATACTTGTTTATTTGCAATTCTGCTGGCTGCATTTGTGGTTGGTGCATCGTGCTAAGCGTTAGGAATATGCCCGCCATCGCCCCTCGAAATACGCGGCCCATGTTCGCAGAATTTAATACTGCGGGGGATAATCATTTGTGAGATTAATAATGAACTTTGTGTTGTCATAGAGCAGTTCTCGTAACTGAACACATACTTTTGCGGCTTCTTTCACCATCCTATACAATAAATATAAAAAATCAACTCCTATCTGAATGTGTAATGGTGTACGGGAAATGCCAGAAAATTGCTATTGTGTGATTTTTCATAATAAGCATTTTATTGGAACCAACTGCCATATATCTTAAAAGCTTTACTCTCCTACAGGAAAATGGATGAAAGTGAAAAATCAAATCAATCCTTATTTGCTAAGTCTTCGTTCGTTTTCATTCTGCTTGACTTTGTTTTTGGTTCTTTATCTTAACAGAATCTGGCGACCCTGACATGATCATGAAATCTCTCGTACCTTCTTTCAACACTTTAGTTTTCTTTGACGTTTCACCGATCTCATATCACCAGGTAAGTGAGCGTTATTTTTACTAAACTATCGTATATACTCGCCGATAGGTCGCGCCGTCGTATAGGTCGCACTATCAGTTTTGTGTTAAAAAAGTTTAATTTAGAGTTGACTCGCACATAAGTCGCACTGAAAATCTAGGGATATAAAACGTACTTTGAACTTATCCAGTGATTCCCAGCCCTTCTTGATATTTTTTGCTTATCTTGGACCTTTTTATTCCCCCTCGCTATACATAAACTCTTTGTTTCTGTTTTTTTAATTTTTCCAATATTTAATGGATACGCTCAACTCATGTTTGTCCCTTTATTCTTGTTTGTATGTGTGTCGAAAATGTAGCGTGTTGACAGCTGGACTAATCTCTATGAAATTGACACACCGGTATCTTGTCACCCTAGTGATGTGCGTTTTAACGAAAGTCTGGATTAAAATAAGAATGAAAAAAAGACGAAGAATTTGTTTTATGTTAATGAATTCTCTTTCAGGTTTCAGAAATTTTAGCTGAAAACAAAGTTCGTCTTTCACTAAGTGGTTGGTTTCACGGTTCACCTCTACCACGACCTATACGACCTTTGACCTCAAAGTGTCCGGCGATAACTTTCCTTCCTGCTCAACAGGTAAGATGGAAATAAATAAATATTTTGAATTGCAAAGAGTATGTGTATGTAGTTGCAGGTAGTATGTGTACCAGGTTAGGGTTAGGCCATAATTTCAGGTACAAATACTACAGGAGTCGCTTGGCTAGTCCCTGAACTCGTAATAGAACTAAAATAGGAAAATTGGAATAAAATTATGGCCTAACCCTAACCTAGTGCACATACTACATTCCGGTGTCCACCATCTTGGTTCACATATTTCGGGAGTACCCCTTTTTTAATGAGTGCGGTGAAAAATTTTATTTCCATTGCCGAAAAGGAAACTCTTCGAATCATTTCGAGTCTTTGAAAAATTTTGGCTTGAGTCTAGTCAAAGATTGGAGCTCTCCTAATCCGAAGTCGAGTCTGTCTTTGATGTAAGTCTCATGAGTTACGAGCAGTGTTCCCTCTCAGAAAATTTTACACAGAAAGTGAGTTACACACTCAGTTACACTGAGCAGAGTCCAAAATGATTTATGAACATTGTGAAAAATCTCAACGGTATAATATTTTATCAGAATGCGAACAAAGTACTCGTTTAACTTGAAAACATGAAATAAGCATTCTAGCTAAGCCTTAGAAAATATAACGAGCCACATTTTGAAAACGTAATGTCGCAAATGCGTGAGAATGGGATTTTACTGCGCAAATGGTCTGGTGGTATTGCGCAATGGTGCAATTGTACTCCTTAGAGCAGGAGTCTCAAATCAATTTACTTGGAGGGGGTCCAGGTTGCATCAGGTCTTCCACAATAAAAGCTTAGTTTAAAAAATTCAAATCTTTTCTTTCTTTATTTTATTCAATCAAGCATTTTGCCGATGGACAATCATGTCTCACAACATGGTTATAAATGTACCAATATAAATCTAAGCGTTAGTGATTGTGATTAATCATGCGAACTGAGCTAAGTGACATTCGGATCACACTGACATTAAACTTTTATACTAAGGCGAGGGCTACAAACTATCTTTCTGCGGGCCGCAATTGGCCTCGGGCCACGAGTTTAGACCCTGCCTTAGAGGGAACCTTGGTTCCGAGTCATTTAAATTAGAAAACTCGAATCTTTTATGAATACGTCTCGACCACTGTGTATCCATCTAACCAGCTTTCGTCTCTCTTGTGAAAATATAAAAATTTGATTTTAGTCTGAGCTTTTATTTCCACTAGGACTTAGACCTCTTGTCACAGTGGATCAATCCTGGATACCTGAGCATAGAGACGCAGGGTACGATACAGGAACAGTTTGAAGGGAGCTCAGAAATACAACTGCCTGGATTTCTGGTGGTGAGTAGGACTTGCTTGACAATTTGAAATTTCAGAAATTTATAATTCCTGGCCTGAACAATTTATTGTGGCATTAGGACATGGGTTCCAGGTCTTTTTCGATACATTCATCTCTCCGCAAATTATGAAACTCCTCATTCCGAACTACAAAATGACTAAGTAATTGCATTGGGGGGAGAGAGCTCTGAAAATATTTCGTTTTTCAATAACAACTGGAACTTTCATTTTAGTCTGACAAGTACAAAGAACTCAGCGAATCAATGCTACACTTATCAAAATATGATCAATTCTGGACGAGTCACGGTCCACCGAACAGACGTAAATACGAAGCAATAAAGTTTGATCAAGATTTTGAAATCTCAGAAAACGACGTTGTTTACTCCCCAGAAAAGCCCGAAAATTCTTCAGCCGGAGCGGACATTGACGAATCTAAAAAACTTCAAATTTCTGTAAAAACGATGGAAGCCTATAATTTGATAAATGATTTTATTCGCTTGTTCTGCTCTGAAGAAATGTTTCTTTATTTATCTAATATAACAGGTAAGTGGCTAGTAAGGGTACGGTTAGCTAAACAATTTAAAAATCTGACAATTGATGATTTAGGTGTTTGATGTTTCACTCTGACAAATTCAAAATTTATACTTCTCACTCTTAGATTTTTCAATTAGTTATGAAAAGAATTCAAGAAGACATTTTTCCCAACAAACACAGGAATCCAGAAAAACAATGTTCCATTTTGTGTCCAAAAATGCTAAATCTGGACTTCAACTTCATAGCACTTATCCTACCACTCTCTTGTTTATACTTCCAGGTCTGTATTTTCATCCAATGGCTGCCAATATTGATGACACAGGTAGTGATGTCACTGATGATGTCACAGATCCGATTCCAGCTAAAAGAACTAAAAGTTCTGACAAAAAATCTGAGAATGTTGCCGGTTTGAATTCAAAGTGCAGGTAGAAATATATACATTTATTACAAATAACTATTCTCGCTTTTGCTTTGTACAAGGACAGGTACTCCCGTAGTATGTGTACCAGGTTAGGGTTGGGCCACAATTTTATTCCTTTTCCCTATTTTAGTTCTATTACGATTTCGGGGACTAGCAAAGAAACACGCTTGGAGTATGTGAACCGAACACCGGAACGTAGTATGTTTACCGGGTTGGGCCATAATTTTATTCAGATTTTCTTTATTTTAGTTCTATTACGAATTTGGGGTCTGTCTGTGCTAGCCAAGTGAATATATATACACCCTAGGTTTCAGTCCCTTTACACAACCTGATGTAAAGTAGGCGAAGAAAATTATTTACCTCCATATTGGTACACATACTACTGGAGCCCAAGGACCTGTACAAGCAGAAGCGAATATCTAACAATATGTAATGATCTACTACTATAGTTTGGCCTTACACAGACATTATAAAGGTTTTATTAACTGATAACAAGCTTACCTTTTAGAATCGTTATATTTGAAGTGGGGTGCTGATTTTTCCGCGAGCCCGAAACTCAGCTAAGATCAAATTGGACTCAATGCACAACCTTCTTGTTCATACATTCTACATTACTCCCTAATACGCATTCAGAACGAATGCTACCGAATTTTGCATCAAGGCTTCAATCGATAGCAAGCTCACTTTTTAAAATTTTTTTTTTTTCCCAGATATGAAGTAAGATGCTGGTCAAAAGGTTGCTACACATTGCTGAGAGACACAGACTCAGAAAGAGGAGAGTTTGCGTTGGATGTTAATCTGCATTGCTGTGCTGAAGGTGTGTGTTTGCTCTTTATTCATATACGATGCTCTTTCCATGTCGATCACTCTTAATAAGACTTCATACAAGCTGGTTAATGTTGTATGCATGGACTTTGGACTGAGATCTTTAACTTGTGATGTTAAAATCCTGTCACGGACGAACTACGGCTTGTGGGCCTGACCCACTCTAGTGGATAATTTGATCTGACCCGCCTGATGAGGCCCCAACCAAACTAAAACCAAATTTTGATGTTTCAGCTAGAACAGGGTGGTCCAAGATTGGCAGCTCCGCGGGCCACAAAATTACTTTTGCATTGTTTGCGGGCCACAATAGTGCCAAGAACTTCGCTCATTTAGTTGCTTCAGCAAGCCATAACACTAGTCAATTCAGTGACATTAGTGATGCAACAATATGTCAAAAGATTTTTTGGTTAATTTTATGACGAAACAACACGAAATGCGATTTTTTGATTCCTCTTCGAATGCGACGCGGGCCACAGATAATGAAGTGGCGGGCCACATGTGGCCTGTGGGCCTGGGTTTGGACCACCCTGAGCTAGAACATAGGTTAAGAAATTTCTTGAGATTTTATTTTGTTTTGGCACGAGGGTTATTCTTTTTCATTTTTGCTTTTGTAACACTGTGAATATTTTTCATAAAATGTTTTACGTCTCACTTATATGGCCCGCCAGTCTATATGGGCCCAATTTTTCACCCCTGGTCTAGCTATCAACCCATTGGTTCCCAATCTCACTTCATCTACTCTGGAAACTCCTTTATTCATCCTTCTTGTTTTAATTTGTTGTTCAACGTTTAACACAACCGAGCTTATGATACAAGCATCTTTCGTTCTGGCTTTTGCACATTTTGAATAGTTTATAATATTCACATATTTAGGTATAACAATAATACTAAATAACTAAACAATATTAGTAAAACTAAACCAGATAAAAGGAAATATTTCTGTATTTTCTCTCCGGAAACGACAAAATTCCTCCCTGGCAAGTACCCTTAACTTCGCTCAGAGAGGAATTCTTTTGCTTTAGAGAGTGCCTGCAACTCTGCTGCAATACGAGTCCTTTTCACCTTTTAGTGAGAGCAACCTTGCTTTCAGCTAACGCTCTTAAAAATGAATCTCATTATTTCTGTCAGGTTGGCAACAGGACTACGGTGGTTACACTACTTACATAGCACAAGGCGAAGACACAGAGGTGAGTGTTTTCTTTAGATATTGGATCGATTTTCATATTTATCCTGAGGTGGAGTAAAGCCAATATCATGCCCCAATCAGAACTAGGATTTTCATGTTTAGCATGGTAGAGAAAATATGATGGGGTGGATTTATCAAAGAATACTATTTTCATATTTATTCTGGTGGGCAAAATGCGTTGGACTTAACTAAAATATGCGATTCAAGAGTCATGCTGCACAAATATATTTATACAACGTTGTGAATCCTATCTAAAGCTGAAACTGCCTCTCAGCACTGGACAAATACCTCCATCTTTTTTCAGCTTTTGACTGTGTTGCCGTCAAGCAATTGCCTCTCTCTGGCGTACCGAGATAGTGAAGCTCTCCGATTCGTTAAGCACGTCAACCATAAAGCACCGAAACCATATTTTGATATTTCGTTTGTATATTGCGAATAACTTCTGGAACTACGAATATCTTTCAAAAATGACTGAAAAGGTCTTTTATCTTTGTAGTCTTGTGCAAGATAGCAGAGATTAGGGCTATGAGGTCAGGACATTTGTAATTGACTCCCGTATCCCGAAAAATATGACTCTTACTTCGAGTCCAGGCTGTAAAAGATTTCGACTACAGCTTCTAACTTTGAGAAAATTTTAAATTCCTAAATTTAAAAATTGTGGAGTATACTAGATTTCTTTAATACTGTTCAAAGCATACTTTCTTACGCTTGGTATACCTTATTTTTTCGGATTTCTGTAAGAAATATTTTAACTTTTATAACTATTGACAGTACGAAAGTTACTCTTGATTGAGGAGAATCAAAAGTTTTGATTACTATTCTGAGGAGTTCAAAAATACAAGTCGAACGTCGGTGACAATGCGCCAAACTTTGACTCGTGGTCAGACTGTTTCTTCTGTTTTTGATCTTTTTTATTAAACTGACTTTCATTGATCGATATCCCCAAACAGGCTTCTTCTCCTCCTGACTTCAAGAAGTAGTTTATTGGTTTTTCATACAGAGAATACACTTTGTACTCACAAAATATATAGAATGGCCTTTCAGTGTGAGGGGAGACTGGGAAAACAATACTAATATTCAGCAGTTGCCCTTAATTGAGCTTAACTTTAATTAATGTAAAGTTAAATTAAAAATGTTCTTTGGCTGCTTTTCGGTCGTGTTTCATGCCAGTCCAACAGCATTTTATCATAAAATCTTCCTTACCAATTTCTTCCCCAGAGTATCGAAAAATTTTTGGAAAAAAAGAGCTTCAATATTTTCTTGTTCAATACGACAATTTTTTAATCTAAAAAAATTAAGTTAATTTTTAAATTTTCTGAGTAAAGTTTGAAGTCGAGTCAATCACTTACAGTTAGAATCGAGTCACTCTGAGTTCCGAGCCATTTACCCATCCCTCGTCTGTTTTCAGTGTTTTTATTTTTTTTATTCCTTTTATCTCACTGTAGTAGTATTGTTTATTCTACTAATTGGGAATATTTATTTTATAGTGTTTGGGAACGTTTGCTGTTAACAGGGCTCTAGCCAAGCAGCCACTGATATATGAGGATCTGTTATATTTTTTAAAGAACTGTCTCTTTTTAGTTTTATTATTCATAAGCCTACTTGATTTCATTACCGTATTTTGCGGACCATAAGGTGCCTTAAATAATTTTTTCCTCTAAAATTAGTCGTGCGCCTTACAAGCCAACGTGTCTAATATATCAGGTTGTGCTTTATTGTCTACACCAGAGGTTCCCGTAATTTTTGTTCGACGGCGCCATTTTACCAAGGAAAAAACTCACGGCGCACTTACAAAAAAAAACTCCTTTCAAACAAAACTTAATTTTGTGATCGTCAATGTGTACCTAATGCCTTTTAAATTCTGTAAACATGTAGGTCTATGCAATAATGGCAAAAGCCTGATTGTAATTTGAAATCCAAAAAAATTAGTCATATTTGCTAAACTCGATTCAGCAGATAAATTGACTGCAGATCACGAAATTCAAGCAAATAGTGGTTACCTACCTGCCGGTGCGCTTTACGTATGGATCAGGTTTCATTGCCTACGCTCAACCAGTACTCGTCTCATAGCATGGTGTGCCCTGCTGAATAAAAACCTAATCCAATCTTAGCGATTTAATCACAGCGAGCCTTATGGTCCGTGAAATACGGTACTCTCTATTCTTTCTAAATGTTTTCGTGTCTATGAATAAGGCTCTTTCTATAAGGCTCAAGACAAGGAGTTATATTTTTGAAAAAAACTGGAATTTTTTTTATTCTGTTTTGTTGTGTTTCACATTGCTGCTCTGCATCGAACACTAGGCAAGCAAGCATTGGTATGGAAGAAACTACTCTATTTTTGGGGGGCTACAATCTGTCTGGTTCAGCAATCTTACCCGATTTAAAATAAATGTTGATTGAAGTGGTCGGCATATAGTTTGAAACTGATTGTGCTAAAAAGGGGGCAAAATGAGACCAGTGTGCTAAAAAGGGTTAAATGGGGCTCTATATTATAGATACGACCAGTTCGGCCATTTAATACTATTCATGATTACCCATTAAGGGAAAAATCTTTTCAAGATTATTGAGAAGTAGGAACGAAGACTTGCAAATCCTATGTAATGTGCTGATTGCTTTTACCAATTATACTATTGTATGTATCGATTTCGTTTGCTTTTCAATAAATTTTTCATTGAATAAAGTGATGATTTATAGGGCCCTTAGTAATCCTAAGGCTTTTTGAGTTACTGCACCGAGCCGAGATCTTACCCTCCCGGTACCATTGTTCCTTGCTTTCGACCTTCGTACTAATATTTAGGCACGATTCTATTGTTATAATTTAGACTTGGTAGTTCATCAGGATAGGATAGGATGTACATATTTATCCCGGGGGAGAGGAAAGCCGATAATACGGCTTATTCATATGGCGAACCACGGCCTCTCGTCCGGTTACCATTCCATGTCGGGTATGGGATTAATCGACAATACAACGATATTTTGCACGTTTAAAAGGCTTTTGTGGTTCGGAATGCTGACTTGGGCAAACTTTTGGTAACCCGGACAGGCGCTCGGCTTTGACCATTGTGACCCCATGCAAAACTGTTGTCGTGGTCCAGGAAGGATTATTTATTACAATATTTAATAACTCTTTCTAAAGTCACTCAACACGAAACACTAAATCACGATAAGAGTAATTTTGCGAGCCTTGCATGAAGTCATACAAGCATGTTATCATAATTACATATGATTACGATTTAAATTGTTAAATTTAGTAATTTACGAGGTGTACTAGGCCTAGGGCAGGCCTGCACAACATACGGCTCGCGGGCCGCATGCGGCCCACTAGATACTTCTGTGCGGCCCGCGGGTGATTTGGAAACACGACACTTCTCGGGTCTAACAATCAAATCCGGCATTGTTATGCAAGTGCGCCGCTACCCCGATCATATCCGAAATCGTGAGATTTATGTTTTGCACTAATTTCAATAAATATCGAACTTTGTGTGAAATTGGTGTGCCCATCTCGACCCCTAAAATTCATCGCTCGCCCTCCAGTTTGGGAAACCCTGATTTAGATATCTCAGTATTCAGACTGAATCACGCTTAAAACAATATGGGTATACAATCTCACACCCATTAGTGCATATTAGCAACCTATAACCCCATTATATTTTACTAGCAGTTTATGAAACTGAAGTTTCTTTTTTGTGGCAAAGTTTGCGGCCCGCCAGGCCTTCAGATTTATGCTTTCGGCCCTCGTGGTAATTTTAGTTGTGCAGGCCTGGCCTAGGGTATTGTGTATTGAACTGTAGGTCCTTTCTCCTTGTTTACTTTCTATTCCGGATTCGTATGTGGCTGTTGCCACACAGATGCGCGATTGAGATTTACACCGAGGATTAGGACCGTCAAGGCCAGCCCGGAACGCAGACATGACTTGGACTCTCACGCAGAAATACCGAAACGAATCTGATTTTGCCGTAATTTACCGTTCATTTGTTTTATTCAAATTTTTCAAACAAAACACATAATCAAATCGCCGTTTATGTTATCTTACTTTCATTACTAATTCAAACTCTGCCAATACACACCGGCTTCTATGCATTCATGTTGAACATGATCCAAAATAGAATATATTTGATATTCAAATATCAGAATTGGAGCTAAGATCTGAAGCCCGAGACCGACCCGGTTCGAAATTTCGGGTCGGGCCTGAAATGACAATCATTACGTTCGGGCCGGGCTTCTCTATCACCGACTTTTTTAAAAAATAAATATATGTTTAAAAAAATATATATATATTAAAACTATGTTGGGATACTAAACTAAGGAATACTTGTTTTAAAAGAAATAATTTGAATAAAACAGAGAAGAAGCTATAATGGACCTTTCCCGACCTTTGACCTCCGAAAATATTTTTCCTAATCTATCACAGCTATTTCTACACTAATATTTTATTACTGTAATTAAATTGAAACTCCTAGGAAGACAAAGTGATATTTGAATTAGGTGATATATATTTAAATTTCCGAAACACAAGAGAAAACTAACGAATAGAGTTCAAACAAGAGAGCTATGCTCAAATATATGGACACGTAGCGCCACCCAATGGCAATAATTTTGATGACGTCATAGCGAAAAAAAGGAATAGCCTTCTGGAGAAAATTTTTATCTTCAACCACTGAAAATTTCAAAGCAATTGGTCCAGTATTCGAAGAGAAAAGCGACTTTTTAAAAACGTGTCAAAGAACAACAACAACAACAACAACATAATATTGAAACGATCGTTATGTCCACTACGTGTCCAAAAACGCAAAAACGAAGTAATGTTTACGACCACGCCCGAAAATCTGTCTTTAGTGAGAAAAGTGTGTGCAAATCCAAATAATTAGTCGAGCTCGTGTCGGGTTCAATACCCACGGGCCCGGGTCGGGTCAGACTAGAATTTTTGGGCCGGATCTTACCTCTAATCAGAATGTATTGAGGATGGTAGATTACTTGGTTTTGGCTTTCTATTATAGATTCGAAATAACGATGGCCAACGCTGTTCTCTGCGTAACAATATCAATAATTGCAAAATAAAAATCAAGATTTTAGGCCATATTAGACCGTGGTCATGCATATTCTAAGAAAGATTCGCTTTCGTTCAAGCTTGAACAAGCAGATGACATTTCCAAAGTTCTTTAGTGACGTCACAGTATGGCTGGAGAAGGAGAAAAACAGGAAGTTGTTACTGACGAAATAATGCATCAATGAGTCGTGCAATTCCATATAAGGAGTATCGGTCCAGTCAAACCCGATTCATGCATGCCAGATTTATTCTACTCATCCACCGTTATCGTTTGACCGTTATGAAGGATGTTCATAACGTGTCGTTACAATGTTGATTTTGTTATGGAATCATTTCTCAATGGATCTTAACCGGATTTGTTTTATTTGAGCAGTTTTTACTTCATTTAATACACCTGTTGGGGTCGATATACTATATTCGGTGGAGGGATTCAGCCGGTTCGCACCGGTTCTATAGAACCGTCTCAAAGAATATTATGGGATCAGCGAACCGGCTAGCTTTACTGATTACCGTCAATGTTCTGTTTGTAACAGAACCGGCTGAAAAATTTGACTTTTTTGATGGAACCGGCTGACAAAAAATTTGAATCTCACCACTGACTATATTCGGTATCGATAAATTCTCCTTGTAGATTTGAAAATTTGAAAACTTCCGGGGAACCCCGTATTTCAAATATTGTACAAATACCTGACGAATATCGCAAGACTTCGAATATCCAGTTACTGCCATTGATCCGTCTCTCGATAAGGTGTTGATCGAGATACCGTTCCGTACGCACAAAACGCGTCGATGACATTTTGAACTATTTCTTATTTCCATAATAAAGCCTCCCGCTTGGGAGATAGTATTGGCGGGCACAGGTCACAGCCAGTCCCAGGCAGCACGTTGGAGGGATGAGTTTGTTTCTTAGTTTGACGATTTAAATAATAATAATTCAAACATTTCACGCCTAATTGACTTTTAATTATTCATTCATGAGGGGCATTATTATCAGAAACTCGCCCTGGGCCGCAGAAAAATTTGGCACTCCCTTGGGCTTTGTGCTGAAAACTAACTTCTTCAAACTTAACCCAAGATGAACGTAGTTAAAGAAAAACCAAAAAATATTGTAGCAACGACGGGATAGTAACCATGTATTATATAATTAAATTGAATCAAGTTTTTCTCTTTTTATTTTTATTTTGTTTTAAACTTTTCTAATGGATGCCGCTGTTCGATAACCAGTATTGGTTTCCGCGTCAGCCTTCAACCTGAAATGCAATGTCTTAAAATAATATTTATTGTAATTTGTATGCTAATAGTGTCTTTTCAGCACGGCGAAAAAATAAACTACTGGGTTGGAGTAAATTAGGTTTGATGTTGTCCCAGCTTCAAACAGAATCAGAAAAAAACAAAACAATGGTGAAATGGAATATATCTGGGATCGCAGATCTTGCTATTTGAAATAAATTTTGGCTTGGACAACAGATCGTACTGTTCCTGATGTAGAAGATGGAGACCATTTACGGCTCGACAATGTCACTATCCACAAATCGTCACTGTTTCTGAATAATCGCAGTTTCACAACGTCATAGTTCTCCTTTATAATCGTCTGGCACATTTGTTTTGATGAAACTTTCTGAATTCATTGTAAAGTACTTTGCCAAAAAAGTTGTTATTATGATAGTAGCCCTCGATCAGTGAAATGCTTTTTGAAAATCCGTAAATTTATTTGCTTTTTAGCGTTATTCACGACGAGATTCATGATAAGACTCTGCCAAATTACACCAAGTATTGTATAGGATACTGTATTGTACCGTGTTTTACTGAGAATAAAACCTAGCCTGAATTTCAAAAATGATGATGATTTCAAGTCCTGCCCTCAAAATAAGACCTAGTCATAATTTTCATATTTTGTATATTTTAAATTTTGTTTTTAATAAATGAAAATAAAGACATTCTCCAAATTAAGCCCTGTTGTTATTTTCCGAAAGAAAGTTGAATTAATACTCGGTCTTATTTTCCAAGAAACACAGTAAATATGGCTTAGGACTCAATTCGTCCTTATTTTGTATTATTCGCACCAATGAGATATTTACAACAATGAAATGTTGAAAAATGCTTGTCCTATCCTTGTTATTGTGAATGTCTGTCCAAATATATGATCAATTTTGCTTATTTTTGTTTTTATGAAGGTACTCCTGAAGTATGCGTATCAAGATGGCGGACACCGGAACGTAGTATTATGTACCAGGTGAGTGTTAGGCAATAATTTCAGGTACAATTACTACGGGAGTCACTTGGCTAGTCCCCAAACTAGTAATAGAACTAAGATAAGGAAAATTGGAATTAAATTTATGGCCTAACCTTAACCTGGTACACATATTATGTTCCGGTGCCCGCTGTCTCGGTACGCATACTTCAGGAGTTGGAACCAACACTGAATTTAAATGTTGCGATTTTTTTTTAATTTTACAACTCCTAATAACTGCAAAATCAAGTAAACATAACATATATTTCAATAGTATCTGTGTCGAAATCCCATTCCAGACCCGGCAAAGGCTTTCGGCTTAATCATTTCCTGAATGTGTGTGTTTTCGACTTTTTTCATCACGTTTTATAAAAGTTTACCAAAACTAGAGAAAGGTTATTGTACGAATGATATTTGGGATTTATGAGTCACAATGCAAAAGGCGAGGCTGAGGGCTTAGTTACTAGTTACTATTGCATGTGAAGGGCCGTATATGTCGTTTACGCGTAAATAATCGAGTGAATTGAATGAAGAGTTATACAGTGTGCCCATAATTCCTATTTCGTTATGAAATCAGTCCTCAATATATCTTAACCAGGTTTGTTGTTTTTTAGTCAGTAATTGTTTAGGTATTTTTACTTCATTTAAATATACATCTGTGAGGACCAAAACAATATGTTGTATCAACAAGAGAGCTATGCTCAAATATATGGACACGTGCCGCCACCCAATGGCAATAATTTTGATGAGGTCATAGCAAAAAAAAAACAAGTAATAGCCTTCTGGAGAAAAATTTTATCTTCAACCACTGAAAATTTCAAAGCAATTGGTCCAGTATTCGAAGAGAAAAGCGATTTTTTAATGATAATGACGAAAGAAAATAACAATAACAACAAAATTTTGAAACCATCGTTATGGCCACTAAACGTGTCCAATAAACGTGTCCAATAAATTATCCATGTGATTTTAAAAAGTTTTAAGACTTTATGGGCACTCTATGCTTGAATGAAAGTAAATTGTTCGCAAAGAGTAGACTGCGTAGGAATGGTTTCTTGTCTAGAGCCGTATTAGAAGAGAAAATCTGAATTGGTTGTAAAATTTAAAATGACTGTAGGGCCGTTATACCCAAAAGTTATTAATTTTATTTTTTAGTAGATTTGCACCAAGATGGCGCACAACCTGAACATAGTATGTGTACCAGGTCAGGGTTCAGATTGTGTGCCATCTTGGTGCACATACTTCGGGTGCGCCGTTTAATATATATTTGGTGTTGAAAGATAGTACTTGTATAAGTGTCACAGTGGAGAAACTTTGTAGTATTTATTTTGTTGTGTCTAAATAAAGCCGCGCCACGATTTCAATAGCCAATGAGGGCAAACTGAGGTAGCTTTCTCACTTTGTTTTATATTAGTTATTTGATTTTGCGACCATATAAGTACTACATGCTATTTAGTCTTTGAACATATATTTGAGTCATGAGATTTTACAAACTTATTCATTTTTTAGAAAATTTGGGTCTCTTGAAAAACAGGGAAACACTGATCTAAGGTTCCTAGTGTTTCCGAAACAGGATCTTGATTGAAAACCCAACTATTTATCCTATCGTGGTTGTTGTTGAGCTGTAACTAGGGCTGGGCATTTTCGAATACCTGATGATTTCAGAATCGAATCGAATAATTTTTTCGAATCGAATCTCGGATACTTGGAAGGTATGAAATTGTATGTAAATTTCTTAGTATTTTAGGTCCTCCAGACACATAAATTACTGAAAACATAGAATACATCACTGACAATAAAAAAAACACGTTTTCATCAATACCTCAATACAGAAAAGAGTCATAAGTCAGAATTGTGTTGAAAAAATATGGCTTCAATGAAAAAAGAATTGAAAAATTTACCTCGACCATTGGCGGAAAGAGTAAAACAAGATGGCGGCGATTCGAAAATTTGCTTTAAACCGATTCGAATAATTTACTATTCGATTCGATTCGAATATTCGATTCGAAATGCCCAGCCCTAGCTGTAACTAGGGCTGGACATTTTCGAATATCTCATGATTTCGATTTCAGAATCGAATATTTTTTTTCGAATCGAATCTCGAATACTTAGAAGATATTCATTTGTATGTGACTTTTTATTATGATAGTTCCTCCATGCAAGTAAATTATAGAAAACATAGAATTCATCAATCATACAGTTTGCGTTCACATGTGATGCGTATGTGAGCGTTTACATACAATAAACAGGGGTGCACAACTCAAATGAGGATACGTGCCAATTTTTTTTAAATAATCTTGTCGGGTGCCACGCACAATTGTGGTATTGTAAATTAACTCCCGTAAAACAAACAAATTGCAATAAAAATACATAATAACGAATATCTTTTTATTAAAACAATTTAATGTCCGGAAAAAAAAGCGGATTTTGATATAAACGTGATATTTTAATGTATATCATAAATATTTTTTTTTACAAAAAGGTTCGCGTGCCACGTTTGAGCGTAAGGCGTGCCAAATTTGGCACGCGTGCCTCGTGTTGTGCACCCCTGCAATAAGAAACATGTTTCATCAATAACTCCCTAGAAAGAAAAGAGTCATATGTTAAAATTGCGTTGTAAAAATATGGCAACATTTATTTTGCTTAAGTAAAGCCAAGGCACAATTTCAGAACTTTGCTAAGGGCGGACAAACGCAGGTTTTTCACTTTGAGATAATTTAATTAAGGGGAAATAAATGTCATGTAAAAATGGTTGTTTTAGATTAGTCATATAATATTGCGCTATAAAAGTAGTTCGTATAATTAAGTATTTGAGCATCCTTTGTGTATCCTTGGGTTGCGAGATTTAAAAAATATATTTTTAGAAAATTTGGGTCGTTTGAACAAAAAGTTGGCAACCATTGATCTAATTGAAATGACTCGGTCTTTCCAGCAACTGACTCGAACCGAGTTTACTCGATTCCTCATTTATTAGTGACTCGAAGATACGAAGTTTCCAAATAAAATAACGGGGATTCGCCAGCATCCAATCCCAGTGAGATATAACTCAGTGATTGACTCGAGGTTGGGATGACTCGTGACTCGGCGTTTAGCGGCATTTACTTAACACTTTTGAATACGCACGCCTATTAGAAACCCATGAATAGCTGCGGTCTACGTAATGATTCTAATGATCACGATATGTTCGATATGGTTCGAGTTTTGTTCTGACTGAGAAAAAGTTATTATTAACGGACATTGAGATTCGGTGTTCCACAAGTGTGTGTACCAAAACGGAGGTAACTAGTTTTGTGCGCCTACTTTACATCAAGTTGTGTAAAAGGACGGAAACCTATAGGCAGGGGGTATATTAACTTGTCAGCGCTCGAACTCGTAATAGAACTAAAATAAGGAAAATCGAAACAGAATTATGGCCTAACCTTAACCTGGTACACACACCACGGGAGTAGCTGAGATTCAGTGTTGTGGGGCTATAGTTCCCGACCGAGCTAAGTAATTTGTGTATAAATTTGTCAATGGCTTGGTGGGTCGTATTGCCTATTGCAGTAGTTTCAAATGTTTATTATTAGATTCCTTTTTTCGCCTATTATCGAACTCTTCATTCCTCACTTCGCATAAAACTACTTTATTTATTCAATCTTTAATGGATCATTTGCTCATTTTTTGTGCAAGTCGCACTCTGGCTTTGGTACAGTTCAAGTGATTTATAATGTTCTTCTAAATAATTACTAGAGTAATAATAATGTGGAATATCCGCAGCAAATAACCTACTGAGCTAAATTCCGCTTCAAGAGAGACAAAATTCCTACATAGAGGGAAAGTACCTCCCAACTGGGAAACGTTAGTGCAGGAATGGGCAAGTTACGTCCCGCGTAATCCAACAATCTATAACTACAACTCAATAATTTATTTCAGCCAAGTTTGGTTACATCATATGAACATATTGTAAACATATGAACAATAGAAACAGGGAATAAACCTACAGACACGGGATTAGAATGGCAATTTATCGAGAATGGATTACTATACTGGTGATTTTATTGGGAATACAATTCGGTGAGTATAGCACGTTTCGTATTCATAACTGCATGAGTTGAAAAAATATCATAAAGGCCTACCTATGTTTTTTCGACGCTCCAGAAGTATGTGTACCAATATGGAGGTAACTAATTTTGTTCGCCTATTTTACATCAAGTTGTGTAAAGGGACTGAAACCTATGGGCAGGGGGTATATTCACTTGGCTAACGCAGACAGTCATCAAACTCGTACTGGAACTAAAATAAGGAAAATCGGAATAAAATTATTACCTGGTACACATACTACGGGAGCACCGATTTTTCGATCTCAAGCCAGGAAATTTGGTGTATGAATAGTTTTCATATAATGTCAGTCAGTCTCAAACTTTTTAAGTCGCCTTTTTCAGAATTTGTCAAGTCTCGCGCGCCGACTCAAAAATAAGTAGCTAACAATAAGCTACAAATAACCGATAGTGAGGCGAAAGTATGTTTTATTCGAAAATTTATGGATGCAATAGCAAGCTCCAAACAACAAAAAATGTAAATATCCAAAATAAAGGCGGACAAGACCAAATCTAGCAAATTTTTAATATTTTTTATTAGCTTCAGCCTGCTTGAAAACTTGTCTACGACTCTTCTGGGCCCCACCGTTTGAAAACCACGGCCTTAGAGAATAGTTTGGGGTTGACACGATGACAGGGCTGCTATACAAGTACTAACAATCAAGAACAATGTTTATGTGAATACTTATATTTTTGTTAATGTGTTCAATGTCTTTTGCATAACTCAAATATGACGATAAATGCGTAAAATTTCTTCATTCGTTCGCTCAAAGCAAGATATCAAAGTTCGCTCAAAGCAAGATATCGAGCCCTTTTCTTAAACAAAGAAAACACTGGTGGCACAATTTCAAGAGACCAATGGGAAACTTGATTCTTGCAATAGAGATTTCCCTGAATAGCGTTGATGGAGTAATTTAAACAGTTCAAGTCGGGAGTAGAGTTGGGCATTTTCGAATACCTGATGATTTCGGAATCAAATCGAATATTTTTTTTCGAATATATCGAATACTCGTGATTACATGTGACTTTTTATTGTGATGGGTCCTGCAGACACATAAATTACTGAAAACATAAAATATCTCGGTGCTCCCGAAGTATGCAAATCAAGATGGCGGACATCGGGACGTAACATGGGTAACAAGTTAGGGTTAGGCGATAATTTTTTCCAATTTTTTCTTATTTTAGTCCTATTATCAGTTCGAAGACTAGCCAAGAGCCTCCCGTAGTATTTATACCTAAAATTATGGCCTAACCCTAACCTGGTACACATATTACATTCCGATGTCCGCCATTTTGGTTCGCATACTTCGGGAGCCCCAATATCTCTCCCAATTAATTTGCTGTGCGTTCAAATACAATGGGAAACATGTTCAGAAATAACCAACTAGGAAAAACGAGTCTTGTATCAGAAGTGCATTGTAAAAATATGGTTTCAATAACGAATATTGTGGATTTTTAACTCGACCTTAGGCGAACAGAGAAAAACAAGATGGCGGCGATTCGAAATTCTTGTCTGAACAGATTCAAAATATTTATTATTGGATTCGATTTGTATATTTCATTCGAAATGCCCAGCCCTTCTCAGGAGTTAGGAGAAAACCGCAAAGTAAATCGGAAGTTATTGCGAAAAGCTTTTAGCAAAGAAAATTGTTGAGGGCTTCTGCAATGATTTCATGAAGCTTACCCTATAATTATGAAATTTACCCGATTATTAACCGCGTGTATTTAATAGGTTGTCGTCGCGCGTTTTCAGAGTTCTTATGACGTCATAAAAGCTATTCTGAGGTTCAAAAACATGTTTTGGCGGGATTTCAAAGTGATTTATGAAAGCACCGAATTGGGTGCAATCATTTCGAGCCGGAAACGAGCCAATCTTAACTTCCGGGTTGTATTTGAACTATGGTTCCGTTTTGTGCTATTTCAGACAATCAGACATTGTGATTTGAAATTTTGGTGTCCGATTGGTCATTTCGTTTTGGTGTAGTCTAACTCTAGAAAGTTTAACAGACTTAAAGAATAAACCTGCAAAACGATAGATAGATTCATTTCGTATCTAATTTTGTGTTACCCATTAATAGCCTGATTTACCGGTACTTTCGATTTGTCATCTTGGGCGCACCAGAAATAGCGGGCTTTATTTGGTTCTCCTGATGCATGTGCACCAAGATGGCGCACAACCTGAATATAGTATGCGTACCATGTTGGGGTTCAGGATGTGCGCCATCTTAGTGCACATACTTCCGGAGCTCCCTTTATTTTAGTATTTTGTTCTCATATTTGGCTTGCAAAGTCTATGAACCGTCCAAAATATTTCTTCGGACTCTTGGGGTCCGTGACCACCTATCCAAAGGGGGGTCTGTGTTGGATAGAAGTTGCCAAATCCAGGGTCGCGAGCCATGCTACAGGGTTATCACAGTCTCGAGTCCAAGTCAATCACTAAGTTAAGTATCACCGTCCCAGGTATTTCTTTGGACCCCTGGCGTCCATGGCCACCCAACCAATGGCGTATCTGTGTTGGATAGAATTACCCTAATCCCGAGTTGCGAGTCATGTAAAGGGTTAAAACAGTCTCAAGTCCAAAGTCGATTCAAGGTATGTAGCCCTGACATGAGCAAACTACGTCCCTTGGGCCAAATCCGACACATTGGGTAATTCAATATGGCCCGCTCGATGCTGCCACAACCAAACTAAAACCAAATTTTGATGTTTTAGCTGAAAAAAGCTCAAGGAATTTGTTGAGATTGCTATTTAATTTAGTTTTGCCAAGAAGATTATTGTTTTCCATTTTTGCTTTTGTAAAACTATGAAATGTAACTTTTGATGTCTAATTTACATATCCCGCCGGTCTAGATGGGCAAAAGTTTTGGCCCCTGGTTCGAAAACCTTTTCCACCCGTGTCTAGCCTCTCGAACACTGCAGATGAATCTTCTTCAAATTATTCATTTCAGCCTCATCTCAACACATTGCACTACTAAGCCACACACCTATCGTGCACGATTCCCAAACCTCGACTTTGACCTGCGCCGATTTGTCTGAAAATTCAACGAAAGTTTCTCTCTTCATTCGTAGAGAATTTACATGGAGTGGGAGCAGAACTTCCGAGGTAACGTTGATATTGTTAGGGAAAGGAGAAAGATGATAATCTGGCTAAATCGTATGAAAAATCACGGTCTCTCCTCTAGTTATCAGTCTATATACGGTATTGGATTAGTTAGTTAGCCAGTTAGTTGTTTTCGGAAGATTGGACTTAATGGTGGAGAAAGCTGTAACCATACTGCACTTACGTGACCCACTTTTGATGGTCAGTATTCTTCTCACACATAACTATTCTCGCGGGATTCGAACCTGCAAACATATGCAAGATAATCAGATCTGCAATGGCAAGCATATTTCTAGAATTAAATAGCTTCGATAAAAAATATATCTAGTTTTGTTTTCAACACGTTTCATATCATTATATTATGCGATACATTTAGTAAATAAAAAAGCCAACAGATAGAAGTATGATTCCAGTACTAGGAACTCTGATCTAACTATTAGATAATTAATGATAAATTGCCCTTTTCTGAGAAATACTGCTTCAAAATACATTTTCAGTCGACATACACAAGACAAGTCTTGAAACGCAGAGGGATGTTGAACACTTGGACGGGTGAGAGAGTGAGAAAAGCGATCGGTGCGTTTGGATGCGGGAGAGGCAAAGATGCGGTTTCAGCTGTTAAAATGCATGCAAACGGTGAGAGAAATTTAAACTCAGTAATTCAATTTCAATGAGTAAATGAGCCACGCACTTTCAAGTATCAAAACGGTATCACAATACCCTGTTTTAGTATATTGACATCTAACTCACTTTTCGTTTTGAGCCGTTTTCGTTTTGACTCATGGACGCCGAGCAATCAGTCTCGTGACAACTCTGTTTTGGTTAAAACTACCAACTGAGAATATATGCAAAAAAATAATTAATATTTTAAAAGCTATGCAATTGGCTGGTGTCTTTAAAATGCTGCGTCCCATTTGTCCAACGTGTATAAATATTACTTCTCTTTACTCGTTTGTACCGCAAGTAAAGGGAGAGTGTGCTAAAAGCGGACACGTACCTACTCTTTCTCCACACACACCGCTTGCTCCTGCTTTTCAAACGTAAAAGAAAAGTTTTTCCTTGTTTTATTACAGGAAGCCTTATACCACATGCATTCACTAAACTAGTCATATCGGGGTCAAAGGTCGTCATCAAAATGAAACTCACTTCCGCGAATACCGGAAGTTCACAGGTCGGCTTAAGGAAAGTCACGTGGTACAAAGATGGCCATATCTTAGATACGAGATCAATTTCCAGGATTTGGGAGGTTTGTACCTGGAAGCTTTCAAACTATAATTTTCTTTACTAATGTTTGAGTTGTGACATTGAACCTAAGAGAGAAATGGTCGGTATTTTTAAACTGACGGAGACCGGAGTTAAAAATTCACGCCGTCGGAAGCCGGCATTGTGGATTTTCAACTGTGATAAAAGTAATCAAAACTTTCCACTAAAACCTAAGAAGCACTGAGTTGATAAACGTTATTATAACATTCTATCGAAGAAGACTTGCATAGGCCAAAGTTCGCCTATGCCAAATCTGATTTTTTTAAGAGAGATTGGGTCGGAGTCGAAATTTTTTGGACGGACTCGGAAATTTGGATTTTTCCTAACCAAGAGTCGGAGTCAAAATTATATTTTCGTTTCAGGCTGAAGGAGGGCGAGCTCTGGTCATCAGCTCTGTCAAGGAATCGGATGCGGGGATATACATGGCCCATCATACAGACGAGGATAAAATAAACGCTGCTGGGACAATTCTGATAGTCAGAAGTAAGTTATATTTACCTGACCAACAAGCTTAAAGAAGGTTGCGAGTCTTTATGTTACTATTTTGTGTTTTTGTTTCGTTTTTTTTATGCTGTGTTAGACCCCATCTAGGTGTCGCTGCTCGATAACCAGTACTGGTTTTCAGTGTCTCCATCCATTCTGTAAATACTATCCTTATCTTATTATGCTCGTATATGTATGTTGCGTATTTTCAGTATTGATGAAAAAATAAATTACTGATTATTGATTTAAAAGTAAATATAGTATCGGTCGAGGTCTACCTGCACATGGGTTTTTAGATTAATTTGCTCAAAGCAAGACCTGAGTCTTCAACTACGATGCAGAAAGTCCTGATAGAGCAGTGGTTCCCAACCGTAGATTGCCCGTGGCCCTCCTGTTTGTTATTCCAGTGGCAATTATAGTGTTATTTTGATTGGTACAACTCAAATCCAATTGTGTTCAAACAATTCGTTCTCAACAAAGTGAAAACACCATGTGAATAACCTTTTTAAGTAATAAAACTAGGAAGAACAAGGAGTTTACTTGTAACGGGAAAGTGAAATCAGTTTTGCGCCCAACATCTAGCCCCCCCCCCCCCAACTGCTCTATGGCCCCCTTGCGGACCACGGGCCTCCGGTTGGGAACCGCTGTGATAGAGGAATTGCGAACAACCACCGAGGTGCTGCGTGCTATACATAGGTCATGGTTACAAGTTTGTGCAAACTCAGATTTCCAAATTCCAGCTTTGGACGAGTTGATTCCATTCTTAACTGTAACTACAAGGGGCTGTGGTTGAAGATACGAAATTTGTTCGAGCCTGTATTTCGCATTAGATTTTTTTTTTACAGCTCTGAATTGAAAGCGTTGTGGAGAATTATGTGCGAGAGGGTTGCTGGACTTCTCGCCACCATAAGGTGGTTCACGTAATTGCTGGCTGATACGGCTTCCTCCCCCATCAAGTCCATCCTTACGAAAACAAATAAGTGGCTAACTAATCCATACCCGACCTGGACTGGGTAACGGACGAGGGGGCCATATGATTAAGCCGTCTTGTCGGCTATATATATATATGTGTGAATTTAAATCTTATTCTATACTTAACTTTATTCATCGCATAATTCTATATATACTTTATGTACTTAATTCACAGGTTGTCCATTGGACACATGGGGATCATCCTGCGATAGAAAATGTCCGATCTGTCTTCATGGAGGGGTTTGTAATGAAGGTACTGGGTTATGCATATGTTCAGCAGGTTTCAGTGGAAGATTGTGTGACCAAGGTAAGTTTACGTGCTTTAGTAAGTTTGCTCAAAACACCACATTTAACCTAAATACAGGAAAAAAAATCAACATAACTGAAATGAGCTGTATGTCACTGTCAGTCTGTCACATTCATATATATCGAGTTACGTGTCATGAATCATACATTATTATATTCCAAGGATGGCGAACCACTGACCCGCGGGTCACAAAGTGACCCACCGCGTTCTATTTGTGACCCGCCAAGGCATGAATAAGATTTAAAATTGTAACATATGGCCTTAAATTAATCTAAAAATAACTAAACTAATATAATGTACCGTCAGTTGGGCAGTCAGGGCTGCAATCGCTCATATTCAAATTGTTAATTTTTGGGCCGGTATGGTAATTTTCAAAACCCCCAATCTTGGGCGCATGCCACTTTCGAAAGTGCATCTGCAAACTGTTTTAGGATTACACGAGAACTATATGCTACTTTGCCTTTTATTAGTGTCTCGCCTACAATACCGCTGAAAATACAAAATCTTTCAGACTTGAAATAAAACCTAGAAATCTGAAATAACAATGGGGCAGTGTGAAAGTGCCTTATTAATGTGGTTGAAAGCTGAACAAAAAATATAAAACTATCAGAGTGGAATTCCCTCCAAACTTTTTCGATCCGGAAAAGAATTTGCCGCATCATCCTAAACGTAATTCATATGCGTGTTTTCATACTCTAATTTCATAAAATCGAGTGCCATAATAAGTCTCTGATAGAAGTGCAACATAAGTAAACAGCAACAGAAGTTAATAAGACTTGTTTCAAAAGTTTCTAATAGATACAAACATTGATTAAATATCTGTGACCCACTCTCTTCTGTTCCGCGATAAAAATATAATTTTTGACCCATTCATTGAAAAAGGTTCGCCATTAATATTCCATCTGATGTGAAACCAATAAAAATTCCGAAAGGTTATTCAGCACCGTACCTGCGTTGCGAGTAACAGAAATGAAATAAGCTGTATGTCACTGTCAGTCTGTCACATTCATATATATCAAGTTACGTGTCATGAATCATACATTATTATATTATATTCCATCTGGTGTGAAATCAATAGGAATCCTGAAAGGTTATTCAGCACCGTACCAGCGTTGCGAGTAAAAGTAGTGAGCCAACCAACAACCGATCGTGTGATAAAGGTTCAATCTTGATTTATTCCCAGTTTTATGTATACGGTGTTTTTTGGTGATTTTTCATCATTTATAAGCAACAGCACCCCAGCGCACATTCCTCCAATCTTTTCAATACCAATCTTCCACGATTTCGTGGCACCAGCCTACCAGCCCACAAGAAAAATTATTATATACACATCAAATAACTAAACTGTACAAAATTTGGAGTTAGACTTGCGCATAGCATGAGCTGAGTACCTATCAAAGATTGAATAAATAACGTACTGTTTATGCGTATTGAAGAAAAACAGACGAAGCGAGCAATTTAACGAAAAAGGTTGCAAAACAATTCATAATTTTTTTTTATGTATCCATTCTCAGCATGTGAACCTTCCTTCTTTGGCGGCAACTGCCAGCATAACTGCGCAGCTCTAGAAAGTGAAGAAACTTCGTGCCAAGGTTTTCAACTATGTTCTGTGGTTGGATGTGCCTGCATGAGTGGATGGATGGGGCTCGAGTGTGAAAAGGGTAGGTTAATTTATTGATAGTATTATTTCATTTCCATGTGGAACTGTCAGCGTAAAAAATTCAAGTGTGTCTGACCAGAATAATTTCATAGCCAAAAGAAAAAGCGTTGCTGCCACTTTGTGCATCAACTTGAAAGAGAATAAATCGAAGATAAATATTAGATTTTTTCTAGCCCTTCCAAAGTGATTTCATATTTCTTATTATGAGGCCTTAAACTTCGAATCTTCAGCATTAATTATTACGTCATATTTATCACTCGTGGCTTCTTATCGCCATATATCTCCTCCGAGTCTTTAGCAATAATCATGACGCTATGTTTGACACTAATAACGTTACATAACTTTTCAGGGTCTTTAGCAATTATCATGACGTCATATAATTCAGAGTATTTAGCAATATTCATGACCTCCTGTTTTTACTGATGGCGTCATATAACGCCTTTGAGTCTTTGGCAATATTCATGACGTCATATTTTTCACTGATGATGTCATAAAACCCCGCCGATTCTTTAGCAACAATATTGGAGTTAAATTTTCCATTGGGGACGTCACATAACTCCACCGAATCTCTAGCAATATTAATGATGTCCTATTTCCCATTGATGACATCATTTGGCTCTTCCGATTCTTTAGTAATAATCATGGTGTCATACTTCCCATTGATATAACTATTCCGATTATTCAGCAATAATCATGGCGTCATGTTTCTCACTGATGGACATCATATATCTTCTTCGAGTTTTGGGCAATAATCATGTGTCTTGTTTTTCAACGTTTTTCAACGTTCAACGTTGGCATAATATAACTCCCCGGGCCTTTAGCATTATGAAGACTTCATATAACTTTTCTCAGTCTCTAAAACTAATAACCACTTATTTGTCATTGATGACGTCATGTAACTCCTCCTAGTCTCTAGAACTAATCAAGCTGACTCATTTGCCATTGGTGACGTCATATAACTTTTACGAGTCTCTAGAACTATACCCCCACATACCTCATTGATGAAGGCATAGAACTACTCCTAGTCCCTAGAACTAATCGTACCGTAATATTTGTCATTAGTGACGTCATATAACTCCTAGTCCATAGAACTAAGCATACCGACTCATTTGTTATTGATGACGTCATATAACTCTTCCTAGTCTCTAGAACTAATCAAACTGATTCATTTGTTATTGACGAAGTCATATAACTCCTCCTAGTTTCTGGAATAGATCATACCCTACATTTGTGATTAATGACGTCATATAACTCCTAGTCCATAGAACTAAGCATACCGACTCATTTGTTATGGATGACGTCATATACCTCTTCCTAGTCTCTGGAAATAATCAAACTGACTCATTTGTTATTGACGAAGTCATATAATTCCTTCTTGTCTCTGGAATAGATCATACCATACATTTGTCATTGATGACGTCATAAAACTCCTAGTCTATAGAACTAATCATAGCTACACATTTTTCAGAATCTTTAGCAATAATCATGACCTTATTTTTCTTACTGGTGATATCATAAATTTCGAAATATGACGCCATCATATCGAGATATGATGTTATTTCTAATCTATAACGTCTTATAACTCTTGCGCGTCTTTAGCAATATTCATGACGTCATTTTCCCCCATGATGACATTGAATAAATCTCTTGATTCTGTAACAATGTTCATTATGTCATATTTTCTATTGATGACATTATATAACGCTTATATACCTCTTTCAAATCTTTTGCAATGATCATGACGTCATGTTTCGAATTGATGACAACATATTCCGAATTCCGAATTCTTAAGTATAATGATGTCATATTTCTCACTTATGACGTCATACCCCAGCGTCTTTAGCAATGATGAAGAGATCATATTTATGACTGGTTGTGATGACGCCATATAACGTATCCGAGTCTTTAGTAATAATCACGATGCCATATTTCTTATCACTGAAATTATATTCTAATATCGTTACATTGGGTTTATTTCATCTGTGCCTTATTCTTTTAGCTTGTCCTCCTGGGTTATACGGAGCAGATTGCAGTCAATCATGTCGGTGTTATCATGGTGGAGTGTGTAATAGATACAAAGGATGCATTTGCACTGATCAATGGACCGGACCTTCATGTCAAGTTGCAAAACGTGACGTCATCAATTCTGATGAGGTCATTCCAGTAGAGGATTCCGGGTATCTATATCATTTGAAAAATCTCAAAATATTTTGTCTTTTGTTATCAATCGGGTTTCTATTAGACTATGTTTATCCTTCTTCTAAGCTTTTGTAATGAAGGCTTTCTAATAAAGTGAAGCTGTTGCCACAGTTAAATTCAATATTTTGTGTAATTCAAAAGTTTAACTGCGCATTGACATAAATATATTATTGTAACATATATGTGTAAACGATGACTATTCTAAATGATTTAGTATGACAAGTGTAATGACAAGTAGACTGATATAAAAGTATTTGTGCGAGACTAAGGCTGAAATATTATTAACAAATGTTATCAATCGGGTTTCAGAGAGCCAACTACTCATCCTTCTTTTGTGCTGATGGCTGTAAAATGCATGGATACTATAGCAAGAGTAGAGATGACTCTTCTAAAACAAAGTTATAGAATTATGTTTGATTGAGAGTGTCTGACTTTGGTATATATTCACCGAATCTGTCCCAAAATTATTCCTGCAGTGACCCTTTCATTAAGTATTTTTTTTTCAAGTTCTAGCTTTTTAAAACAACATACTCACACATTTATTTCCGACACTCGCCATGAATTTCAATGCGAGTCCAAATAATATTTTAATTTTCTTAACAGGAATAATGACCGACTGCCTTCAACAACGGTGGAAAAGAAACCGAACATCACAGCAGTATTGGCGGATCCTTCATTCAAGGTATGATTCAGAGTCGATACTTGAATCAGATTAGGGATGTGACCAGTGAATCCGAAAAAGTTGAGGAAAGATTCTCTTTCATGTCAAATCCATTAATAACAGGTTTTCTTATTTCAGAAAATGTATGTATATCGCCACGTAAGTCACATCAGCATGAAACGCTTTACATAAATCTAATACATAACTCTCGAAACAACGAATATAACGCAAGTCGTCAGCTGCAGTGCACTTTACGTCCAAAACAGTCTAGAATTGCGTGGATTCGTCGCGTGAATTCGACTCAAAACCGAAAGTGGTTCCGAATATCTGAATCTATTACCTGGCAAAATAAAATCGTTTGTGAAGCTATATTTCTGCTGCTTTGTACTAGCCATAGCATGACGGGACTTTCAAATTATTATCTGATGCTCACTCAAGGCCTTGTACAAACAGCCCTCAGTATATCAAGAGCTATTGTTTTTTGACGGTTCTGAAATTACCCGTTTCGATTCTGCAATCCCAATTTCAAATAAATTTTGAAGAATTGGTAAGTATGGGTACTTAAACCTGTCTTGTGAACATAGTTGAGCCTAACACCATCTATATAGACCTTAAGTCAGTAGTTTCCAACCTTTTATATCTCGTGACCTCCTTCTGGAGGCTTTTAGCCCTCATGGTCCGCTGTTTGTCATTCCAGTGGTATTTATAGTGTTACTTTGATTGGAAGATCCCGAATCTAATAATATTCAAACAATTCATGCTCAACAAAGGAAAAAAAAACCGTGAAAAGCAATGAAACTTAGAAGAACGATGACTTTTTTTACTAAAAATAAAATCAGCTTTGCACCCCTCAACTGCTGATGGCACTCCTCCAACTGCTCTGTGGCCACCTTGGCTGGAAACCACTGCATTGAGTACTGTATTCATTGGCAAACGATCATACTGGCACTGATTTTTTCTAAGAAGTATACGCTTTTCATCTTGTTCCAAAAGAAGAATCATCGTATAAAGAGTTACGGTAAATATGTATAACGTCTGTTTTATTTTGAAGGTGAATCAAGGTCAGAATGTGGAAGTGCAATGTGCGGTGACTGGAATTCCTTCCCCACAGCACGGAGAAATTATCTTGAAGGTGGGTGTTGATAAAATTATCACAAATAGAGCTGAGTTTGAGTCGGTCGTGTTTACACTGATATTGGAATAAGAGTCGTTTTTTTAAACGCTACGGCATCGCGAGTTAATGTCGGAATCGCAAATTCTCGCTCGACTAGATTATCTTATTTTCATTCTCCTACCTACGGTGATGTGACTTCTCGCTTTTCAATAATATATATACCGACTCGGGAAGTTTTGCTTATAACCTGTGTTTCGTGGAATTCCCTTTCACCTGGCTGTTTTCCTAATAGTATTGACTTGAATTGTTTCAAACAGTATGTTAACGGCTATCTAGTTTCATTTAGTATGGAACTAAATATACCACTATAAGCGCGGTAACTCTTCATCATTACTCTTTCTATTTTAGTCAGGGCCTCAGAATCTTGCTTTGAGCAAACTTGTATACTTTCAATGTATAGCTAGCTTTACTGAAAAATCTTACAAACTAATCGTTCATGTTACCATTTACAGCGCAAAAATCAGATTGAAATCGCCCCGACTGAAACAAAGATGACTGAAACGGTGACAACTTCATTCTTTGAGTTGACAATGGGTTCGTACCCTGGACCGTTCTGGTGCGTTGCAACAACGAGTGCTGGTTTCGCTCAGAAAGAATTCAATTTTACGATCCCAGGTGAGAAATGGCTTTAATAATTTTATACCACACTTTCCGTAGGTTTTGATGATTGATGTTGGGAAGCTTCGGAAATATAACTATTTTAGTACCGTGAGATTTTTTATGTAAAACTTTTACTTGACCATTCCGCTCGAAGCAAGACGCCGCACAACAGCAACTGTTATATATAGAGCTTCTATTTCTAAAAGAACCAAAATCTTTTCGGTTGAGCTTTGCCTACCCATTTTATTACACTCTATTAGAGGTTGTGAGGAAGAGGGTTTCGTATTGCTTGTCTACCGACCATTCCCGCAAACTCGTTGTTCTAAGCTCAAAACTCGTTGTTCTAAGCTCAGGCGTAATCTTAATAGGAGCGATTTAAAACTCTCGTTCTCATTTTGCTATCTTGTTTCTTCATGCTATAAATATACCCGGCATCTTCCCTCTATATAGGTATCTATATTTTTATCATTTAGTTCTTCCAACACCAAGCAATCCACCCGAACTAGTCATCAAAGGCGCAACATTCTTGAAACTTAAGCTGAACAGTCATCCGTTTATTGGCGACGGACCGATTAAAAAAACGATTCTACTCATGAAGCAATCTGGTCAAGGAAGAAGTTTCAACACTTATGAAAGGTAGAATCGCTATCACTGAGACGTTGACGTTATCCCTTAAACTTGTTGTTCTTCTAAGACTTCAGTTCTCAAAATTATTAAACACGAAGTGGACTCGTGAATTTGAGGGCTGTAACCCAAAAAAGCAAAACTTGATAAAGTCGCTTGAAAAAAATGAGAAAAATGTATATTTTGAATTTTAAATACCATAACATTTTATTCAAATACGTTTTGAATATTGCTATAAACTATGATCAGATAGATACATTCTCAAAAGAGCCTACCTAGTATTTTTTGAATACGCCTGTCTTGAAACCTTTAAATCGAGTCCCAGGTCATCCGATTCCCGAGTCAAAGCAGGTTTCGAATTTCAAGGCCAAATACTAGTCGAGTCACTGCATTACCGAGTCACATGTTCTGTCGAGTCGCTACTTTCAGTGTCACAAGTCAAGTCCACATTAATTTTAATGAAAAGGATAAAAAACAGTTGAATTGCTACTGAGGCTTCTTCAATTTTGTGTTACACCAACAATATTTTGAAAGTCAATAAACTTAGTATTGAATCATGCATTGACAACATTTAAATTGGCATCAACCCATCTTATTTTAATTTTCCCATTTTTTTTCTAATACAATATTAATTTACGCGGTAAGTTTCATTCACCAAATATTTACTTCGTTACTTGTTTTTCCTATTGTTACTGTTGTTAAAATAAATTCTTATTCTCGGCAACTAATGATTTCAAATTTCTAGTAATCAAAGTTAAAACCGCTGGTGGGCTATCACTATTTTTTTTATAATTTCCTGTGAGTCCCAGGGGCCTCGCTATTTCACCCAAAATATTGCTGTTTTATTTTAATTCATGGGAACAATTTTCTGATATTGATTTCACCTATGGAAACATATTTGATCATTGCTGTCTCGTTTATTTTTCCTAGGAACATCGTCAACGATACAGCCGAAGTCAGGGATCTTCTTCCTTACACCGATTACACATTCCGAGTTCTTCTTTACAGAGAAGGGGGTTTTAGTGGGCGCGGCCATCCAGGACCGACAGCCGTGATTAAGACGGATTGTGGTTGTAAGTTGTTTGTATATGTTAATTGTTTCCTTGTGATCTGCTTGTCTTCTTGGTCGAATTCACACCAGAGGGACGGCCAAAGAGTTTAGACTGAATAAATATTTTTCGAAAAGATTAGTTTAAATTAATGTACCTCAATGAGAAGTGGATGGAACACATCTCGAAGCAAAGTTAGACCGCTAAAATTTTCAAAACTAAGTGGTATTATTATGCATTAGTGGTGCGTTATAAATTACTAGCTGATGCGAGATTTAAAAAAGTTTAATTAAATCAACATGATCAGTAACACAACTATGATATAGTGAATCCTATGTAACTAAATTTTTGTAAAAACTCCTGGTAATCAAAGTTTTTAGAGATTCAAATAATAAATTATTTTTGTGATATTTTGTTAGGCGGACTATATATAAACACCGATACGTTTTGCTTGGATTATGTTAAGATTTGGTATGGGGAGAAGTCCATCACCTCAAATTCTTGTTCGTTCACTCAAATACTTGAATATTAGACAATTTAGTTTCGTTAAACTTTTACCAAACTTTTGTTCTTGATTAGACCCATCCTCTGGCCCATCCATCAAGAACATTCACTCAAAGAACAACAGCATTCTATACTTATCATGGAGATTGCCTCCGCCAAGCGAAATTAAAGGAGAAGTTCTCGGGTACAAGATATATTACAGAGCATTAGGTGAGTGATGTAGAATTTCAACTGCGATTAATAAAGTTCTGAAAAAAAAATTTGAATAGCATTTTTTTTCTCCCCGGGGAGAGGAAATCCAGTAGGACGGCTTATGCATAATTTAAGATTTTAACATTAATCCCGGGGAAGGGGTAGTCGATAAGGTGGCCTAAGCATAAGTCACACTACGGCCTCTCATCCAGTTACCAGTCCAGGTCGAACATGGAAAAAAGTTCATCATTCAATCTTCCAGATTTGAGCTGAATGTGATTAGGTTGAAATCTACCTATCGCAAGAAAAGCCATTACATTGTAATTGGTTTCCTGCTACTTTTTATCTGTCTACAAATGCAATGCAACAATTATGTTGAAGTTGAGATCTTTTCCCCCGCGCTGTCAACATGGGTAAAACCACGTAAGTTATAGCAGCATCTAACGATCCTCATTCTGTTTTCAGGGGAAACATCGCCTTCTTGGACGAAAGTCATTTTTGCTTACAGCAGCACAACTTCAGCTACTTTGAAAAATATGAAGCCGTTGGCAGTTTACAGCGTTAAAATAAGATTGTACAACTGTGCGGGAGATAGTCCGGATTCCAAAGAAGTTAGAGTCACTATGGGACGACTAAGTAAGTCTGCAATATGGCAAGTACTCGTAATAATATTGCTCATTTCCGTCGTGTATCAAACTGTCTTAAACGGGACCCAAACTGACTTTTCACCAATCAAATTCGACATATTCAATCGGTTCAAAATAACAATCCCGACAGATTTAGAATGAACAATGGTCTAAATCTTAGCTTGTTCCATTGGGAAACAATTTATTATCAACTGCAAAGAGCTGTAAATTTGCATTTAATAGTAAGAATTGGTTAGGGAATAAAACTCCCATTTTTTCAGTCCAAATCATTTATAAATGTTTTTCGACATTTTCAAATGTTGTCGTTGTATTTTCCATATACATATATATATTATAAAACCATAACAGTTTAACAGTTCAACTTTAAGATCTTTTAATAGACTACGTTTTTGTCAAACACATCATCAGATGTACATACAAAATTTTACCATAAATAAATCAAAAATTTCTAAATGTTTCCAATTTTTTGTAGAAAAACCAGACGGACCAAATGTAAATCTTGTAAATCAAACCTCAAGATGTCTTGGATTCACTTGGAAACCGCCTACGAATGCTAAGCCATACACGATATCTGGATACGAGGTAGGGAGTATGTTATCATGTTTGACATAAAAATCAATTAAACGAGTGGTTCCCAACTTGGGAATGGGAGGTATTTGACCCTGGGAAGGAATTTTATTGCTCCTTTTTTTGTATTTGCATGTAGTAAAACTAATATTCCTTACTTTTGTAGTATTGTAATGAATAATTATGCACACACTATAAACATCCAATCTAATCGATGAAAGGTGATTCCAAATGTCTTTCAATACATTCTTCTCTTCTGGATCTCTACAATTCTTCCTCACTATACTTGAAAATATTTTGCTTTTCCATTCTTCAAAGAATCATTGGTGATATGATGACCTTGACTTTCTAACATCTCTAACATCTGAATAGTTTATATTAGGTATAGATAAGTGTAGAATGGTAATAGTAGCCCCTTCAAGTGTTTGAACTCTTACGGGAGAATCGAAATTGTGCATTAAAATTAAATCAGAAATAAAAAACAATAGGTTGGGTGTACAACCAGCGTTGGTGCCTCGCGGCTTCCATTCCCCAGTTGAAATGTTTGATTTTCGTTTTTACTGGTTGAGGAAAATAAACCTGACTGACAATCTTGGCGATTTGAAATTTAAGCTCCCGACTCAGATTTAAATAAAAAACTTTAACGCTTCGAATAAGCTGAAGCTATGATTCCGGTATTCCAACTTTGACTACAAACTTCGATAAACTACTCTCCAACACAAATAAGTTCCAAAATCTATGTCTTTTTAGATCTATGTATAAAAATGTATAATTTGATATCTTGCAGGTATTATTTGAGGAAACAACGAATCCTTCTGCAGACAGACTGAACATCTTGCAAAACGTATCTGGAATGGTTTTCACTCGCAATTCACTCACTCCATACACAACATACAAATTCCGAGTCAGAGCTTACAATCATGAAGGCCCTGGTAATTTCAGCGATGAAATGAATGTTACTACAAACGAGGAAGGTGTGTATTCAACTGTTTTCTTTCACTATTTCAGAATAGTTAGACGTCGAGTAAATTGTCATGTTTCGCCCGGGTCGGAGCAGAATTAACACAAAGATACACTCCGTCATGTTACAAAATATAAAAATAATTCACATGATGGAAATTCTATGAGTTTGACAAAATTTGAAAAGGTGGTTTAAGACATGCGACATAAAAATAGGCAACCTCACTTCGTCATATGGAAAATGAGTAAAAACCGTGATGGGATCTCTTTATTAATTAAACTTTAAGCTTGTGTAGAACATTCTTGTGGATGAAACTTGTTCGGTTGTCCTGTTCGGGTATAGCGGCCAGTTTAATGAGCCACTTTCATCGATAATTGATGACGTAATTTATAACCAACAGTTACATGAAGCCTATTTGGTAGAAACTTATTGTTTTCTTTCTCGACAATCAAGTCTTGTACAGTTGTACTATAGAATTTATTTTTTAACCAGTTAAAATATCTGGCAAAAATTTCAAAAAAATGATAATAATAGTTTTACTGAGAACGTTGCGGGGAACCTAAAGTGGTTTTGAGTAACGACACCCCAGGTTCCTATATTTAATTACACCGATTTAGAAATCATGGGCGTCACTGATCGATAACCAGTTTAGGTAAATTCAAGGGTATTGTACTAGTGAAGAACACAGTCTGCTTAATAACATTTTAACAATATTTTACTGTTTCAGCACCTGGGCAACCATCCAATTTTCACGTTGAAAGTCGAACACCGTTTCAAATAGAGTTGTCATGGGATGTTCCTTTGCAACCCAACGGCATCATAACACAATATATCATCAATAGTTCGAGAGATGGCGAGATTTGGAAACAAAAAACAACTCCAGGGGATGAAAGAAGTGTTTCCATTCTGGTAAGTTTAAACCAGAGTGGTCCAAGGTTGTCGGCTCCGCGGGCCACAAAATTATTTTTGCATTGTTCGCGGGCCACAATAGTGCCAAGAATAGGTAAACAATGCAATACAAAACAAACACTTTTATTGTGCAAACACCTAGTTATCAGACATAGCCATTCCAGGCTAATAGAATCCGCATTCGATTTTTAGTTTTCTATGATGCCCATATTGTAAGCATATATTCCCGACCAAAAAAAAAGAAAGCCAAATAATAATTTAGACTGCCAAGCACATCATTCAACTTCGCTAGTTGCCTCAGATAGCCATAACACTAGTCAATTCAGTGACATTATTGATGTAACAATATGTCAAAACATTTTTCTGATTAATTTTATTACGGAACAACACGAAATGCGATTTTTTGACCACTTTCGGAATGTGACGCGGGTCACAGATAATGAAGCGGCGGGCCACATGTGGCCCGTGGGCCTTAGTTTGGACCACCCAGGCTTTAAACTATGATTGTGAATATTGTTTAGAATGGAGAGCTGAATTTTAAAATGAGTTTGTTATATGGTTTTATAATATATATAGAGTATATCCACCTCTTTTCATGGTGATCCATGGCGTCGGCCAAGGGTGACTCTAACTACTTTCGCTATCACTCGCACATTTGTTATTGTTAATCGGGCATTGAAAAAAACAATGTTAGAAAACAAGTACAAAAATGAGTCAAAGGAATGTGTTTGTGAATTATATAAACAGCAAAAGTTGAGGTAAAATATCAAATATCGTCGTGCTCAGCAACATTTAGCGAAATAGGAGTATGGCTTTTTTGTGACCTATTCCATCTTTAAGTACCGAATATCTGAGCTCTATTTGTGCGGAGAAAAGCGATTTTTCGCAACAATACTGACAACAATAATTTAGCTAATGGTCGATTTTGTGTTTATTGAGGAGCTGCATACTTCTACATTCTGAAAACTTAAATTTTATAACACGTTTTCATATTTATATTTTTGAATGATTTGACAATGATGATGATGACATTCTGACCCCCCCAAAAAAACAGAATACATAAATTTCCTAATTATTTATTACGGAAATACAGAAATTTATTCAACACTTGATCTTCTATTTGTGTATGAATGTACCCGAAGGTTTTATTAATCTAAAATGCCCTGCACAAAAGTTGTGTTCTATTTAAAATATGTTTCAAACGACCAGTGTTCTAAACTTTTGGTATCCATATATTAAAAATAATCAGTATCAATTTCATTTGTCGTTTCTAAATATTTATGTATTTCCAGGGGTTGGCAGAATACACAAAATATTTGTTCCAAATACAAGCAGTTACCATTGAACCTGGTGCTTGGTCTGTTGTATTGGAAGCAAGAACTATGAGTTTAGGTAAGCAATTGCTTCAACTGTTAAAAACTTCTTTGTGTCCTCGACTCCGACCTCGAGAAAATTGTGAATTCTTACTTGAATTCTTTTTCTGCTCTTCAATTGTCAATAGTTTTATTTTTTTCTATTGAAAACAAACTCAACAATTGAATACCATTTTCTAAGTGCATCCTATCGCTTTTCATGTGTTAGTTAAATACGCTAGTCTGAAGGAGTCTAACCTCGGACCGACGAAAATACGTTGCGTTGCAATATATGCACAGTATTTTTATTGGTGTAGTCATTCCCGCAGAAATACAATTCTGAGCTGCGACACAACTCTTAATTACAGGGTGTGTAATACAGTGGTTCTGAACTTTTTTATTTCGTGGCTACCGCTGCACGAAAATTCTGTGGCCTATTACCTTGTTCATGCAAGGGAAAACAGAAATTCTTTCCACAAAGATAGACACTTTCACTTTGAAAATCAAAATGTAAATTACCACTCAGTAGCAAAAACAGCATGATCATCAATTGCTATTACAATCAAGGTTTAACTAATTTATCAATTATCAACTCTAGCAATTTTTATTAGGTCTGTGGCACATCTCAAAATGTCTCTGTAGACCATCAGTGAGCCATATCCCACTGGTAGAAAACCGGTGGTATAATACAATGTATATCTTACACGAAATCTTGAAGTAAAAGTCAAGTTTTGTTTCTAGGTCCCTTGGAGCCCCCACAAAGCATTGACGTGAACTCACCGTCGCCACAATCTGTGTCCTTGTCCTGGTTGCCGCCTCCTGCATCGATATACGTGCACGAGGTCAAACAATATAAAATCATTTACACTGATGATTTGAGACAGCGGATGGAGCATTGGAAAGAGAGGGTAATAGGTCTATATAACTGTGAATATTTAATCGGCTATTTGTTCTCAGGTGGCTAACTTCATTAAGCCACGAAATTAGGGAGAACGGGAGGTTTTCATGTCAGAGGAAAATTAAAATCTTTTTTTTTCCTAGCACTGTGGCTCTCTCCAAGTACTCAGTAGCCCCATTGGGGGCACGGGACCACGTTCGGGAACCACTGAACTAGGTCAATAAGCCCAAAGGGCCGATTATGTTATACTACACTTCTGATAAAATTTTGTAAGAATAAACAGTGATTTTAAGCAACAATACTGAATCAATACTCATTTTATCTCTCTATTGCATTACAGCTCGTTGACGGCACAAAGAGGAACGAAGAGATTATGAATTTGCGTTCCGATACGGTTTATCTGTTTGCAATGGCTGCTGTCACCCAAAGGCCAGGTAGACGTTAGTTGAATTATTACAAGGGATGAAGGAGAAACAATATGATGTTCCAAATGTCTTTATCAATATAATCACCATTTTGCTTTACCCATTAAAATATTGACTAGACCGCTACATGTCAAGGTTAATGCAAAACTAATTTCAGAAATTTTGATTTTCTGTTTCCATTGCGTCAAACAAGCTCCTGGCGGCATCGAGTTGAATTAATTCAATTACCGTCTTTGCCAGCGCTTATTCACTAATTGAAAGAAATGTGTTACAATTTCAATGCAAATTTGTCTGAAATTGTCACCCTTTTTGCTTTTTGATTTGTCCACTGAAATAAAGGCTAGCTCCTGCACAGATCAAAGGTTTCTCCAAAATATTCTTATTTTTCGAATCTATCCCACCAACTAAGCTGTTTTTCTGACAGTATTGAGTTGGATAGTTTCAAGTTTCTTCCTAACCAGCAAATACCGATTCCTGTTTCATGAGACAATTTAGCTCGTATAATATCGCAAGAGTTTTAGTTTGCCTCTCCTCGCATAAAGGTTGTAACAGAAATTTTGATTCTAAGTCAATAATTTTACAGTGTGACCCCGAAAAATTATTCTTAAATCATTTGGAACAGGCTCTGTGATTTTATGCGAAGCGTCCTAGATTACTAGAAATGTTGGGTACAAACATCCACAAACAAAAGATCGAGTGTTGAATAAACTTAATTTTCGCGGAAGAAATCAGGAAATTATGGGTTCTGTGGCTTGGGTCAACCCTGCACATTAATTCTCATAAAAACAAAAATAGGTAAAAACTCAACGTTCTGTATTCTGACTATTTCCTATTTTTAGGACCTTTCTCAGAAAGGAAGACAATTCGCACACGAAGATTGGGGGTTCCCCCTCCTCCAAAGAATGTTTATTTAACAAACGTTACTTCGAACAGTGCTATTATACATTGGAAAGTGGAGAATGGGTATTCAATCACGAATGTTAGAATCAGGTAAGTGTTTAACTCTATAATAATATTTTCAAGAAGGGTGTGGTATGGCTCCCATTGTTTTTCATAAATAAGTGACTTTGGTTTTCTGCCTCGCTATGATTTTTGTTATTGCTTAAGTTGATGAATGTGTGTTTCTTGTAATACGTTTTAATTATCTACAAACATCGTCTATTCTCTGAGTTCACGACACAACAGAGGAGTTGAATAAACCTTACTTTGTCGGCGTTTTGTTGTTTCCTCACATGTTAATCTTTTGGCCCACATGTCTGTGCTGTTTCACTGGTGTTACCGATCTGTTCTGTTAATGTCTGTTCCTACGTTATGTATATATATTTTTTTATGTTTACATATTATTATGCAGACATTATTCAATGTATTTTATCGAACCTGGCCATTGTGAGAACATTCTACTTTGCATTGTGAGACTCCGATCTCTTTCGATGCGCGAATAAAAATACATTTCTCTTCATTATTTGTCCGCTGGTTTTGGCCGCTTTTTGTTTCTCGTACATGCCATAACGCATTTGCACCTTAAACATTGCTTCACCTGAACATTTTCATTATAGAACCATATTCACCGCCTTTACAAATCGCACCGTACTTGTGCCAAAAGTAACATTTTCACTAATTTTACTACAGTTGCACTACATTTTTGCCCATTATAAATAAGAGCCACATGCACAACTTAAATCAGGGGTTTCCAAACCGCGGTCCGCGCGCCAAATCCGGCCCGCGTAAGGATTTAAAATGGCCCACCGAGCGTGAGTGAAGTAGTGTGCAAGTTAGTGCAACAGATTTTGTTTCACCTTTTTACATTCCGGATAGCGCCAAGTGTTACGCCATTATCACACTTTAAGCACGTGTTTTTATTGTAATAATTTAATTAAAGCGTTATCTCAGTTATTCGTACCGGTATTATGATTACATAGGGCATTAATTTAGTTATGAATCATAAGAGCTTAGATGTGCCACGCACTTTCAGGCGCTACACTCTTCCGGCCCGCGAACATCCCTTCGATTCAAATTTTGGCCCGCAGCCAATTAAGTTTGGGAACCCCTGACTTAAATCATGCCATCCCAACTGTAACATTTGCAGCATATGTACCATATTTACCAATTGTATAAATCGCGCAGCACTTGTACCACAAGTAACACTCTCAACATTTATACTATAGTTGCACGACATTTTCCACCTGCACCCGCGGTTCCCTATAATGAAGACTGTGTTGTGTTAACAAACGTCACTATTGTATTTACTTTAAAGTTTTTATAAAGCGTGCTGGTATAATTTTGTGTTAATCAATTATTTGGTTCATAAAATATAAATGCGTCAGATAATTTTACAGTTCTTAGTGCAGAAACCTAAGATTTATCAAGCATTTTGGATATATTTTCAGAATAAAGAGTGGCAACACACTTGAATGGCAAGATTTGTTGTATCTTGCGAGTAGTGAGCGGGCGATGCTTGAACAACTGGACTCTGGTACAAGATACAGTATTGAACTAACAGCTGGAAACCACAATGGAGAAAGTTCAGGAAATCCAATCAAAAATTTTCAAACATTGGAAGCGAGTGAGTTGTTGCATCCGGGTTGTAAACAACTTCTCTGACCTCATCCCCGAATTCAATAAAATCAATTTTGAAAATAAATACTTTTGCGCATGCTAGCCTTCTGTAAAAGACTGTCGAAAAAGCTTAATAACCTTAACGTAAATCAGAATTTCCACCCCGAAGAGTTTAAAAACACGACTCGGACTCCAGTATTAAGTAAACTAGCTAAACTCCGACTCGCTACTACGACTTGTATCGCTGGATGTTTCCGACAAAACTCAAACACACTATTTCAAAAAATACAACACTTTGCCTAAACTTTGGTTCTGTATACTAAATAAGATTGTCACGGTTTAGAGAATTTCCACATCATGCCCCATGTTCCCATGAAAAAGGAGATCCTTTTAACTATCTTAGATCATTCTATATATTGCTGCTTATTGGCGATTGATATACAAGGTATCTTCAATTTGTTATACCAAAATAATGCAGCGCAAGACGTTAAATCCATACCCTATCGTCCTAACGGAATACTCACTTTTATCTCGAATGTCATCAACATGAACTATTGTATTACAGGTGTCATAGGAGAAGGCATTATTCTACAAGTACTGGTTCCAGTGCTAGTGGCTGTGGTAGCCATCTTGTTCGGAATCATCGTCTATTGCAAGTGAGTGGTTTCCCTAAGAATGGTATGTCTTCTCTCTTCTCTTTGAAATCAGCCCAGAAAATAATTTTGAAAAAATTTTCTTGTTTCAATGCCGGTTATAAAAGTCGACTCCGACAGTAGGTCCCGATCCTAAAACAACACAATCCCAAGAATGGTGGCACTTTTCTGCTTTTGTTTGAAATTTCGACTCCTGCCTTTGAAAATATGACTCCGCCTCGTTTTCAAATTGGAAAAAATGAAAAAGCCCAATTACACAGTTCTTCTTTTTCCATCAGGTCAAATTAATATTTATTATTCACTTGCCAGTCAGAGGTTCAATGTGAATATGCTTAAATGTGTAAAGACCTCTCCACACATCTCACACTAAAATTGTTTTAGATATTAGAATTATTTTATTTGTCTAACGACAAATTTAACACATAACACACATTTCACACATTTAACAATAAAAGTGTTTGCAATAAATACATAGATGACTGAATAGGTGGCGACAGTTCTGAACGTTACAAGTTTACTCATATTCCCTTCGACGTGATACTCTAAAAAAAAAATTACGAATAGTTTCCCCTAAAATGCGCGTTTAAACAATGTAAATACTGCCTATTTTTTTGTGCTCTTTGAATATCCAACAAATGACCTTTTAATTCCATAATCTCGATCAGCTTTCCACATATAATCCTATTTCTAGATGCCGTGGTCGTTCGGACTCAGATTCAATGAGCACAGCCCCATTGGAGATGGATTCGATATCAAACCATATGAGGGTTTCCACAATTGGATCATCGTTTCTCAGCGGCGCAACAATCAATTCAAGATCCGGAACTTTACTTTCAAGTCATTCTGTTCATTCTGGCAATTCTAGAGCGCCTTCTACTCATTCTGGACAAGTAAGGATATTAAATATAATTGTGAGCCACCACTTCTTCTGAAAACAGGTTTTAACCTAAAGTCTGTAACATTAAACTTTATTAAACGTTTTGTTCGCTCTGCCGATTCTATAATCAGTTTTATTTATTTTGTTTTTATCAATCATTCTATCGTCTTTTATGTTGATTATGAAGTCAAAATAAACTTATACCAAACTACCATCATGCTAAGCGTTAGGAATTTCTTTCCCCCCTTTTGATTACCGTGAGTCGGTTCGCAGGTTTGAATCGTGGATGATTTTTATGAGCGGGGTCGGCTGTTGGACTCCTCATTGTCGTATTGAGGTTTACGTAACCGCTGGTCGATTAGAGCTGAGGAATTTTTACACAAACTCTGAATTTCATGAAAATCAAACATCGATTTCCATTCTGATCATCGTTTCAGCTTCTGCTTGCAGAAAGTCTCATAATTTGTTGGGAAAATATTTTGTTTGAAGACATCGCTCTTGGTGAAGGAAATTTTGGTCAAGTTGTCAAAGCCGTCGTGCAGAGAGAAGACAAACTAATCCAAGTAGCTGTGAAAATGTTGAAAGGTAATTCTTGAATATGGCTAGTTGAAAATAAGTTACGTGAAGCATGCAAATACGGTAGACCTACAAGGATTATGCGTGCTGAGTGTACTTCTTATCTCTTTGTTCACTTCTTATTTCGGATCTTTATGTGACCATTGCCGCAAGGATGCTTGAACAAAATAGTAATAATAAATTAGAATTACACAATCTTTATCCATGATTACATTTAACTCTTAAAATTAGGAATTGTTCGAAGTTCGAAAGCCGTTTTGCAGAACCCTTTTAATTATCATATATATAAAAAAATTCATATTTTCACTCCGGACGTTGGCATATACATGTTAGTATATGCTATTACCGATAACCACAAATGCATGGTTTAACGATAAATTACCAACCCTGCTCTTTCTGCTTGCTTTTTTCAGACGGGTGTTCAGTAGACGATCGGAAGGACTTCTTGGCCGAATTGGACATGATGGCTCGTCTGGGCAATCATAAAAACATCATCTCACTCGTTGGTGCCTGTGAGAACGACTCAAGTCTTTATCTATGCACTGAATATGCACCGAACGGAAATTTACTACAATTTCTGCGTAAAAGCCGTCACTCTGGTATTGATGGAACTTATACGACACTTACACAAAACCAGCTGCTTCAATTTGCACTTGATGTTTGCGAAGGGATGGCGTATCTGAGCGATAAACAGGTGAAAACAAATCTGTCATTCTATGATTGTTAAGAACAGAACAATTGAACATTCAAGAACGGGTTCAGTCAAAAATGAAATAAGACGCGATATGGCTACTACAGTATTTATTAGAGTGTAACGCACATTCAGTTCCACGCGCTGTATTACTTTTTGATTGAAAGTTGATTGACTAGTATTGCTTGACTAGTATTGCTACTAGATCTGCGGGGTAAGATACTTTACCGAAAACTTTACTTTTATTCATTCAATATAATTCAGTAGAACTCTTTCTTATTCCGCCAAGCTTGAAGGTGGATCTTTTATGCAAGCCCTGTGCTCAACCTTGTTGTGCCACTACCGATGCGCCATCTTTTTGTCCGTATATTTAAGCATTGCTTTTTTGTTTTCTATAGCTCATACATCGAGACTTGGCCGCAAGAAACGTTTTGCTATCTGGCAATCTCACATGCAAAGTAGCTGATTTCGGTCTGTCCCGGGGAGAAGGAGTTTATGTGAAGAAAACAGTTGCTAGGTTACCAATACGATGGATGGCGATAGAGAGCCTCAACTACAACGTATACACCACGAAAAGTGACGTGTAAGTTTTATCCCGGGCAGAGGAAAACTCGATAAGTTGGTTTATCCCTATGGCAAACCACGGCCTCTCGCCCGTTTATGAGTCCACGTCGGGTTTGGGATTTAAATAGCCAGTTATTTGTTTCAGATGCATGGACTTGATGTTGGTAGAAGCCGTTACTCGTTACTTAAACCAAATACGAAGCATGCAATTTCTAGCATGCGCCTAACGCTTTGCATGAAGAGTCGAGTATACAGGATTCAATAAAATATGATTGTCAAAAGTATAATAAACTAAATGAATTGTACAAGATCTTCATAAAATGTTTTTATAATCTTTATAAAATGCAGTTAATTGTATTACTCATATAGCGAGAGAGTTTGGTATTATTTTTTCATATAATCATCTTCTTCTATTTACTTAGATGGTCATTTGGAGTCCTGCTTTGGGAGATAGTCAGCTTAGGAGGGACACCGTACTATGGAATGTCTTGTGCTGAGCTGTACGAGAAGTTGCCTCAAGGATATAGAATGGAACAACCTCTCAACTGCGACAGTGAAGTGTGAGATAAGTTTGAATACATTGAAGGCTGCCTATGATATTATTTCACTACTCGGCGGCGGCGGTGTGGCACATTTAGCTAAGCGTTATGATTATGAATACGCTCGCCACCACACGTCTGATTACTCTGCGTGGGTTCGCAAGTTCGAATCCCATTCGGGGATGGTTATGTGCGAGAGGATTGCTGGACTCCTCGCCGTCGCAGGATTGTTCACGTAACCGCTGGTCGGTTACGGCTTCCCCAACCATCAAGTCCAAGTTTCCGGAAGCGATAACTAACCCTATACCCGACATGAACTGATAACCGGACGAGAGGCCGTGGTTTGTCATATGACCCAGCCGTCATATCAGCCCTTCTTTACCCGGGATAAACATTCTGTGAATCCATACCAAGTCTCACAAAGCGATCGCTAGCCGATACTTCTTATTCTTGACGTCTATAAGAGAGTTTCGAGAGTTTCGAAGTTTTCTGCATTGTTCAAATTTGAGTCACTAAAATTTCTGGCAACTTTGTCTCCGACTTCATCCATCTTGTGTCCGGCTCCAGCATAGAATCATGGCTCAAAGCAACGTGATTATTAACACTAGGTGACGCTCATGCGCTACACTGTCCAAGAAAAATCCGAAAATCATTTTCCCGAATTGTCGAGTAGAATCCTAAACAGCTTTTTTTAGATTGTTGCATAATTGCAACCAACTGCATATTCGAATTTTACCGATTTTGTGCTGTGGTTGGAAAATTAGATTCCAAGAGTGCAAGAGAAAAATATTTGCGATTGGCGAAATTTCGGTATACAAAATACTTCCAATATGGAGCAATGGAACAATTTTGTTAACCGATAATTAGAATGTCATTGAGTTGAAAATAGAATGAACCCTAAGATTATTAGATTAAGTTTAGGGCTATTCTGCCCTAAAATATGATTGTAACAATTTGAAGACCTGATTTCGGAATCTGTTTAGAAAAATACATTTTTACCTCAGTAGAAGCTTCAAATAACTATAACTACAAAGCTTACTCTTGTAGTTTACTTGACCACTTTTGTCCAATCGTAATACAATTTTGAAGGTTACACGAGCAATCCAAAAAGTGATCGAAGTATAGTGATGAACGAAGGGTTTCGGAAAATCTGATATAAACCATAATGTATTTTTCAATCTGTTTCAGATACAAATTAATGTCGCAATGTTGGAAAAATCGTCCTTATGATCGACCTTCATTCTCACAACTCTGTGTTGCTTTAAGAAGAATGATTGATGCCAGAAGTAGCAGGGTATGTAGGCTTGACTAGTATTAAGTTAATTTTAATCTCTATCAAAGAGATTAAAAGCATTTTTGGTATGTAGGCTTGTTTCAATATTAATTTCATCCAATGTGCAATAAAGTGTTTCTCAATCGAGTGTTAGCGTACCATTGAGCGTCCCAATAGCATTTTCACGGGGCCTCGAGAACTGAATTTTGGGGTCACAAACACAAAAATGGTAAAGAAATTGTTTTCCTGATTTGAATAAGGAAGTTCTGGAAATCTAATTTCCAATATGACAGACTATAAAATGTCGTTCGTTGGGCTTTTCGACTGTTCTATATGGAATTCAAAATGAGTTTTAGATATAAAAAAGGACTTTACTCTGGCTCACTAAAAGTGCCTGGCTTGCAAAATGCTATGGTATTGCTTGTGCCTACTAAAACCTGTGTGGCGCACTGAACTGGGAATACATGGATCGCTCTTTTCTCTCGTTTTACGTTGTCGCAGCGCGGGACAACTTGATCGCCGCCATCTTGGCATTTATGCTTTCAAAGTTTTATTATGTTGTATTTGTTTTGGCCAGTTTTTGGTCCATTTTAGTACCCAGCGCACCACATATGGATGTATATGTGACTTTTTCTCGGTATTCAAACACAAATATACTCGAGTTGGGAATTTATAGCCTGATGTGGAAAAATTTGGTTGTTCAGGCGATTATACAATGAATATAAGTGAAAACAATTGTTTTTGCCTCACATCACAAAAATGCAATAACCTCCACGTGGAAGATTTCACCTAAGCAGTTTAGTTGGTACCCCCGTAGTCTGTGTACCAGATTGGGGTTAGGCCATAACTTTATTCCGACTTTCCTAATTCTAGTTCTATTACGAGTTCGGGGGTTGTGTGTGTGTTAGCAAAGTGAATATATCCTGTGCCTATGGGTTTCTGTCTCTTTATACAACTTGATGTAGAGTAGGCGAACAATATTAGTTACCTCCATATTGGTATATGCACTTATGGAGCGCTTTTCAGTTCTATTTATATGTACAGCTCGGATACTTCGGAACCACGCCACGCAGTGATATTGAGATCGCTACGCAAAATACTTAAGGCGATAAAACAAAGCCAAATACAGGAAAACGGGGAAGCGATATCGATAAGCCATCTTGGTTAATGTTTTGTGGTCGTTTTGATACATTGGCCATATTATTAACCACAATTTTCGCCAATTTATAAACTGCCAAAATTAGCGCCGTAGGGTGGGCTGGGATATACTAGCGTTTGATACATAATGAGAAGCGAATCAAGATCAGGCGAATATGCGAGAAAAATCGACGCAAATGATTGATTTCTGCCAAATCCCATAAGAAATGCACTACGCGCTTTGGAAAAGTTGGATGTCTATCGTCAAAACGAGAGAGCCTTCAAATGGTCCCACGGAAACGTGAGAGAAGCGCATTCTATTTATATATCTCTGTGGTGTGGCGTTATTGATGATTTTAATATTTCAAGTTTTCGTTTAGAATTACGTCAACACATCGGTTTTCGAGAACTTCATGTTCGCAACGATTGATGCAAATGAAGAGGAAGGATGATTGACAGATTTCATCGGCAGTGAAGACAAAATTAATTTTCAATCCTTTGTTCATTTTGTTCCGCACCACGGCTGCGGAAAATTCCCACACGCAAATATGTTCCGGGAATCATCGATTTGAGTTACTGGACCTCATAACCAGTTCTGATGTACATTTTGTGTGATAACAACCAGTTTATGAACAAATATTATTTGTGAAAATCAGTCGTGGAGTGGTTCACGTGACTGCCGGTTGGTTAGGAATCCCTCATTAACAATAATCTTAATTTATATTCGACTTTAAATATAACTGAATTAGAATGTGTGATTTGTTATTATATTCAAGTGGTTTTCATACCTTTTAAGCCGCGTCCTCCTTTGTCAAGTCTCGCGCCCCATCTCAAAAGTAACTGACAAACAGTATGTTACAAATAACAGATATTAAGGCGAAAGTATGTTTTATTCAATAAGTCGTTGAAAATACATGGATGGGTTGGTCTTAACAAAGAAAAAAAATGTAAATGTCCAAAATAAGGCTGGCAAAATCAAATCAAACAAATCTTTTTATTTCTGATTAGCATAATGTCTCTTTAAAAATTGTCTACGCATCCTTGTGGGGCGCGCCCCACTGTTCGAGAACCGCGTGTATATTCGTTTTCTTGACCCAAGTAACATTCAAATTTAGGTCGATTTTTTGGTACTCTCGAAGTATGTGAACCAAGATGGCGAATACCGGAACGTAGTATGTGTACCAGGTTATGGTTAGGCCATAATTTCAGGCACAAATATGGGAGTCACTGGCTAATCCCCGAATTCGTAATAGAGATAAAATATGGAAAATTGGAAAAAATTATGGCCTAACCCTAACCTGGTACACATACTACGTTCCGGTGTCCACCATCTTGGTTCACATACTTCGGGAGTACGGATTTCTCTTTATTCTTTTCATATTTTTACGTCATTAAATCAAAGCGCGGGTGTGATTTTCTAACGTTTTATGAATATTCGGGATTTTTCATTTAGAGATATTATTGATCTTTTTGTTAGTGGCGATCGTCTGGAAATCATAAATCCATTGCATTTGATTGTTTTCAATGCTACTTTGACATTTATTCATTGGTTGGTTCTGGTCAAAATCGTCGAATATGCAACATAAAAAAATTTTCAACTTATGAATATTTTGCTCTTAATTTGAAACTACGGATACTGCTGGTCAGACCGTAGAAGACTGGTCGTGATTGAATGGACTTGATTCATTTACCTGCAATGTTATTTCAAATAGAATCATCCTTATCACCTTTGCTTTGTTTCCTCATTTTTCTCCAAAGTTTGCAAATAAAAATGTTTGTCTCAGTTTGCTTGTATCCCAGAACATTACCGTAGATCATAGCATAAGACTTACAAATAGTAGTTATGCCTTGTATAAGATCCCCACTTCAGAGCGTAAGAATTGTTCAAGACAAAAAGATATTCTCATGGCAACGAACAAGAGTACCGTGTTGAAGCTGAGAGTAGAATATGCCCTAAACAAGGGTTTTAGGAATGCTTGGAGTGAACATCAAACTTATGTGGTTCGCTGTAAAGCAGGTGTCGCAACCTTTTGTCGCTCGCGGGCTAAAATTAAGAGTAGCAAGTCATTGGCTGGCCGCCAATATTTTCAAGAAGCTAAAAACCGAACGAATGGCTGAAGGATCACATTTTTCCCACAGATCAGAAGATAAATTTAAAGCAACGCCCGCTCCTTGACTCAACTTGATCGTCTTACTTGTAGAAAAAACGTATAAATGACATTTATTGTGACACTTTTTGTTGCATCATGTTTTCTTAATAGGACACTGGATGAAGCAAAAAATAAAACATTTTCGAAATGGAAATCATTAATCCGAGTTCACAACTTGTTCTTTTTAATGTTCATTTTCGGAAACAATAGATCCCATGCATATGTACTTCAAAATATCGAAGTGAATTTTTTTCGCATGACTTGCCAAATTTGAATAGAGTTTTATATGAAGAAGGTACTTTTTATAATAAAAATCAAGCAGCGATAAATCTTTCAAATGAAATATATTTATTTTATTTTTATTTCCACATTGCATTGCATATCAAAATATCCTATTTGAAGATTTTCTGCGCCATTGAACCCTTTGCACTTAGCATAAACTTTTCTCCGTTTTGTTGCCATTTGTGTAATTATAATTAAGTAATAGGACCATGAATCATATACATGTTAGGACCAGTTATAATATAATTTAGTCTACACGTATCTAACAATAAATTCTGTTACGTAAAAAATATAACCGTAAAAACAGGTACTGCTCTAAAATACCACGGCAATTAGTTGACATTAAAATATGAGATGAACTGGTTGTTATTTAGTTTAGATACGTATTTTAGCGACATTGCGTATTTGTTATCTCCGTGAGAAAAATCTCAAGATCTGATATAAAAATTATATAATATATTTATATAGAAAATATATTCTTGAACCTAATTTGCCCCCCCCCCCATTTTAAATATTTTGAAAGAATGAATAAAAGGCTACTAACGAACATGATTGCACTCAATTGTTTTCGCCGGCATCACATGTTATTTAGCCGTCAGAGCCGTCAACGTCTGAAACCAACAACAATAGAACGGGGGCAAAAATTAGAAAAAACTGTGACTTAAGCTTAGTTTTGACCCCGGATCATTCAAATTCTCTGGTCGTTATTTTATTTTGGATATATTATATCACAAATTGGCTTTTAAATAAATTTCTTGGATCAAGCGCCAAGTTGATGGTGTTAAATCTCAACAATCCCGGTAATACCATCTAATAGGTAAAGGGAATGATGAGATGAAGTTTACCACAGCACATAGTATAAACAATGGTGATCTCTTTTAAAAAGAAAAAATAAATCAAATTTCCGTCGACATAGTCTGGGCATGAAGGCATTGTGCTGAATCCCAGTTATGTTGTCCTGGTCCGTGAAATGAAAAAAATAAAAATAAAATGAAAAAAGGCTTATGGAATAGGCCTACTGAAATCACAAATTGATATTCATTCTACTCACAGTCATACAGACACGCTGCAGGCATCGTACAGATGAATAATATCAATATGCGGAACTCTAAAAATAATGTAACCAAACAAATTGAACACTTGACAGTTACAAATAATTTTGATTGTTAAATGTATGGGGCAGGATTGTCAGAAAAATTGAATCATCGGTCAAAATTTTTAAATAGTTGAAAAGTCTTGAAGAAATCAGACTGTGGCGCACAATCTGAATCCTAACCTGGTTCAACATACTATGTTCAGATTGTGCGCCATCTTGGTGCACATACTTCAGGAGGTCCCAAATTTTACCCTCTAGTTTCCTTGGTGTTCCGCGAGAAGAGATAAAATAAGTAGGTGTTTGTTTGAGTTTAAGAAACAGAAATCTATGTTATTCAAGAGTCTTGCTGCACTCTGACACAAATGCATTTCTATATTTCAGCCAAGACCGACTACTTATTTATTTACGATCTTGCTCTGGTGCATTCGTATGCGTAATACTCGAATTCTAAAAAAAGTCGCGGAACTTATAATAACCATGCATTGTTTTTACAGTATTTACTTTGTATCTAAGCATTTAGTTGCGTTGTCAAAGCTTTCTGGAAACAAACATGGACTTCGTCAAAATATTTCTCTTTATCTCTTTCATCTGTGGCTTGCTTGCGGAACAATCAGTAGGCTACCGGGTAAGATTTGATTCGAATACGATTAATCTCTAAATCAGGGGTAGGCAACCATACCGCCCGCGGGCCGCATTCGGCCCGGGGAGTAATATAATCCGGCCCGCGACGCTTCATTCAATTATAGTAACAAAATAGCTGTTTTGGTGATTATATACTTTACGTAACATAATTTATTGTGAGACACGTGTAGACTAAACTATATTGTAACCTAACTAGTATATAATTCATAATTACCGTTTAATAAACCTATGATTTAATTATAATTAGAGATGGCAACAAAACGCAGAAAAGTTGATGCTAAGTGAAAAGGGTTCAATGGCGCCGAAAATATTCATATGGAATTTTTTTGTGATGCAATGCAATGAGAAAATAAATATGTATTCTATTCGACGGATTTATCACCGTTTGATTTTTATTATAAAAAGTATCATCCGTTTAGTTTTCAACTGTCTAAAAGTATGTGCGGCCCGCCAATGACTAGAATGACTCGAGTACAAAATCGAGTCAGTTATTACTCCGTTAAGATCTACTGGCTGTTGGCTAATTACGAGTAATTCACTTCAGTCGCTTCGGATGTGCAAGAAATATTGGGTCGAGTCTCAAGCCAAGTCGAATCGTGAGAATCTTGAGTCAAGTTAGGGTCGGATGTCGAGTCAGCTAGGATTTCGAGTCAAGTTCGAGTTGTTTCAGTCAAATTATTCAAGTCAATTCGAGCCTAAGACAAATGGCGAGTCAAGTCACGCGGGTACCCGAGTCGGATCACGTATGATCACGCATGATCGAGTCAAGTTTAGTCCGATGTCGAGTCACGCAGGGAATCAAGTCAAGTTCATGTTATTGAAATCAGTTTACTCGAGTCCATGTCATGACTCGAGCTCCTCCAATGCTGACGTGTCCATGTATTTAGGCATTAATCTTTTGTTTTCAGATGAATGTGGCATCACATACAATCCTACCAAATGCTTCCGAGGAGTTGTGTATGATGCGAATAACATCACTTTCAGCGTTGCAGAATCAATCTGCAAGTCAATAAACGGAAAAACCGGCGAAAATTTACGACCTCGATCATTGCCAAGAGTTGCAGTCTCATATTCGCTCACTCATACCTGCTAGTCGATCGTTCCTTTCCGTCTGGACAGGGATGGAGTATAAGGTCAGTTTGAAATTTAGCAATCTTAAATCCTGCCGTACTTTGTCAATGGTCATTAGCAAAAATTTTCATTTTCACCTAAAACAGTGGTTCTACATCTTTTTTTAAAACTCATTGTTCTCCCCTCCCTATGCATAAAACTACGTTATTTGTTCAATTCTCGATGAATACTTTGCTAGTGTTATTCGAAAGTCACACTCTCGTTTTTGTGCAGTCTAAGTAGTTTATTATGTGTTCGTAGAGAAGTATTATAATAGGCTCGGGTTCCAAATAGCGACTGTAAAATGGCGACTTCAAAATAACGACGGTAACAAGTGAGCGACTGTCAAAACAGCGACTGTCATAATGGCGACCGCATTAAAAAAGCGACTGTTATGATAGCGTTAGGGTCAGTCCAAATAAATGTTGTTTTAAAGTCTCTTTTGGTTTCAATCATTCACTACGCAGTGTTTGCCTGTTTGTGCGTACATACGTGTGTAGGTAGGTCCCTAACCCAAACTCTAACACGAGTTAAGTCGCTATCATAACAGTCGCTGTTTTAATGTGGGCGCCATTAGGACAGTCGCTGTTTTGACATTAGCTCACTTGATTACGTCGCTTTTATGAAGTCGTCATTATGACAGTCGCTGTTTTGACAGTCGCTCACTTGAAAACGTCGTTATTATGAAGACGCCATTATGGCAGTCGCTGATTTGACAGTCGCTATCAGACCTGGATACCATTATAATAGTATTGAAAAGCTAAAAATATTAGTAAAACTACAGAGAAATCAAAGCAAAATTCCTCCCTGGCTTGGAAACGTTGATCTGATATGTCAGTTGCATTTTGAGCAACAGATTTTGATCATGTTTTTTTTATTGTTACAGAACAATCAGCTTTTGCTGTCCAATGGTGAATTGAGCAATATAGACAATTGGCTTTGGAGTTTTCCGTACGACGAACCATCCCGCACAAACGTTGCTTTTCGTGTCGAAAAAGATCCTACGTATCAGGGGGGAATAGGCAATGATCCTTCATTCATGCCATTAGTCGGTGTCATTTGTGAAATATAAAACCAGCTCCAAACCTGACAGAACTTCGTTGACGGACTGAATGATATGAACGACAAAGTGTTGAATTCTTAGTTTATTATCGTATTTTACGTCTCTTGTGGCACATCGTCAGCAAATTTCTTAGATTCGGGTTTTGTTCATACATCATCGAACTATGGCTGTTTCCCCGACCTTCGACCCCTCAAAAACTCTCGATTTACTTTATTATTGCAAAATTTTCAACGCGGATTTTGAGAGTGTTTTTTCAAACTGCCTCACATGTTCAAAACCACCATTTTTATTTAATAAACCATGTGCTGATAGCCATTCTCAATACCCTTTATCGCAACTTTTGCGGTATAAATTTTTGATTGTTGTAACTAAACTAAGGAAGACATGATGACAATTAAGTTACTATTTTTTTGGTACACAATTAACTAAAAACCAAAAAATAACTCGCACCCTACCAAAAAGAGACAATGTTTGCTACCACAACTGAATACTTGCCTGAACAGCTGCAGAATTTACATTAGTTACGTCATCGTTGACCTTTTGTTGATTGGTCATTGTTACAAAAATAAAAAAAAATAAATCGATGCTCGGAGAACGGATCGGTTTCTAAGGAGTATCGGTTACCGTACAAACCTTATTTAACCAAATAACTCAATATTTTTATGGCGGTTTTATTCAAAGAAAACCTAAAACGGTTGTTTGTTCATGAAACAATAGTACCGGTTCTGGTTTTGAGTTTAGAAAATAAAGCACTGCCTGATCCATACATTAGACGCACCCACTTGTAAGACGAACGATCATTTTTTGTTTCAAAGAGTGCTTATGATCTGTAAAATAAGGTAGTTATATTATTTCTTTACTATCATTAACCATATAACCCATCACTTGAATTGGTCCTGTTGTGTATTGAAACTTTTGCTCATAAAATAAAATGCATAGCTGTCTCCATGTGATTTCTGTATATAACCAAGATTGATAATAAACATTGATTCGATAATTTGTGAGTTTTTGTTGTTATTGCTTGTCAGTTTATGGGAATCAGACAAAATAGGCAGTCAACCGTGAAATATAAATTACTCATGCGTGAAAGTGACCACGCCTACCAGATGTATGATTATCTAGGGTTAGAGCTGGTATATTACTGAGAGTATAAAAATTGATTCGATAATTTGTAAGTTTTTTTGGGTATTGCTTCGTCAGTTGATGGGAAGCAGACAAAAAGGCAGTCGATCGTGAAATAGAAATTACTCATGCGTAAAAGTGACCACGCCTACCATATGTATGATTATCTCGGGCTGGTATATTACTGAGAGAATGAAAATTGATTCGATAATTTGTAATTTTTTTGGGGGTTTTGCTTTGTCAGTTTATGCCTACCATATGTATGATTATCTCGGGTCATTGGCGCAGCCACTGAGGGGAGTCGGGGTCGAAACCCTCCTTTTGAGTTTTTTTTGAAAACTGAAAAAGTCGCCAATAACGCGTGCAATTGCCTTCTGCTAAAATCGCCTAATTTTATCATCTGACGTGATTTTTAGAACGTAAACGCCTTTTTATTGGTGCTCATTGTCTCTAAATCACAAATTTTCCACAAATTTGTGCCACGATAACGATGATAATTTTTTTGTACTCGCACGGAATTGTGCCTCCGGTGGAAGTTATTATACCTTCATCGACGGCGAGATTTTAATGACAAATTAATGAGTAAATCCGCGGCCAAATTTTTTTGATTGAAAAGCCGCAATATAACATACTGGAAATAAAACCGTGAACAATATAAGTTTTGTTGAGGCCGTAACAGACTAAAAATTATTTTCTAGGCATTGAAAATCGCAAAATTTCATGTGCCTACGGCATTCTTCACGTTTGGTCGGTGTTTAGAAACATATCGTCACTAAAATCGAAACAAGGTGAATTGTGGGCGGGAATTACCTTTCCTATCCATTACTTTAAAAATGACGTCAAAAATGTTCCTGTTAACCTTAAACAAGGTTTAGACGCGCAGATTTCTTATGATGTATAAGATAATTAATCTAAAGTATATTCAACCAATTTTTATTGTGCTGGAATAAAACTTAATCGTGAGATTTTACAGCAGATTTACGGATTTTTTGAAACGTTTTATTTTTAAAAATAATCGGAGTGGCAGCATTGCGATTGAGTGGAGTCAGTGTTAAAAGTACATCTCAAATTTTTCGAATTCGCAAAAAAGAAAAAAAACACGGATCAAAACAATATATAATAGGGCAGTTTACCACACATTTTATGTCCGCGGAATGCCGTGGCATTTTAGAGTGGCTCTTGTTTTGTCGACGCAACCGCAGTTTAAATTGAAGACAATTAAATTAACAAAGCAAGACATTTTAAATATGCCCATACCGGTCATGGATTGATTACTTTGCACAGCAGAAAAATCATTTTTCGTCGAAAAAGTCGTCTTTTTTAACAAGTGACGTATCGCGGCGACTGTTCGGCGTGGATTTCGAGTCGGTGAACATGTAGGCTATTTTTGATTTACTGATATAACCTACTTTATATGTATTTTCATTGTATGAAGTAAAATTGTTGGAATTTTATATCAGATATTGAGATTTTTCTAACGGCGATGACGAGTTTGCAAGATTGCGAAAATGCGTATAAAAATTAAATACATCAGGCAGCGTATCTCATATGTTCATGTCAACAGATCGCCATTGTTATATTATTGTAGGGATGTTTTTATTTAGACGCAAGAAGTCGCAACCGCTAGATACTTTGGACACAATTAAATTAATATATAATAGAAATGTTTTTATTATGACTTAAGAAGTCGCAACGGCGAGTTTCGTTGGACACAATAAATTAATATAGAGGGACATTTCATAAATCTCGTAATTGTCAAGGATTGAATATTTTACACGACAGAAAATTATCATACACTGAAAAGGCGGCTCTTTTCACGAGCGCGTAATCGCCGTGACTGTTACAGACGGCAATGAGAATTTCCGATTTTGACCCCCCCCCCCCCCTTTTTAAAAGTCTGACTGACTGCGCGCCTGTCTCGGGTTGTGGCTGGGTATATTACTGAGAGAATCTCAAATTTCCTTGCATTAGTGACGGAGGCTTTGTAAAAAAGATCCCACATTTTGACACTGTTTATTTCAGTTGTTCTCAAACTGTAGGTCCGACCGACAAAGAGACGTAGACAATTTTTTGATGGGGTGTGAAGCTAATTGAAAATGAAAATATTGTTAGATATTGCCCGCCTTATTTTGGATACTTACATTTCTTTATTGTTTAAAGATCGCGATTCCATCCACGTATTTTCAACGTGTTTTTTTCTAGTCTAGTCTAGTTCGCCTATATAGCCTAGTTAAATTCGCCTAGTTTTTTTCGATATTACACCCTAGGATGTCGCTGCTCGGGAACCAGCTTTGGTTTTCCACAGCTTCCCTTCCCCAATTGAAATGTGTAATTTTTTTCCTTTTCGTATTTTGTGTAAAACTCACCTTTTTTTCGACTGGACTTGACTTGGAGATCCCAAGAAAAAACTTAAGATAATATTGAATCTTCCACCATCCTGAAAAAGAAATCCTGGTGTCAACTGTGAAATATGAAAACCAGCTCAAAATCTCACAGAACTTCTACGACGAAGTTAAAACTTGCTCTTTCTGTGGCGGTTCTGCGATCGCGATTTGGTGGTGACGCGAAGTCGTGTGCTGTCTAATGTAAAAGATCAGATACCCGTTAGTAAGCTTTAGAGTATTTGGTTGTATTAAGTTTGCAGATATAGCTGAATAATGTTAAATTAATAGCTGTAATATAATACTCTTATGTGGAATGTGAAATCGTGTAGAACAGTAGATGCTCAATTGATCCCAGAACATCGGTTTCGATCTGCTACTTTGGGACTCTAAAGATGTCGACAACAAGGTCCAGCGCTGTTCCTCCTGATCCCCCTAAGCGCAAGAGTCCGACTGAGCGTCAAGCTACTGACTCTTCTGCAGTAGCCAAAGCAACATCTCTGACTTGGTCACTGTACTAGAGAGCACAATTCTCAAAACTCTAAGACTCGAAATACCGGCAATAATCGAACAACACCTGGAAAAACTTGCTTTTGAGATCTCCTCAACTACTCCTACCAGCATTGGCATCCAGGAATTCTTATCATCCTTGGATGAATCATTGAAGGAAGTAAAAACTCAATTATCCTTTTTCAGTCTGATCAAAGATGAAATAGCTGAGATAAAAAAAGGCCAAGATTTTATTTCGAAACAATTTGACGAACTGAATGCCAATTACAGAGAACTAAACAAAATCACATCTAAGAGCAATCAAAAATTTCGAGAACTTGAACAAATAGTCGACGAGTTAGAAGATGAACTGGATATACTGACAGAGCGACAACAAGATCAGGAACGCAGATCCAGGCTTGTTAACCTAGAATTTCACAGCATCCCGTACTCATCAGGTGAAGACTGTGAAGATATAATAACAAAGGTAACAGCAAAGATCAATATACAACTGCAACCATATGACATCTCTAATTGCCATCGGATGTCAAAAAACAACAAGTTGAAACCTTCACCAATTATAGTACAACTCATCAATAGAAAAACCAGGTTTCAAATATTAAAAAATCGACGTCACCTCAGAACTGCCAACCTTCAAGAGATTTTTCCTCGTTATTCTCCATCAACAAAAATTTTCGTGGTTGAAAACCTGACAGATACAAACGAGGATTTATTTTTTAAAGCTAAAGACCTCAAGAACAATTGTGGTTACAAATATTTGTGGACCCACAATGGAAAAGTACTAATAAAAAAGAACGACATGACAAGCACCATTCCTATTATAACTGAAGATGACCTTCCACTAATCAAGTAGGTCACTCAATTGTATGTTTTATACATCTACATTGTAAGGTACAACTAATATGTATTGTCCTTATGTGTACTAATCTATTTATACTTTCTATAATCACACATTTCACTTATACTCTCTTGCTAATAATTTTCAATTCCGATCATGGCCAAGGGTGACCCTTAATTAGTACCTTCTATTGACACTGCTGCTTGCTTCGATATAGAAGTTCCAAATTTGAATTCCATTCAATCCTTATCTGATTTATTTATTTTTCACATGAATATTCGTTCCCTGGAAAAAATATTGACCATTTGATCACACTTTTATCAAATTTAACATCCTCTCCACATATAATTGCAATAACCGAATCAAAGTTATCCAATAACTATGTTTCTAACATTGCAATTGATGGCTATAGTTTTATTCATATGCCATCTTTCACTAAAGCAGGTGGTGTTGGTGCATTTATTAGGAATGACCTAGCATTTACTGAAATTTCGAATTACAACCTTAACTATCCTAATTGTGAAAATATATGGTTGGAGATTAGTTTGGCCAACACTGTCAAAAGATTAGTCATCGGCATAATCTATAAACACCCCCGTAATGATATTCCTTGCTTTACTGACATATTTGAATCAACTCTGTCTAAATTGGCTAATAAACATTTTTTGATATTAGGAGATTTTAATATCAATTTACTTTCAACATCAACTAATATCCAAATTGGAAATTATGTCAATATGCTTAATTCCCATAATGCTATTTCTCTAATAAACAAGCCAAGCCAATAAACTTAACAAGAAGTAGTAATACATCAGCGACTCTTATTGACCATATATATAATAATATGACAAACTTACAATTCAATTCCTATGTTATACTGTCAGATATCTCTGTCCATTTCCCAATCATGTGCTGTATTAATGGCATAAAACCAACTTACTCAAATGACTGCATAATGTTAAGGGATATGTCCTCTTTTTCGACCGACTCCTTTCGTATAGATGCACAGTGCATTAATAACCAGTTTACCAGAATGCAACTAAATACTCAAAACTTTGATATTTTGTTTGATGAATTCATTCAGTCACTTGTTGACTTGATTGACCGCCATGTCCCTCTACGTCCACTCTCACGACGTCAGAAAAGATTACACCTAAAACCATGGATAACTAAAGGGATAACTAAATCCCACTTTTTGGAGGGTACCAATTCCCAGCGCTCATATTTCAGAAAATACAGAAATATTTTGACGAAAGCTGTAGATAAATCCAAACAAATTTATAACCAAAATTTGATTGCCCAAAACAGAGGTGATCCTAGGTCATCTTGGAAAATTGTCAACCAAATTACCCATACTAAAAATACATCTAAACAAAAAATCGAGGAAATTCTTTCTGCAAACGGCCGAACCCTAAAAGATGGTCATTTGATTGCAACTGAATTTAACAAATATATCTCCACAATTGGCTCTGACCTCTCAGACAAATTTTCAAGTGAAATGAACAGCTGTAAGTCTTTCCTCCGCAATCGTGTGAGCCAGTCTATTTCCATGAGTTTGTCCACTACTAATGAAATGATGATAGAATTATCAAATTTGAAAGACAGGAAGGCAGTAGGTCCTGATAACATTCCAGCACGCTTCCTTAAATTAGTTGCTGATCTCATCTCACCTTGTTTGGCAGAATTTTTTAAATGCTCCCTGTCATTGGGCTTCTTTCCATCATCTCTCAAAGTTGATCGGGTGATCCCACTGTTCAAATTTGGCAATAAAAAGAATGTGTCAAATTATAGACCAATATCAATCCTTTCAGCAATTGATAAAATATTTGAGCGCTTGATCCATAAAAGACTTGTGGGTTTTTTAACCAAACATGATGTAATAAATAAATTTCAATTCGGTTCTCAGAACAATCATTCCACATCGCATGCCATTTTGGATACAATCTCATATATTTTTGATAAATTAGAAAGAAAAGAGTTCATTAGTGCAACTCTTTTAGATCTAAAGAAGGCCTTCGATAACGTAAATCATAACATTCTGGTTTTTAAGCTGAGTCATTACGGTATTAGGGGTATAGCAAATAAGCTCATTTCTAGCTATTAAAGTGGAAGATCACAGTATGTTCAAGTAGGAACATATTGTTCGCTTCCCTTACCAGTGACTCTCGGAGTTCCTCAGGGAAGCTGTTTGGGCCCGTTACTATTTTTAGTTTACATTAACGACATAACACATTGCTCTTCGCTATTTTTCAAATTGTTTGCCGATGACACCAATCTCCTAGACAGTGATAAATCCTGCGCAGCCCTCCAATTGAGGGGGAACACTGGAACTTCAAAAGTAGCAAATTGGATGAGGGCCAACAAATTAACAATAAACATTAATAAATCAAAGACAATGTTAATATCTCCATATAGAAGCAACTCTCAAAATGATCTGACCATCAGAATTGATGGTATGATACTTGAAAATGTCAACTCCTATAAATATCTGGGTTTATATATAGACAACAAATTGAAGTGGGATATTCAAATAGGCAATCTAGATGTTAAATTATCCAAATCAGTTGAAATATTATATAAGCTTCGACATTTTACATCCCTAACCACTTTACGTATGATATACTACTCTTTATTTCAATCCCATATTGAATATGGCATAGTGGCATGGGGTTCAGCGAATAAGACCTTATTGCAACGCATCGAAATTTTACAGAATCGAGAAATCCGCGCCATTTCAAATGTTGGTTACCGCACTCATCTTAGTCCAATTTACCATAGCCTTCATATCATTAAAATAGTAGATGTATATAAAATCGAAGTGTTGAAATTAATGCACCAACACCACAACAAAAAACTACCTCTAGCATTCACCAACTATTTCGCGAAGCAGAGTGATAGGCACTCATATGGTACACGGTCCTCTGCCAGGTGCTCCTATTATGTTACTCGATATTCCAACAAACTTACGCAAAACTCAATCAAATCTGTTGGTGTCAAATTATGGAATTCGCTTCCTGACAGTACTCGAACAATGAATTATAATTTGTACAAGCATGCCTTAAAAACTTTATATCTTGATTCTTACCAGTAGTCTAAAGAGACATTCTTGTGATGTGTCTGAAATATCATTTTACATACACTTTATCCATCTGCCGGTATGTTCTATCATATTACTGCATCCTCATTCTGTCATTCCGGCATTCAGGAAGTTGTGCATCATTTACTCTGCTGTTATCTGATTCATGCTTGGTATTGTCTATTTCTGTCTACTCATCATGTGACATCAGCTAAATGCATAAATATTTCCTATTCTCAAGTATACTATTGAGGCAATAAGTTAATTTGTCTGTCGATCGCTCTCATAACAAGTAACGACCATCGTTGCTGGGCAGCAGCGTCATTTCTTATGCCTAGTCATATTCATCAGCAAAGTTATGCTGTGCTTGCACTCATCGGGCATATCCTATTCTCTAGATGTCGCTAATGCGCCATCTATATGAAATATATTACAAAGTTTTTTCTCACGGTTCTGTTACATTTTTATCATTGTGTTTCTTAGATTAAGTTAAAAAAAATGTTTTTCTCCTGTATTTGCTGCTTAAACTTATCAAAAAGATGTCGCTGACTGGATGACTCACCGAGTCTTTCGCGACCCCTCATCAATTGCTAGATTCAATGTCTTTCGTTTTTTTGTTATTTTTATGTGTGTTTATTATTTTGCATTGTTTCTTGCACGATGAAAATAAATATCTGAATCTGAATCTTCAGCTGTCGTGTTCATCGCTTTAAGACTAATCAATCGTAAATAGAAAATTACTCATGCGTGAAAGTTACCACGCCAACCATAGTTATGAGCATCTTGGGTAAGAAAGAGACCAATTAACAAAAAACATTGCGCATAATAAAGACGCACTCACCCAAAAGTAAAGAAGACTCGACTCTGAGTAAGGTTACGGGCACTCGCTTAGAAGTACAGGAGACTCATATCTGAGCAAAATTACGGCTACTCACCCAGAAGTAAAGGATACTCATCTCTGAGCAAAGTTATGTGCACTCACTCAGAAGTAAAGGAGACTCATTTCTGAGCAAAGTTTTGGACACTCACTCAGAAGTATAGGAGACTCATCTCTGAGCAAAGTAACGGGCACTCATTTGGAAGTAAAGGAGACTCATTTCTGAGCAAAATTACGGGTACTCACACAGAAGTAAAGAAGACTCATCTCTGATCAAAGTTACGGGTACTCACCCAGAAGTAAAGGAGACTCATCTCTGAGCAAAGTTACGGGAACTCACTCAGAAGTAAAAGAGACTCATCTCTGAGCAAAGTTACGGGCACTCACTCAGAAGTAAAGAAGTCTCATCTCTGAGCAAAGTTACGAGCACTCACTCAGAAGTAAAGGAGACTCATCTCTGAGCAAAGGTACGGGCACTCACTCAGAAGTAAAGAAGTCTCATCTCTGAGCAAAGTTACGAGCACTCACTCAGAAGTAAAGAAAATTATCTCTGAGCAAAGTAGTAAGTAAAAAAACTAGTTGACGTAACGTTTTCCATTTTATACAAACTAAAACCACGTGTTGCAATGATGGACTGTTCTATGTATGCTGCGTTTGGTGCTATATGTTTGAATTTGTTACTCAGATAAACTGTCACACGTATTTCTACCTATTAAAACAAAACGTTTTGATGTTCTCCCGTTTTAAATTATTATTTGTGTGCTCGTTGATGATCTTCATACGTTTTTGCGAGGAAATTAAAATAATTATTATTATCCGAGATAATGACTGGAAAGGCGAAACCATATTTCTCATTTTCCTAACGCCAGTCATTAGGGGTTGGTTTGGCTTGGACCTGAATAATACCATAATGAATGTTGTCAAAAGGTTTTTCCACTTATAGGTTAGGACAGAGATTGGTAATTTACTTTACAGTCAACAGGTTGATAAACTTCGGAACACTGGCCATATGTGATTGTAATAACATTGCGTGTAAATCCCTGTGGTCGGTTGCATGGCCATACTTGATCGTGTATATTCCAACTAACAATGCGTCTCCAATGAAGGTATCAGATTCCATTACTTCACCGACAATATCCGTTTGGGCGAATATTCGAGTGCAGTACAGCATGATTGATGGCGCGATGGTGTTGTATATGTATAGTAACGCATAGTGTATGAATTTCGTGAACACTTAGATAGTTTTTATGTTTCAGATGAGTCGTGAGTTTTAAAACTACGGTTGAATTGTTAGCGAGACAGGTTTTTGCAGATTTCAGGGCGAATCGAACTTCGGGCGTAAGTTTCGACAAAACCTCGTTGAAATGTCTAAAGTTTGTGGTGGCGAAAATTGGAATTATATGAACGTATACTGCCTAAATGTTTAAGATATACTTTTAGATCAGTTTACTAAAACGAGAGATCTGAAATTACTTTTTGACGTAACATGACATTTTCGATGTCTTAGACCAGGGGTTCTCAAACTTTTGGTGTTGCGGAGCCCTTGAAAAGTTGAATTTTATTATTATTATAGAATATTAAGAGTAATCGAATAGCTCGCGGAGCCCCTGGGTTTCTCTCGCGGAGCCCTGGGGCTCCGTACGGAGCACTTTGATAACCTATGTCTTAGACTATGCAATCGTAAACATTTGTATTTTATTGCAGGAATGGACCTATAGATCGTTATCATGTTATTAATACCTTCATGCTGTTGAGATAAATATCACTTTACCCTGTATCTATACTTGAATAATCGCTTTCAAATCTTTGGAGTCAGAATAAGCTTCTTTGTGTCTCCCGTGGCTGTCGTTTTTGCCCCATGTCTAGTGATATATCAAACTTCTCCGGCAACTGATTTATTGTTCTTCAATTATAGCCTAACTCTATTGTAAGTGTCTTAAGTATCGTCTTGTGGTAATCCCTAGCATAAGGGGCCACGGCGGCGCTTTCAACTGTCCTCATTATTCAATTCACGGTATTAAGACAGTCTGCAATTATAGCGATAACTTTTAAGATAGGATGGGAGTTACATATTTATCCCTGGGGGAGAGAAAAGTCGATTAGACGGTCCAGTTATAAGGCGAACGACGCGAATGGATAACCAGTTATCTGTTTCAGATGCATGAACGTGATGGCGGAGGAAGCCCTAAGATGGAGATGAGTCCATCAGTCCTCTTGCACATATTTATCTCCCCATGGGGTAAAATGATCACGACTGTTAGTGGCATTTGTTGGAATTTGTTTAACGCGCTGCGTTAAGATCTGCATTTAATACTTTGACACGTTATCGGTTTTCATAGAAATCTTAACTTCCGTCATATCTCAAATCTATTTCCTCATATGAGTTGAGTCATTTCCTACGTCATAGCGAGGGACAACGCCCGTGCTTACTTCAGGCTATAGCAGGCAGTGGAATAGATAAATGTTGGATTATTCGAACTTGCGTAGTAACAATCTTCGAGGTTTGGGCGCGTTCGGCATGGGTTAGGAATTAGGGGTTGAAAGTGAAAGCTTATATAAACGTCTGGCACAAAGCTATAATGATCTTGCAGCAATGCGAGAGGCAAGATGTTTTTTTTATGTAATTTTTAGTTTTTGAAATATCGATTTACAAGAATGTGGCAGCAAGCTTAGGAACCGTTTGTCCTGTGCAATGGGCGCAAACGTAACCAAATGAAATTAATGATGTAATTTATAATAGATATCTTATGACAATCTCGTGTGCTCGGTTTTCTCAGTCATAATTCTATAATCTGATGACAAATAAGGATTTAAATGGCGGATCAGTGTCAAGATCAACCATCGATTCCAAGTATTACGGGTAAGATATCTTGAATTATAGATGAAATTTCTATCGTTCAGTATGTGAAAGCATTCGTCAATATTTCATAAAAAAATCAGTGTTAACACAAACAATGCCCAATATCAATCCCAATCCCAGTCGATGATATCGAAATATCGTGAACGGCGTCTCAGAAGTAGGGATGGGAAGACTTTTGGAATCTAAATCGGAATCGAATCGTCACTTTTAAAACTCCAATTCGATATCTAGTCGACGCCATTTTGTTCATTCACTAAATCAGGGGTGTGCAACCTGCGGCCCGCGGGCTCAATGTGACCCATAACAAAAACTTGTGCCGCCCGCAAAGAAGTGCCAATTTTGGATGGCGTGCCATCGAAACAAGTTTTAATTTAGTTTAATTTAGTATGCGCATATTATTCCAATACCTTTGCGCTGCAGTTATTAGTATCTGTACCTCCTGTATTAAAGGTCGCACACCCCTGCACTAAAGTACGCCTACGATACGTACTTTATACAACCCAATACAAAAGTCACAACTATGTGATGAAATCTACAAAAACACACTGGTAATAATCACGAGTAGCAAATAGCAACGCGGTATATCAAGCATTCATCTATTGAATGACATTAAAACAGTTCAACGAGCTTGCTTGGCTTCCACTAGTTCCTCTACCTTGGGTTCTGTTTTGGATAACTAAACTCTCAAATCATGTCTCATGTCCATTCCATTTCCACATTTTGTTTTAATTGCGAGTAACGTAGAAAAATCTGCCTCACATTCGTAAGTTGTTGTAAATCGAATGAGCGTTTTTAGGGCCATCTTAGCGACATCGGGATAGGACGGTGGCAGGACGGTGTGTTTTTTACTCCAGAATTTACCACAGCAAAATCAAATTTCACATATGAATCGTTATATCTAAATTTATTTTTTTATGATGGAAGGACATTTTAAATTACCACGAGACAATTCACAATCAGTTGCACACGCCTTTCATAAACAATACGCTCTGATTTGCGGTACTTGCCACGTTTACCAAAGTTTGTTACGTAATAATGTGTTCGGTAGAGCGTGTCGTGTTTTGAATAAACAATGTAAAAGCATGATATCAAAATTTTACTTCAAATCAAACTGCTTCTGTGCCGAGGTAAATTAAAGCTGTCTCGCGGTCCCCCTAAAATCGCTTCGCGGACCCCTAAGCGACCGCGGTCGCCAGTTTGAGAATCAATGAGCTAGCGGGACCGGCCGAACGCCGGAGAACGTGTGTTTTTATGAGTCTTGAGGGTCTAAAAAGCTGGCTACGTGCCTGCTAATGACAAGCACAACTCCTCTATATTTGTCGGATTCTGCAAATTTGAGTGACAGTTGAAAGCATCGAGTCGAATGTTACGAGTCCGTGACGTCATGATGGAAACATAGAAAAACACGTTTCAGAATGTTTAACAACACTGCGCGCTCTTTCACATAAATTCTATTTCGTATTTTATTGCAAAGCGGTGTGGTGAGTAGCTGTTCAACCATTTTGAAAAGCTCGTTTTTATATTTTTTTCTCATGCTTTGTGACCATGATAGATAAAAGAATGCGCTTTCTTAGTGAGGTTGATTTTCAGTCCACGGTATTCGACGTTTTATCACGGCTAAGCTTTTGTAATACATAAACGAATGCCGATTTTCTTGTCCACCGCTTTTCAGTTCACCGACTTTCGTCTTTTAGCACGGCTAACCTTTCGTAACCGCCTAAACTAGAAAATATCGAAATTATAATATGTCAATTTCAAGAAACATATTTTTGGTTTCGATACGTCTCCATGATTGAAGGAAACTGATTGGAGGGTTGCAATACCTGCGAAATGACAGATTTGACGCTCATATAATGTCGTGCATCTGCTTTAAATTTAATAGTTCACGTGAAGCTTTGTAACCTTTGCTTAGTTTGCTTGCTTTTGAGTTAGTCTCTGCATTTGCTCTGATTTGAACTGCTTTTAGACAATTGGGTCGAGTCGCTTTTTTAGTGTTAAGATAATCCTCACGGAGAAACAAAATATTTTAAATTTTTTTAAAAGAACATTTCATTACGTATGCATGTATGCAACAAGAATCTTAGGAGACCGATCACATTGTTTTAACGGTGCTCCAGATGTATTCGTACCAAGATGTCACACAACCTGAAACCAAACCGGTACGCACATACTGAGTTCAGGTTGTGCGCCATCTTAGTGCGCATACTTCTGGGGGTCCGTTTTAACTGATTATTGTTTGTCCCGAGCTTTGTAGAGATGAACGTACATTACGAAGAATTAGGGGTCAGATATTTGTCTTCTGTTCAATGAACTTTGGTTATTCGGAATGAAATTATGAATTATATCAATTTAGTATTGACACATGGCGATATCACACTGCTTAGCCGAAAATTATGGCACACATTATAATGCTGTGCTCGATATCGCGTCTTCATTCACGGAATTAGGTATTTTCGTTCCACTTGAGTTAGCTGGAGAGGTTTCATTAATCGAATTGTATTATTTTGATAGTTATTAACCTTCTAGGAATGCGGAAATAGTAAAGGTGAACAATTAAAAACCCCCAAAGTATTGGAATTCAAAAGGATTCGATAACAGGGTTCGGTTTTATGTCTCCGGTAGTGAGCGCAATTTCAGCATTTTGAGTATTTTATTATTATTATAACTTAGAATAGCATAATCTCTTTACAAGGAATAACAAGTATATATGTAACCTTTCGTTAGATCATAGTCTATTCTTATGCTATTCATATTTATCTTTATAATACTATTTCGTTCAAGGATCATTGTGGCAACACGTACCGATCCGAAGCAGGAAGTGAACAAGAGAAAAGGGCTTGCAGTTCATTCAGTACACAATATCCAATACCCTATGTTTTATAAATCAGAGAGCAAAATTTTGTATTGCGCGCACACACGCACAGATCTCTCGCGCATGATTTTTAGCATTTTCACGAAGCACACACAGACGCGATAAACAGGGGTCACAGAGAGCTCGACGATGGAGAGTATTGCATGCTCTTCGCTTTTTCCTTACAACTTGCGTATTATTATTGATGTCGATTAACGGATTACTTTCCGTTTTACCATTACCGTATTGCAACAATCTTAATTCTTTACGAACAAGTCTTGTTTCTTTTTACATCGAATGAGTTTTTGGGCGTCCAAATTGTAAAAATAAAGTTGTGGACTAGAACCAGACAGTAATTGTTTCAGAAATATATTAGCCAATAATTTGATATCAGCATAACCAGTAAATGCTTCATTGGGGCAATAACTTAGCTCACTCGCTGTAACCTGAAATAATCTACGAAACTTAGTGGTAGGAAATAACCTAACTCAACCTTGGATAATCGGAACTATTTAATAAACAAAAACAAAGAACGAATATTGAATTAGAAAAAAGCTATTATTTTAGAATCAATGAATAGAAAATCATCAACGGGCTTCAATTGATCAAATATCAACTCAATCATAATACAATAAATTTAATGTTAATTATTTTTTTGTCACCACTACCTTACTCAGGGAATAATAAAATGCTGAGTGGCAAAGGTTCTAGCTCTTCCAATTCAACAAGTAGCTCTCTACATACCGGTTTTTATATAGAGCCTTGCCCACCACTTAGTCGTCACCATCAAGTCTGTAAAATGAAATTTTTTGCTACAATTCTGTGACATGTTTGTAAGTCTGTTGTCTGGTTGGCAAAACCCTCTTTCAATTTTCTTTTTCATGCAATATTGCCATATTTTAAAAGATTTGAAACACTAATATTTTAAATATAAAATATTTTTTTTGTACAGAGACGAACATAACTGGCTCTCACATTCAAAAAGTTCAAGCTGAGCAAATTCAAAAAGTTCATGCAGAGAAGGTCGTACAGAATTTAACAAACATTGATGGTAGGTTTGATTCCTCAGGATTTCCAGAGTTGAAAAAATCTAAAGACAAACTATAACCTAATAAATTGTTCGTTATAAAACACAAATTTGAGTTCAGTGGGTGGAAATTCTTAATTGATGAAATTCATACTCAATGAGGTATTCCCAAAGTATGTGTACTAGGTTACGTCATAATTTCAGGTACAACTATTACAGGAATCACTGGCTAGTCCCCAAACTAGTAATATAACTAAAATAAGGATGGCCTAACCCTAACCTGGTACGCATACTACGTTTCGATGTCCGTTCGTTATAATTTTCGTTACTTTTATTAGTCATTGTTTCATCAACATGCTTTCCACCTTTGTAGTTCACATTTGTGGTTTAATATTTGCCAATATTATGTTCCCTTTGCATCTCAAAATGAATTAAATATGTCTTTTTTTACACATAATTCATTTGTTATATTAGTAGTTCCACTGCTGCTGCAGGGAATTCCCCTTGTAGATAACATCGTTATGCTACGTCACGTACGTCTGCAATTTCCTTGTTGTGGGCGTGCTCGCTGGAGCATGACGTTGAGTTGATCTAGTTAGTCAATACTTTATTTACTGAATCTTCCGTTCTCACGTACTTTTTAGTTCCCAAATTGTTTTTAATTATTTATGCTGATTTACTTCTGTATTGTTTGACTTAATCTGCTTCTATAATGGTGTCGCTGACATGATGACTTTTGATAGTCTTTTCGCGACCCCTCGTCCATTGCAGTTCAAATATTATACTTTTTTCTTTCAATGAATTTATTTAATTTTTACCATTTGTTTGAATGTACAATGTTTTTGCTGAATCATCTTAGTTCACATACTTCAGGAGTACCCCGAATGATAATACAGTAAATTCAATGTCAACATTTTTTTTATATAGGTACTGTCCGTTCTTTCATATCACCTTTCCATATGGCCCACTGAGAAGGTTATCCATTAGTAGTACTCTAGGAACTGACCTGACATCATTATTCATCCAATTTGTTCATTTTAACTCTGATTATCTCATTTTGGGGTATTAATAAAAGCTAGATTTCCAGACAAGTATTTGCTCATCTAAAATAAATAAAGAAAACAGCTATGGTGGTTGGGTATTAAAGGATGAGTGTCTTATAAAAATTTGGTTTCAGTGCAGTAAATTACTAATAACCTTAGGCTTTCTTTCTCTTGCAACAAGCTAATTACATCTCTGACTTATTTGGTATCGGGAGCTCCAAAAACTATAAATTCTTGTCTCATAAATTACATTTTTAGATGATTTAAATTAATAAATATCATATTCATTATTTTGATATTCAACTGAACAAATGATACAATATTCAAGTTTATGCACTAACAACTAATTTGAAATTCCAAAATTTTTTGAAAAAATTATTTCTTTTTTACAGAGACAAGCATTACTGACTCCCAGATTCAAAAAGTTCGAGCTGAGCAGATTCATGAAATTCATGCTGAGAAGGTCGTGCAGAGTTTTACGAACATTGATGGTAGGTTGGATTTATCAGGATTTTCAGAGTTTAAATAATATAAATACTGACTATGAACCTACACTTGATTTTAGCAAAGTGTGTGAGGAAAGCAATCTCTTAACATTACTCTTGAAACTGTCTGGTTATTGCCCCACTTTTAATCTTAAGGAAGATTAGTACAAGTTTTAAAAACCCAAATTCGTAATATAACTGAAATAAGGAAAATCGAATTAAAATCACTAATCTGGTACACACACTACGTTCCAGTGTCTAACTTGCCCAGGATAAGCACATAAGTTTGATAGTGAGGCCTCATCTTATCTAACTTGCCCAAAATAAGCACATAAGATTGATGATGAGGCTTTTAACTTATCCAACTTGCCCAGGATAAGCACATAAGTTTGATGGTGAGGCTTTAACCTTTTTAACTTGCCCAGGATAAGCACACAAGTTCGATGGTGAAGCCCTTACCTAACTTGCCCAGGATAAGTAACGTAACCTAAGACAAACAGAACTATCAAACAAAAACTAAAAACTGTTATTAAATTGTACAAGGACTTTATTTATATATATATCAACCAGTTTAATTTTGTGACATGTTTCATGTAGGTTGTTTTCTGGTTGACAACACCTGTCTCTGTTCTTTGTTGGCATTAAGAAAATCTGGGCTTCCAGAAGAATATTTCTTCATCTAAAGTAATTGAGGTAACAACTATGGTGGTTGAGTGTCCAACAAACAATAGTTTTAGCGCATTCATTTACTAATAATCTAAGGCTTTCTTTCTCTTCCAACAAACCATTTATATCTGTAGCTGATTTGGTATTTTGATCTTAAAGAACTATAAATTGTCGTCCATATTGTTGATGACATATTTCATATTCACATTATAATACTTTTACAGAGACAAACATAACTGACTCTCAGATCCAAGAAATTCTAGCTGAGCAGATTCATGAAGTTCATGCTGAAAATGTCGTGCAGAATGTAACGAATATTGATGGTAGGTTTGTTTCCTCAGGATATCTAGGATTAAATGAATTTAAACATTAAATATAAATACAGATTTCTGATTAGCAAATCCCACCTCCAATTTTCTTTTTCATGCAATATTGCCATCTTTTAAAATTTAATTTTCAATTTTAAATAGCAATATTTTTTATGCAAATTATTTCTTCCTGACAGAGATAAACATAACTGACTCTTACATTCAAGAAGTTCGAGCAGAGCAGATTCATGACGTTCATGCTGAGATGGTTGTGAAGAATGTAACAAACATTGATGGTAGGTTCGATTCCTCAGGATTTCCGGAGTTGAAAAAATCTAAACATTACATATGAACCAAAACTTTATTATCAATTTGTTTGTTGTGAAACCCAAATTTGAAATACTTTTTAAATCGATGCATAGTTTTTATCGAAAGGATCTCTGCTACTTGCGTTACGTTTTTATGATTTATCGTATTTCTCAGCGAACAAGTCTCCCGGCAAATAAGACGAGGCTTGTTTTTAAGCCTGCAAGAAGGAGGTTTTTGCATATAGCCCCCCAATAATACGAGTCAGGAAAATCGCAAGTCTGCGGTTCAAAATCGGAATCGGAAACTTTCATGCAACGGCTTGTGAGAGGTCGATGTGAGGTCTTAATAACTTGTCCAGGATAAGCACATAAGTTTGATGGTAAGGCCAAGCACATAAGTTTGATTGTGTGGACTTAACTTATCTAACTTGCCCAGGATGAGCACATAAGTTCGATGGTGAGGCTTTGACTTATCTAACTCGCCCAGAATAAGCACATAAGTTTGATGGTAAGGCCTTAACTTATCTAACTTGCCCTGGTTAAGTAACCTAACCTAAGACGAACAGAATTATCAAACAAAAAAAACAAAAACTATCATTAAATTGTATAAGGACTTCACTACCTATATATATCAACCAGTTTGTAACGTGAACTTTTTTCTTTAATTTTGTGTTTCGAGTATGTTTTCTGTTTGATAACCAATATAACCCCTTCCCCCTGCACATTTTTGGACATCAAAAAAGCTATGCTTCCAGAAGAGTATCTTTTCATCTAAGTTAATTACGCATATAGCTATGGTGGTTGAGTGTCCGGTAAACATTGGTTTCAGCGCTTTAACTCACTAATATTATGAGGCTTTCTTTATCTTCCAACAAGCCATTTATATCTTTCGCCGATTTGGTATTTTGATCTTAGAGAACTATAAATTGTCGTCAATACAGATGACGACATATTTCATATACACATTATATTATTTTTACAGAGACAAACATAACTGACTCTCAGATCCAAGAAGTTCGAGCTGAGCAGATTCATGAGGTTCATGCTGATAAGGTCGTGCAGAATGTAACAAACATTGATGGTAGGTTTGATTCCACAGAATTTCCAGAGTTGAAAAAAATCCTAAAATTACATATGAACCAGACCTTGTTTTTAGCAAATTGTTTAATATAAAACCCAATCTAGAACTTGAATCACCTTTATTTTGCTTCCATCACATATTTGCTTCTGTCACTGATTGGATATGGTGAGAATGAAGAATTAGAAACTCTATCACGCCAAGTTTTTTAAGTGTTTCCAGTCAACAAATATCATGTGCCTTCATTTTAATATTTACCCAAAAGGGCAATGTAAAAGTAGCAGAATTTTTTTAAGCTTTGATTTCAAATTTGAAAATTATTTTTTTCTTACAGAGACAAGCATAACCGACTCTCACATTCAAGAAGTTCGAGCTTATCAGATTCATGAAGTTCATGCAGAGGAGGTCGTGCAGAATGTAACGAATATTGATGGTAAGTTCGATTCCACAGGATTTGCAGAGTTGCAATAATATGTATATTGACTATGAACCAACACTTTTTAGCAAAGTGTCTAATATAAAACAAAAACCTAATCAATGCCTGCTACTTATTGCAGGGCACTTTGCCACTTTCCTAAATTTAACATGAATTATGTCGGTGTGAAAGTTTGGAATGTGTTGCCACACCATTCATCTTAAGCTCATTAAATTTGTGTCTTTAGTTTCATGATGTTATATTTTTATATTTTTCAAAATTTGCTTTAACCCCTTTACCGTTGAATAATTTTTTGAAAAACGCTCCCCCAGCGGCAATTGAATTTTTCAAATTGTAGGTAATGTCCCATTCGATAAAATCATAGCTGTGTTCGATCATTTACATCATTTGGATGTATGTCTTGTCGCAGTGTGAACAGCAGACCTTGCAGCGTCTTGTAGATGCATCTTTGCCGCCATCAGGTGGAATATAATAATCGATTTATTCCATCTTTTGTCAAACCACGCTTTTGACTGGCCTGTGACAGCTGTACGAACGGCCGCTTACCGAACGGCAACCACCTAGTTTTTGATTTGCCAACCTACACCGAGTGTACGCGGGGGTAACGGTACACTAACAGCTTGTAATTGTGTGTGGCGAGAATGCTCCGAGTTAACACGGTATGTATGGTCCGTGTTTGGCGAATATGCTCAGGAACAACAGTGAAGGGGGTAAAGGGGTGTACTGACTGGGAATAAAGTTTTAAATATTTTTTGCTGAATCATACTCGTTGATAATATAATGTATTGGGCATCAATATTTTAATGCTTATATTCTTATACAGCATTTTATTATTTATGGCCCTCTAGAAAGGTTGCCCTCTAATGCCCACTTTTAAAATCTATGTTTTCTCGTTAGCAAAACCCCCTTAATTTTCTTTTTCGTCCAATATTGCCATCTGTAAAAATTTAATGCTCAATTTGAAATAACAATATTTTTTATGCAATTTATTCCTTTCCTCACAGAGAGAAACATAATCGACTTTCACATTCAAGAAGTTCGAACTGAGCAGATTCATGAAGTTCATGCCGAGAATGTCGTGCAGAATGTAACGAATATTGATGGTATGTTTGAGTCCACAAGATCAGGTGGAACACACTAATCGCTTTATTTTATCTCTTGTCAAACTACGCTTTTGACTGGCCATTTTAATTTTGGGATTGCCCGCGCACGACCCACATAGCCTAGCCGCCCACCGATTGGCAACGACGTAATTATTGATTTGCCAGCCTACGCCGAGAGTACGCGGGGGTAACGGTACACTAGCGGCTTGTAATTATGTGTGGCGAGAATGCTCAGAGTTAACTCGGTACGTATGTCCCATGCTTGGCGAATATGCTCAGGAACAACAGTAAACGGGTTAAAGGGGTGTACTGGCTAACTGGAAATAAATGTTTTAATTATTTGTTGCTGCAATTACAAACCAATGTGTGGAAGTTCCTAATTAATCAAAATCTTACTCATTTATAATGTAAGGTACTGAGCATCGATATTTTATAGGCATTTTTACCGCCTTTTATTATGGCCCTCTAGAATAGTAATCAAAGCCCTTGAATGCCCAATTTCAAAATCTATGTTTTCTGGTTAGCAAAACAACTTTCAATTTTCATTTTCATACAATATTGCTATCCATCAAAATTTTATGCTCAATTTGAAATAACAATACTTTTTATGTAATTTATTCCTTTCCTTACAGAGACCAACATAACTGATTCCAAAATTCAAGAAATTCGAGCTGAGCAGATCCATGAAGTTCATGCCGAGAAGGTCGTTCAGTATGTAACAAATATTGATGGTAGGTTGGATTTATCAGGATTTCCAGAGTTGAAATAATCTCAATATTGACTATGAACCTACACTTGTTGTTAGCAAAGTGTGTGAAAAAAGGTGACCGTACATTTGAACCCACGTACATTTGAACCCATGCGTATATCCACGGGTTATGCGGGTGCTAAAACCCATGGGTTAGTATGGGTTTAACTATCTGTGAAACAAAAAAAAATTCCATTGGTGCAATAGCATACAGGTGCAATTGTCATGGGTTCAAATGTACGTGGGTTCAAATGTAATGGAACCGTGAAAAAAAGCTGTTGAAACTGTTTTGATATTGCCCCATTGTTAATCTTAAGGAAGATTAGTATAAGTTTTAAGTACCCTGACTCGTAATAGGACGGTAATAGGGAAAATCGGATTAAAATTATGGCCTAACCCTAATCTGGTACGCATACTACGTTCCAGTGTCTAACTTGCCCAGGATAGGAACATAAGTTTGATGGTGAAGCTTTACCTTATCTAACTTGCCGAGGATAAGGTCATAAATTTGATGGTGGGGCTTGCACAAGAATATCTACCAGACGCACAGCACCTTATTTGAGTAGTGCACGACTGGAGTAAACAACTATAAGATTTTTTAGCGAATTCAGTTTGTAGCAATAAATTGACAACATAGGCATTCAATGGTACTCATGATCACGATTAATCTATAGTTGATGAGTGATGAGTGGAAAATCTGACTTGGATAAATCCATTCTCTTATTTTATTTTTGAGAATTACATATTGTTTCTCATAAAGTTAGTTTAAGTGGTTCTTTTCAACGAATATTCAACGAAAAATATTAAATAAATAATCTCGTACCCTATATTGATATGTACCCAATTGGCACGCAGTAATGCCGGATTTTAAATTATATTTTTTAGAAACTAATTATTTCTTCCATACAGAAACAAACATAACTGAATCCCAGATTCAAGAAGTTAGAGCTGAGCAGATTCACGAAGTTCATGCCGAGAAAGTCGTGCAGAATGTAACAAATGGTGGGTTGTATTCCAGTTATTTTAAAATGTTAAGAATATTTTAAGCATTACTGCAAAGAAAATTATGTTTTCAAACCAACACTTGTTATAATTGTTAGTAAAGTTTTTCAGCTAAAGACAAATAATCCAAAATAAACTGTTATGTAACAATAGATGACCATGAACTGGATGATAAATGGTGATTTACCAAACAAATGATCACATAATCCAATTGCACTGCAATTAGTCCAATAGTTGTGCAAAATGTTTTCCAACATAATATGAATCAGCAAACCTATGCAAAGTAACCAGCGGTCCAATTGTCATTTCTAATGCTCAGCTATCAATTTTTTTTTTCAATTTGTTGTCACAATATGTTCTGCAGAAGCAGTCATCACCAATCCTAAGGAAGTTCATGCAGAGCATATTCATGCTAAGGTTGTTAATGTCAACAATGTCAAAATTATTCAAGTCCAGCGTAAGAAAACTTTTTTTTTTCTAAAAATTTTGACTTGATGACTAATATCTGTGTTCTAAGTATCGAATTCAATGACATTTAAAACAGACAATCCATGTTTACATAACCTGCTTTCGTTGTGTGTGTACCAGGTTAGGGTATTTCAAATATGAGATCTCAAGCCCAAACCAATGATTCAGTATTTGATAAGGCTTGAGCAAATCTGATAATTTGATTACACACATTGTGTAAACACACATTTAGGTTTGACTGAACTTATCAAAAATAATCATGATTCGGTTAAATATCAATTGTTTTTTCTCGAATCTAAATTCAGACATTTTCAGACCTATTTGATGGGTTTTTGTGGACTACTTGTAACACTTTTTAGTTACTGTAAACCAGGCCATTTATAAAGTATAACATGGTCAATGCTATGGATATATTATAATATATAGCAGGGCTACTCAACTGGCGGACCGCGGTCCGAATCCGGACCTTCCGGGTATTTGATTCGGACCGCGCCTAATTCTTTATTTTCGATCATTAGCTCCATTTTTGAAGTTTATTTTTATAAAAACACTTCTATAGCCCTTCTACAGCCGGAACGCCGGTGTACTTTTCTATAGTTTTTAAATTTCGGTACTTATAGGGTGAATATCGCTCTTAGCTGTTTATCGACGTAATGCCCTGATATGAGAGAAGCGATAAAACCTTCCAGCCGTGACGCAAAGTGCGAATCGTATAAATAGCCTGGATTTCAAAATCACCTGTCAGACGTCTAAAAAATGTGACTCCCTTCAGACAAGAAATACTCCTTTATAACGACTTATTATTGTTTTAGCATGTATTTTCAGTCATACTAACTATCCCTGACCATCCCTGGCGCTGTGTTGTTTTGATAAATATGATTTCGAATGCTCCATAGTTGGCAGAGGTATGGAGATTTTTTGTATGTAAAAAAAACGTAAAATTAATGGTAATTTTAACGCGTAAATGCGCGTATGAGATTATTTACGCCGTTCTACGCGCATTTCCGTCGAAAAAATTTAATTTTTTTGCATTGGGGGTGGTCTGTGCAGTAATAATAAGAGCTGTGACGTCATCAGTATCGGTAATTTGACCTTGAACTTGACAATACTGTAAATACAATTGTGAATTTCAGAGTAATAACCATTTATGCTATAATAGTCGTTTTGGTATTGTTATGTTAGGAAAAACTTGACGAAAACGTTGAAGAAAAAATTAATTAATTAGGAATTAATTATTAACCCTCTACTGTACAGAGAATATCTCAAAGTCCAATTTTTTTTTAGAAATTTTTGAAATTTTTTTGCAAAAATTTTTTTTCTTCGAGTGGTGTGTTTTAAAGATATATTGCTGAATAGAACTGTAGAAGACGCTTTTAAAAACCCATGAATGAAGCTTTAGGGCTTAATGGTTGACATAAAAAAATAAGTTTAAAAATACCCATAAAATGGGCAGGGCTTGAGGCTTAAAAAGAGATAGATTTAAATCTAAATGAAAAAAATTATAACGTTATAACAAACAATATTGATTAGCTAATAATCATTAGTCGGCCGAGAAATTGCGTGTTTAAAGATGCCGAAATATAATTTCTGAAAAGACCGGTCCCTAACATTTTTGAACTTTTGTATACGGACCTTCAGTAAAAATGGTTGAGTAGCCCTGATATATAGCATAGGCTGGGTGTAACAAAAATCAATTAAGTACGATACCTGTTAATTGTAAGCCCATGCGCACCGAACAGTACTGACATGAACCATAAATAAATGATGAGTCATAAATTCATCTTAGTTTACATTACACTTTCACCCATTGCATTTAGACCAACCATCTTCAAGTCTCTCATCACCTACACAACAAAGGCCGAATGAAGAAGGTGATCAACCAAATAAAGCTCATGATCCTGTATATAAAGGAGATCCATTGCCCCCTCCTTCAGGTATGTCTTACATCACATACAGGTGACTTGCACTTTCAGTGCCACATATATATGTCATTTGTTTCATGTATACAATGCTTATGTCGCTAAGCACATAACAGGGTCATAAAAATGATCATTTGAAACAAATTCATTCCCTGAAATGAACATACCGTATTTTAAGGACCGTAAGGCAAACCGGGTTATAGGGTGCATCAGGCTATAAGACGTAATGGTTTTCAAGTCACATACATATATGATTACAAACCATTATAAATAATTTATTTAGATCAGTCTCTTGATCTATGTTAATGAAAATATGGAAGATTGAAGTTTTATAATCAATTTGCTCTTATCAACTTATAGTAAGATTGGAAATATATTATTACCATTTTTTCTTTAGGGTTTCTCGGGAAAGTCTCTCGCAAAATTCATAAAGGTAAATATTAGTTGAGTTGAATTTTATTCACATTTTGATATAATAATTCATAGATAATCACATTGATATAATAATCTACTTCTAACATACTCACTATTAAAATGACCAAGTTTTGCAATAGTGGTCTGTAGTTACGAACCTTATTGTAACTACATTCGTAACTGGTAATAAGAGAGTGATACCTATTTTGGTAAACGCATTTCATTAGATTGTAAAGACACTTTTTATTAGAGGAATTAATTGAGACAAAAATTCACAATATTACATACAATTGGATGCCCAACCACAATATGTAAAATGTAGCTACTCAATCGCTACTTATCTACAAGATGTATCCAGACGAAATCTCTTGCTACCATAAATAATGAGAAATGAAAAACAACAAATATTCAGGTCAGCATGTGAAAAAGTTTATTGATTATTTCAACATGAGGACATGGAAAGAAACTGAAGTCAAAGTTACAGAAAGCTACAAAGAGCAAGATCTCAATGAGCCTGATTTCGAGGTCCATCCTAAATTAAAGAAAGTTCCAAACTTCTATAGAGGCCAAATGGCAGCAGAGTACAAGAAAGAAAAGGGATTTGCTGTAACAGAGGGATCTGAAGAAATTGGTCAGTTGATCACTATGAACAAACTCAGCGAACAGCTTAGTGATGAAAGCTGTAATTACATTGCAATTACTGGTCAGGCTGGAAGTGGCAAAACGACAATTATGAAACGCGTGTCTCGAAGTGTTGTTGTTGCAAATAAATTGGTGAAGAAAGCTAGGAAAGCAAAAGGAACTTTCAGTCAATTGTTCCGCAAGAAAAAACGTCAATTTAGATTTGTTCATCACTTTGGTTTCAAAGATATGCCGGTTTCCAATGCTACAAGACCAGAAGAAGCACTGAGCCCTTGCGATTTGCTTTTTGGAAAGATTGCACCTGGGTTCAAAAATCTAGAGGTAGAAGATGGATATGAATGGGTTATCGAGCATGATTACGAGTGTATTTTCTTCTTTGATGGTTTAGATCAAGCTATGTGGGATCTTCATGGAAACCATAACAAGATGAATTACTTTGACAAGTCAAGTACCGCTACAATTATGTACAATATTTTAACAAGAAATCTTTTCCCCAGAGCCAAAATTGTTATTTCATCACGTGAACACAAAATTGCATCCTTGCCTTTGGAATTACGGCCGCCATTCATAACCGCTCTCGCTGGTCTAGATCCTGAGGACATCAAAAAGTTATTCATTTCAGTTTTAGGTGAGACAGGTGAAGAATCCTAGAATAAGTTAACAGTTCAATCACCATCACTCATCCAGTTCTCAAGCGTACCATTATTCTTGCTTCTTAATGCGATAGTGCACAAGTTCAACCCTGCAAATCAACCCGATACCATGACAGATGTAATGATACAAATACTCCATATTTTTATGCGATCCGATCATGCTCAGGAAAGAGGAAACATGAAGCAAAATATTCAAAAATTGATGAAAATGTCATTCGAAGGCACAAAAGAAAAGCGAGTAATTTTTACTATCGATGATCTCAAAAAGGTAGGCCTTCGTTCAGACGAGGTCCGCGACCTTATCATAAAAGTGCCTGGAAATAACATGCTAAGTCAACATCTCATGGAAGGCGACAATTTGATGTTCTTCAGTCACCAAATCCTTCAAGAAATTCTAGCCAGTCTATACATCGCCAACATGGATCTTGCCACTTTCCAATCATTTATCACTGAAGAGATTCACGATGATCACTGGTCTGTTGTTCTGCGTCTTCTGTGTGGGATTATTTTCAATCCAGATATCAAAACTGAATTTCTGAAAAATCTTACAACTGGTGAGTATGTTACCAAGTAGAGCTACAACAATATACAATTAAATGTTAATTAAATTTATGAATTTTTCAACAGTGATCGACAGAGAAGAGAAGAAAGCAATACTTAGAAAAAGCCTCAAGAATAAAATGAGTCAATGTACGAGATCCTATCAAAAGTTGGAGTTGTTCGGTGCCTTGTATGAGGCCAATGATGCCGAACTCATTCAATCCCATGTGCGAAAAATCAACTTCGAAAATGAGTCTTTCAATGTTGCAGGACTGTACGCGATGTCATCGGTTATGCGACGTTGTGCTCACCTTGAGCAGTTTCGTCTTGTTAAATGTGACCTCAATGCTGAGTTGATGAAATGCTTGGATTTGAATTTGAAAGGGTCTGGAGTGAAGGCAAGAGTACTGCAGTCTTTTCTAATATTGCAGCAAAATGAGAATATAACCCATTCTTATACGTACAAATATAAAAGCATTGATATAAATTTTGGGCGCTCCCGAAGTATGTGCACCAAGATGGCGCACTACCTGAACCCTAACCTGGTACACATACTATTTCCGGGTTGTGCGACATCTTGGTGCACATACTTCTAGACTTGTTTGCAATTAGGTTATTAATAACATACCACCCCTTAGTATCAGCAAACTCTTCATTGGAGTAATTTATTTATAATTAAATAGAACAAATCTTGTTCTATGGTATAATTCCATGTTCATGATTTACTACGACCTCTTCTAATTTTATGCTAATTCCACTGTTTCATCTATGCAGGTATCCAAGTTAGATTTTAGTGGAAATCAAATGAATGAAGAAGCTTTTGAATGTCTTGGTTCTGCTTTGGCAAGTATCGATGGAAATAAAATGGAGCTCAAACTTCAAATGTGCGGAATAAACAAAGAGAAAATCGATGCACTGGCAAGGAATTCGGGATTGAAGGTTGGTCAGCCTCAAAAAATCATGCCTGGTAGAGAAGGCTATATTTTTTTCAATTTGTGTTCTTCAGTCTAAATTCATTTATTTTCAAGGATCATTAAAATTTCTTATAAAAACTTAAATACCAGATATTATTTCAATACTTTATAATTTGATTCCTTTTCGCTCTGAACAAGACCCAGTATATGCAATCACTGCTATGTCAGGAGATACTATACTTCCAGGAATCCTCCTGGTTGAACATTGAAGTTGTGAAGGCATAAACCTGAGATATGTAACCAAGTAAGTTAACACTTAACCACTATTTAACTTGAACCTTTAAAAAAATTGATCATCTCCATCTCCAACTCATTGGAAAGTTTGTAGTTTCCTCACGTTTGGTTTCACAATGTAATGTTCAAAATATGATATTCATCTCTGATCTATCTAACCCAGTGGTTTGATACCGTTCCCAATCGCTTTGCCAAGCGCCAAAAAACCCAAAAATAAAATATGAATTTAGTAAAATCCTGTGACATAAGAAAACGGTCAAATATCAAATTGCAAGTATCAATTCTATAGCCACAAAATTAAATACTTAATATATAAACAAAAAATTTTCAGTGAAATTTATATAGCCAGGAATTTCTAAAATAAATTTTGAGAATTGTTGCATGACTTCATTAATCTGAGCTCAAGTAACTAACTGTGATATCATAAACTTAAGATAGATGCTGCTAAGTTTGGGTCACAACTCATACGTTGGGAAACACTCGATAATCTAACCAAATTCTTATAACATAAATATAAGTTATTTTACGATTCAAGTATGTTTGTCCGGGCATAGCCAATTTTATTTCGTCTAACATTATCTAAATCAAACAGATTCATACTCTCGATGTTCGAAACAACTCCGAGATCACATTCGATCTATTTCTTGCAATCGCTAAAGTTGCAACTCAGAGAGAAGTCAAGAATCTTATGGCAGATCCATGTGAAGAGTTACGTCTAAGTACAGAGCAGCTGATGGAATTGAGCAAATTAAAAACTTGTGGAAAGGTTCGAAATTTTAAACTGTAAATTTATACCATTTTTTTTTCATGAGGCGTTGGTCTGTGAACTATTATTTACCGAGCTTTCTCAAGTCTTTTTAAATTTATGGAAAACATGAATTATTTCGTTCAGCCCACTAAGATATATTGATGCAAATGTAACCATGGGTGTGATCTAACCCAGTGGTTTAATACCGCTACTAACTGTTTTGTCAAGCAATACAAATTCTTCATAAAATTGAATATAAATTTAGTAAAATCTTGTGACCTAAGAAAACGATCAAATATCAAATTGCAAGTAGCACTTCTGTAGCTGCGCTTGTTCACATCAGTAAATTTTGGAAATTGTGGAATGGCTTTACTTGAGCATAATGGGTGAACTGTAATGGAACTTTTCACAAACATAGCTACAATCGTCAGTACATAGCACCAAGCTGTGTTATTATATGTACAGTTTCATTAACCAGAGCTCAAGTAACTACTGTATTGTAATATTATACAGTTAAGATAGATGCTGCTAAGTTTGGGTAACAACTCATACGCTGGGAAAAACTCGATCATCTAACCTCATTCTTCTTTTAAACTTATTACATGAATATAAGTAATTTATGATGTTGAAGTAAGTTTTCCTCAGCATATCCAATTTTCTTTTGTGTATCATTATCTAAATTCTAAATCACACAGATTCACACTCTCGATGTTCGAAACAACTTCAAATTTACATTTGATCTATTTCTTGCAATTGCTAAAGTTGCAACTCGGAGTGAAGTCAAGAATCTTCTGACCGATCCATGTGAAGAGTTACGTCTAACTACAGAGCAGCTGATGGAATTGAGTAAATGGAAAACTTGTGGGAAGGTTTGAAATTTCAGAAACTAAGTTCATATTATTGAATTTTCGTGAGATGTCTGTCTTTGCTCTATTACATATCTTAATACTTACATGAGGATACATAGTTACTTGGCTTTCAAAGATCATTCAAAGTTCTCCCTTTGTCTCTTTTATCTATATTTTGTTTAATTGAATATTTAAATATTTGACTTACCCATGCATCATAAGTTGCTCAGGGTTAGCGTCGATATAAGTCTTCCTGATAAAGGTATATTTTAGAATCCATGAATTTCCTTTAGGAAAGGGAGGATTACTTCAAATCATAGACAATTGTGCCTGGTTAAAAGTTTAGGTGTTCTTATAAGTTTGGTGGCAATCAGTAAAACATTTTGAATATTGGCAATATTGTAAAACTTATTATTATCTACAATATAACTGAATTATTTCGTAATGAAAATGGATTTTGACTCAATATTATGAGAAAGTGAATAAATATGTATGGACCCAGAAAGCTTCATTGTGGCCTTTCGTCTCAAAATTCCAGTCAATTTATAAGGTCATTGTGGAATTCTGGTAACATAATTTTCAGATGATGTTGTCAGATGGGGTTCAGAAATGACATATGCAAAAATTGTTAAAACACGCCCAACAGAAGTACTTTGGTATTATGCTATACTATCCATCTCTATGTTTCAGTAAATATACTGCCTTATATGTCTATCCACTGACTCCTCTGAGCTACGAAATGTAACGCCTGATAAGATATATATAAATATAACCTGGTACTGTACTTCACCAATCACCTCTCATTGATTCTTTATATGCACGGTAATACTACATTCATAGCTGTTGTCAGTGTAGAAAAGAAACACTATACAGAATCAAATATTTTATTTCTATCATGCGAGAATCAATACAATCACACGAAAAGCTGTCATAATGGCAATCATAGAAAATGTAGTTATACACATGGGAAATTCATACAAGTGAGAGATTCAAAAAGTGTGTTTCTTATATTTGCCATCATTTTATGCAATGAAAAAATCCTGTAGTTGCTTATCGAGATCCAATATTTGACAATGCTTCTACTTACATTGACTGTGTCTTGCATTTGCTCTTTAACAAATTCCCTTCTTATGATATCACTGATTATGGTTCATTGATCACATTTATTTCAGCTGGATAAACTAGATGTCAGTAACAATAAGGATCTTTGCACTGCTGGTTTGGGTGAAGTTGGATTAGTTGTTACACAATGTCAAGTGAAGGTATTCAAGGTTTGGCATTGCAATCTGACAGCAGAAGGAATGAAAGCATTTAAGGAAAACACTCGCAATGGGAAGGTAGGAAGCAAATCATTTGTTTCTGTCTTATTGGGGGAAAAAATAAAAATGCATTTAGGTTGGATTGGGAGCGAAATTTTTATAGTCAAGCATGAACCAAACAGTATCATTGTGGATATCAGAATTTATCATTGGCCGATAATTAATCTATTATAAACAAAAACATTCTGAATTTTCCTCACTCCAACTGTATGATCACACTGCAAAAAAAAAAATTGGAAAAATTTACTGTTATTACTTGCCAAAAATTAGTCCATTTCATGGTTGACTCCAACCAGATTTTGTGGAATCACCCTCAGATAGTCAGATCAGTACGAAACATATTTATTAGGAGTCTTCGTATACCCCCACATATAAACCGACCCCCAAAAACGGCCATAAAACGGTGAGTTTATGAAAATTAGCCTATAAGCCGACCCCAACAAATCGTAACACTTATTAACAGCCCACATACTTTTTGACCGTCTAATTTTTATCATAAGTTCTGATTGATTATCGTCGGCTCCAGTGTCATTTAGTTCATCCACATCCTTAAGCTAAATTCCGCCACAATTATACCTCTGCACGGGTATTAGGTGTTGTGCTACCACATGGATGGCGGCGCTAGGATGTGTGCTTGGTATTTGATATTCTTATTACACTAAAAACGATATTCGAAAGTAGCGATATTCGACATCTGTGGATTGGGCCTTTAGTGAGATCAGACCTATGCGTGTATAAGCGAAATTTTTAGTGCGATCAGAGTTATGCACGTATCAGCCGACTCCTTAATTTAGCAACTTTTTTTGTAGTTTCAAAGTGGCTTTTATGCGAGGATATACGATACTTTTAAAATTTGCTAAACCTGAAACCTTTTTTGCTATGTCTTTTGTCCTTTCAAGACTTTCAGAATGTTTATAACAGTATTGAAAACAAATATATATAACGAATAACTGACTGTCGATTTTCATCAAATCCAAGTTCTGTTGACTCACCATCACATGACCAAGAATAATTCTCAAACCAAGTATCTGGTAGATTAAGAGAGTTTTATACATAGTCAAGCTTGGACCAAACAATACAGTCTCCACTCGACCTTGTATGAACATACAGGTTACAAGTTTTTCGCACAAAAACATACTGTGAAAAAAAAAAGCAAATTTACTGTCATTCCTTGCTATTTCAACGTAGGAGTTTACTAAACATAAATCTATTTTGCTTTAATTAAGAATCTGATGAAATTTCTTTTTATCCTAGCACT